GATGTGGATGATAAAGGTAAAAGCTAAAAAAGGTCCCGACACCAAGGACGAAGCAGGAAAGAGTAATTAAAAGGCACACACCTGAATAGAGATACAATAACGGCAAACGGGATAAAATTGGCTACTGCACTATACTTGCAGTCAAGATGTTCCAACCAACAAGGTACAGACGCTCCAATCACGCGTTTTCCAACCTTTTAAGGTGCAGAGAATAAGAGTGAAAGCGACGAGGTATGGTACGATAATGACAAACAGGGGAAATTGGTCGCTGCGTTGTACTTGTAATCAAGAAGAACACAGACATTCCAATCGCACGTTTCCAACCTTTGAGGTGTAGAATGAGAGTGAAGGCGACGAGGTACGGTACGATAATGGCAAATGGGGGAAATTGGTCGCTGCGTTATACTTGTAATCAAGAAGAACACAGACACTCCAATCACAAGTTTCCAACCTTTTGAGGTGCAGAGAATAAGGTGACGAGGTACGCTACGATAATGGCAAACGAGGGAAATTGGTCGCTGCGTTGTACTTGTAATCAAGAAGAACACAGACACTCCAATCGCACGTTTCCAACCTTTAAGGTGTAGAATGAGAGTGAAGGCGACGAGGTACGGTACGATAATGGCAAACAGGGGAAATTGGTCGCTGTGTTGTACTTGTAATCAAGAAAAACACAGACACTCCAATCACATGTTTCCAGCCTTGAAGGTGCAGAGGATAAGAGTGAACACGATGAGGTATGCTACGATAAAGGCAAACGAGGGAAATTGGTCGCTGCGTTGTACTTGTAATCAAGAAAAACACAGACACTCCAATCGCACGTCTCCAACCTTTAAGGTAGAAAAAATAATGAGGTGCAGGTGCTACGCGGGGGCAGACGTGATGGGATTGGTTGCTGTACTATCCTTGGGTCTCCAACAAGAAGAGTACAAACATTCCAATTGCACGTCTCAGAGAGATATGAGCATCGGCCAGCTGCAAGTATGTGGGCGGAGAGGAAACCGGATATACCCGCAACAATTGTACAGTTTATTATTATCGGATACACCCGCAACAATGGCATTACCTAAGTAGTTCAAGTATAGTTAATTATTGATAAAATTAAAAGAAAAATTAGTCCATGATGCAAATGGTACAAAAGGATCACATCAGATAAGATGTGTCCATGGTTCGGCAACATGTTTCATGTAGCGAGGCTGATCAAGATCCGGTTCAAGCACGATTTGCCAGTTGCTGCCCTTAGGGTGGTATTGAAGCATCTCGGCACTCGAGTGGGTGATAGATGGTGTTTCGCCATTCCTCATCATCTCGTCACGAGCCCAACGTGCAACACGGCGAATCACGAAATCCATAGGGCCCGACGTTGGCCACATAGGCACCGAGAATTTCGACAAGCCCCGAGGCTGGAGAGAATGGGCACTAACAAGAACCTCGAAACGATGGAGTTCAATGTCAAAAGGTTCTTGATGTACCCTAGACTGCAGCCAAGTGGCCGTAAACATGATGCCCTCCATAGGACGAATGCGATCGCTTTGATTGGGGGGAGGGTGCTGTTGTGGTGAGCAGGGAACGAGGGGAGGATATTTCTCGTACTGGAGGAACGAGTGAAGGTAATTGATTTTGTTGGCCTTCGGAGGTGCAATGTCCATGAGAGCCGTGATATCAACGTGATCACGCGTAAACGCCACATCTACATACGGCAAATCTAACGTGAAGTGGTGATTGTTGAGCGAGCCGACATAGATGTTGGAGGAACAGGATTTCCCCTCTGAACGCAACTTCTCGGCCATTTTATCACGATTATCCACGCACTTGAAGAGCAACTCCATAGATGGTGGCTCATGCCGCCCACCCTTCCTTGAACGATGCGTTGCATAAACTCCTTGGGCGTGGCACTTTTCCAACCAGGCCGGCTCTGCGTCCTGTACATCAACTACGGTGAGGCGATACCAGTGGCCAAGAGGAACCACGGCCGACGACACAGATTGTGAGGGGGCGGCCACGCCACCACGGTCGCTCAGTGGCGTGGCACGACGCCCAGGAGCAGTCGTAGGAAGACACTCCGGCTCCATCACCGCGGTGTCGACATATTGAACGAAGCCGCTGCCTGATGCCTCCTGACGATTTAGGCTCAAGGACGGCGACGAAGCTACAGCAGGGGTAGGACTGTGGCCCATTGGCAATGCAGCGGGTTGTTGAGCGGGTGATGCAAGGATTGGCAAAGGTGGGGTGTCGGGGTGTCGGGGACTGCCTCCACTCAGCGGCACCGATGCCTCCGGCCTTTCATCGTTTGGCCTCGAGAATGGTAGAGGAACGACAGGTGCATCGCAGTCTGGCAATGCAACATTTCCTGTCTTGCGAAGCGACGAAGAGGAATCAGGCGAAGAACGACCCAAGGGTGGGGAGTGAGTCGTAGGTGCGAGAGAGGATTTCTGTGCCTCACGGCGCTTCTTGTACTCCTGGAACGAGATTTTTGGTCTCTCGGCACTCGTTACTGTGGAAGACGGGGGAGAATTAACATGGGACGTGGCCCCTACCCCTAGAGTCTTGATACCCACGGCACCGAGAGAAGAACGATCGGGGAGAGGAGACGTAAGGAGGGAATGGGATGGAGTTGTGAGGGGGACCGTTGGTGCCAAAGATGGGGGAGGATTAACATGGCTCGTGGCCCCTAAGGAACGCGAAGTCTCGATACTCGCGGCACCAGGAGAGGAACGATCGGGGAGAGGAAATGACCTGGACGCAAGGGGGGAACGGGATGGAGGAGTTGTGATGGGGACACCAGCAGCGAGTACATGATGGCTTGAAGCAATGGGATCAGTTGTATCGATGTCCATCGCGTCAGGATCACTCTGCAATCTTAGCCTCTTTCGAGGGCGTCTGGCAGATTGCCGATCAGGCCTGTACTTGTGCCAATTACTGACGATGTGGTAGTCATGGGCGGACAGTTGCCTCTTCTTTTTCCCATGTCCCCGTTCCCAGATCTCTTGACATCTGGCAGTGGCATGTGAGTCGCCATCCCGCACATCTTGCAAGAGCTGACCAGCGGCGCGCACGCTCTGTCGGTCACTGGAAAATTTTCGAGCTGCCGATTCAACCCTTTCATCATACTCGGACGAGTCCTCATCATTTTCTTGATGGGGAGGCTCAAAGTGAGGACGGAATTCGTCATCACTGGAGCTCCCAGCTCCATCATGCCAGGTGGTAGACACTACTCTACGGCCAAGTACCGAAGATGATGGACGGGGTGAAAGACGGGGTGAAAGACGGGCCGGAGGCACAACAGGAAAGAGGCCATGGCCAAAAAAAGACTTGATTTTCCGACACAGTTCCTCCTCTGTGTAGAGCGGGTTGTGTGGAGGATAGAGCGCGTCTGCGAGGGCCAATTCCACTGGAGTGGAGAGGTCAGGCGAACCTGGATAGCCATGGGCTGGCTTGATGATCCAGGGTGTTGGGCGAACGGGTATGAACTCGAGCTGCTTGAAAACAATGTCCCTCGACCGCTTAGATGGAAGCGATGCGGACTGAACTGCCATCTTATGACTGTTAACATCCGAATCCGACCAGCCGCCTGGCACAAAATCTCGCTGAAGACTGGCCCCACTCCCAACGACTTGAACCCCAAAGACAGGAACGCCGTGACGGGATAGCCTTGCCATTGTTGAACCCAGCGATGGGCAGTCGTCCGGGAAAGGGAGCTCAAACACAGCACCCACCAGCTCATCGTCCACGCCCAAAAAATAATTACCATCGTGACCACGAAGAAGCCGCTCGATGTGACGATGACAGTACCATCGACCAACACCACCCAATTCGTAAGCGAACGTAAATACTTGATCCACAGTGTCGATCAGATCCTCAAGGTTCCTCCCCCGACATCTTAGCTTGTCCTTCCACTCAAAAGAAGCTTGAGTTAACCCATCTCGCGTTCGAGGCATCGGCACACATTGTTCGACTAGGAGAAAATCGCTCCGGATCGCATCCCACCGCGAGAAGAGGTCAAATTGAGACTGCACGAACGTCTCAACACGGTGGATATACTGAATTTTAAGACACTTTCCCCCACGACAGTCCTCAACGACTGAGGAATCAGGAAGAGGGGGGTCGAGGGAAGTGCGACGAATGAATGGACGATATGGTGCATTTTGTGAGAACGTGAGAGGCATGCGCGAGATTGATGACGAGTAGAGGGAGGGAATGGGTGAAGTTCTTGGGTATTGGGGAGCATTGTGTAATTTTCTACGTTCGGCAGGGGTAAGGAGGTGATAAGGGGTGAAGGAGTAAACAGGTTCTCCGACGGGATTTCCAAGAAAATTGAAGCTTCTCAGAGAGTTTGCGTAACGCAGTATCCATGAGTGGATGACAAAGTCCTTGGGAGGTTTTGCTACCCGGATCCCTAATAGTCATGAGAAACGAATTGCGCCAGCAGGGTCGAAGAAACATACCTGCGTGCGTGCGAGCCATCCACTCTTGCACAGTCCGACGCAGGGCGCTGGAAGGTCCCGCGTGGTTATATGGTATGAAGGTCCCAGACGTGGTCCAGGTTAGCGGAGTGTCAAGCCCCTACAGTAATTCAGTCGACGTTCGACAGCGCTGATCTTTGATCCTTGTTCATACCGTTTCCGCCAGTGCATTGGGGCCTACCGAGCGTCCAGCTGGAGCAGCAGGCTCTGCGGTTTGCGAGAATGCTGCATCACGAGCCGAACCCAGGGTTGACACTGCATTTCGTGACATCGGGACGATTTACGGTAGAATTGGCCGAGCTTGCAAGGTGTTTGGGGGTTTGTATTTTTTTTTCGTGGGAAAAGCGCGTCATGGAGCCACCCCGTGGGACTTCATCGGACCCAAAATGCTTGGCCATTCAGTTTGACGTAGCCAGGGTATTGGAATTCGCCCAAGACACGTTGTGAGGAACATAGGAGGTAATTGAGGAAGAGGGGATAGTAGTTCGGAACAACACCATTTGATAGATTCGCTTTCCAGAAGGAGAGCCCCACACCATGTACATAGATTCTGTTGCCAATCAAATCGATCGGGAAAAGGCGATAGGAGGGCCAAAGTTGATCGTCCGATATTGTAGCACTTGGTTGCACACAAAGGGTTTAACAGTGGGTTGTTGCGGATGGGTCGTACCTACTTGACGTTGACTCTGAGAACGGTGAAGCCTGGAGCGGATGGCTTCTGGATGGAGGGACATGGCCGATTGCAGATGTGAGTGGCAAGAGATTAGAACGTCGTCATCATTTTCAATGGGATTGATCCAAGTGAGGGAGTTTGCCCAAGTGACGAAGAGGAGGTGAACGACACACGTGAAAACACAGTGCCGATGGTTGCAATGCGTGGCACGTTCAGTATCTCCGTAATAGCAGCAAGTCACTAGAACTTCCCCGCTTTCCAGACACACTGTACGCGCGCCAAAAAAAATGAAGGCCGTACAAAGTAAATGTGATCGTAATCAGGGAGAAAGGATTGGGCGACGCCGTGGATGGCCAAGTCGCTCATGTCTCGCATCAGTGGAGTGAGCAGGCGCGAGGCGCTGTCCGCGGCTCTCAGTTGGAGACGCGGCGTTCCGGAGATGGCGAGGCACAGCGAATGGGTGGCATCACGGACACGTTAATGTGAGGTGGTGAGAGTACTGGGGAATGGGAATCATGACGAATCAAACAATCTACATGTGAATGTCAGGTGATGAGAGACAAATCAGGCGATTTAATTGACAATCCAAAGTGTTCCACGACCGCGACGATTATAGATTGTCTACGCAAAATAAATACAAGCTAAATGTGAAAAATATTGTACGGGTTCGTTGAAAGATGAAGTTCATCGGTGACTTTGGGAGGACAAAATACATGGATGGCATCATTATGCGATAGTTGAGATATAATCCCACATTCCGCCCATGCACTCAAATCTTCCAGCTCCACCAAAGGTGGGTTCGTAGCGTCGTGGGAGGTATTGGGCTGGGTGGGTGGAACGTTCAAAAATGAGATCGACCGAGAGGGTAAAGCTTGTGCATCGATATCTTTCATCGTGTCCACATACTTAATGCGGCCCTCTTGAATCGTGAATTTAGTATAAACACGAAATAGATCGATGTAGCCTAGTCACAACGTGAGCGGGAATGAAGACGCGATCATGTTAATACTGCACGATGCGTACCTGCTAGCTCTAGAGCGCTCTGGCTTCCATGCTCACAGACAGAGACTGTCCAACCTGCCTTATCGCCAAGATTTCCCTCCGGAAATCGACACCGAAACACTCCAAGTAGTTGGTCCTGCCACCGACGATCCAATGGCACAATGATTTCGCAGACCATCAAATCTTGTGCCTAAAAAAAAATTGGAAATCATGGAAAAATATAACCTTGAATTCAATTGCATGCATACCTGAGGGAAAAACCAAGCGCCTTTCAAACTGATTTGGCACTGGGCCACCCAAGCGTCGAGGAGCAATAGAGGCAAAGGCACATCATCACCCGGTAGAGAGACCCATGGGGCCATAACACTCAAGGATAAATGTTTGGTGGCAGGAGCCGGGGTGCTAGACTTCTTTTTGAAGTGCGGGAGGGACCTCCCAGTCGAAAACATGGTGATTGTTCGAGTGTGGGAACATTCTGGGCGAGCGACTCGCCCAGAAACTATCACCGCCACAGGCGTGGGAACATTCTGGGCGAGCAACTCGCCCAGAAACTATCACAGCCACAAGTGTGGGAACACTCTGGGCGAGCAACTCGCCCAGAATATTTTCACAGTCACGGGGCCTTGCCACTGTGATCCCATCTTGCTCGTGTTCCACCATAGTTCTGTGGCCCGCTCACCTTCTCTCTCGTTTGACACGATAAGTAAGCAAGCGAACGTCGTATATTGCAAGGCACTTACACTTATCATCCACAACCAACAAGAAAATTTGTGGTTAGTTTGGCGACTCGCTATCGTAGCTCATGAAAGAGATCCAGTTTTCCAGGTAGGTTGCCAGTGTGGATTTGGAAGGGAAACATTTTGTTAGAATTCTCGGTATTATGGTGTACGCTTTCATGTTTGTTGATGTTGAGTCGTGTGGTGTCTCAGATTTTCACCTTTGTGGTCACATCGGTGCCAAAGTCAGTGCACATTCATGGCGCCTGACTATAAAAACCCAATTTTTGGACAACCCAACCTTCCCTCAGTTCACGTACAACGGGACTGAGGCGACTTCGTTATCTCTTGTCTATCTCGCACAAATCATGTATTAAATACTTGTACACCAGCGATAAACTCGCTAGGTGATTATTCTACAATCTATTCTAGTTCACGTACAACGGGACTGAGCGATAAACTCCATTTCCTCTTATACGTTTTACTTTATCAGTCTTGTGTTAAATAACGTTCATGTCCAATGGTATAGCATCAAGGTAGCTTGAATGTTTGCCATAATTCGACTGGGGCAGTGCGCATACATAGTTTGAGAGCCAACTGCTGGGGGAGCGCTGTGAAGCATCTCTTTCGGAAATATCCTAAGAGGCTATATGATAACATGACTTATGTCTATAGCCATTCAATACTCTTTTGAATTGTTTCCCTTTTTTTTTTTTTCAGTTCTCCACGCATACATAGACATTTTATCAACACAGTTTTAATACCAACAACCATGAAAGCACACAAGGAAAAGCGACAGACGAAGAAGCAGAAGAAGCAGAAGCGTGACCAATATCGAGAGGCCAATATCGCACCAGTCCGGTTCATCGTAAATCCCGAGTTGAGTTATCTCATCCCTTGTTGATATCAACCACCTACCTTTATTTTAGACTCGAGTCCCAGAGAGCACACAAGGAGCGCCTAAAGGGTATCGATGACTCTCGGATCCGGCATATTGTGGAGGTGGCAGAAAGCAAAGTAGATATCAATATTTGTAATGCCATGACGAACACAAGTATGTTCCTAATACCATTTCTTACCCTCTCTCTCAATGCAACCCAAAATAGTAAAACTCGACTTCGATTATGCCGACATAGCAAGCCACAATGATGGGGCTGTTCCGCCTGCAAAGAGCCAGTCACATCCAAAGGACCTCGAGCTCCCTCCTCTCTCCTCGAATCATGCCCGGACCCTACTTGAGAGTGAGGCTGGTGCGGCCATCGAGGATCGGTCAGGGAACCTGCTGGCTATACGGATCCCAAATGTTTTTAGCCCAATTCATGTATGTTTTCATATCCTCGGCTGCAAAACTCACCTGATTATTTCCAAGGAGGAAATTTTGAATGCTGGTCGCGAGTTCAATCGAAATTTTAAATTCGACAAGAAGAAATCCCGGAACCACTTTGTTCCATCATTGGATCTATTCCAGAAAGGCCAAGTCCATTATGGTTACTGGCACCAACAGGGTCACTACGTGAGTTTTGATTGTTTTCTTGATTATTTAAATTAAATATATTCCCATAGGAAATATCGCCTCAAATCTCCACCGATTCAAAGGAGAAAGAACATAATCACCCCTTCCAAAAGAAATGCGAGCCACTCTACCACATCCTCAACATGTACACTGAGAGGATTGCGCCGTCATTGGCAAAACAGAGCGATCAAGTATGGGAACAGATCAGGAAGCACCGGGATCACGAGGGTTTCCTATCTGAAATCAAGTCCCATTTTTTTGGCCAGACGGTCCATTTCAATGCGGATATTCGGCGCCACAAGGATCGGAGATCTGCCTGGTGTGGCTTTGATGCAATAGCCGTATTTGGAGAATACGAGGGAGGAAATCTCCATTTCAGAGAGTTGGGTTGCTCTTTCCCCTCCCATCCAGGAGATCTTTTCTTTATTCGTGGTGCTGGATTGTATCATGAGGCCCGTAGTGGGGATCAAGAGGCTGGGGGCTGGGTTGGCAAAGGGCGAATGGTTTTTGCGTTTTTTTCTGATAGACGGGTATTTGCACACGAGCACATCCCAAGACCTAAGGACCTGGGCGCTATCTATGGGACGCAGGGACAGAAAAAATTCCGTGAACACCACCCCCACCTTGATCGGTGATCTCCTGTGACGTGGACTGCCTGGTATCTAGTCCACGATACCTTTCTTTCTTTTGTCCCTTGTTAAATATATTATGTTAAATATATTATTTATCAAGTTGGTGTGGGCTATCTCAATGGACGTGAGCCAGGATACAAATACATTATTTCGCGAAGACTAGCGTAGCAATGGCCCCGACAGGATGTCGAAGCCTCTTGAGCTGGTAAATACGTAATGATGAATGTTGTTAGCAGACAAGCATGCAGGCGGTGAAATTAGCCGCATGTGCGCGACGCGTTACGTGTGTTCTCGTACATACAAAGGGAAAGCACAAAACTACTAGAACTGATGACAGCCAAATTGAGAGCCGTAAAAACTAAAACAGCAAACAGAAGCTAATGTACAGAGATGAAATACAATGAAGAAAAAGGAGTAACAGATGATGTAAAAAAGTTCAAAAAGAAGAGACGGCAAAGGAGGAGTATCGGGGAGGAGGGAGACAAGAAAACAGGCTAGGAGCTGGAGCAAATGGGAATGTAGTTGAGAATTGCGGTATTGGCAGCAGCAAATCCGGGACAGAGTAATGTGTAGGTGGCAGCAGCGGCAGCGGGTCAAAAGCGTACCAGGGGAGCGCGAGATACCAGGCCCTTTTATAGGCACGACCTAGGTAGTATTTAAACCTCTCCTCAACAGCGAAAGTTCAGTACGTACCTCCACTGAATGGTCCGCTTCGCGCCTCTGCGCTGGAACATTCAGCGTACGACTGAGGCAGCGTGCTTTGACCCGTTCAGGCTAAGTTGCGCGATAAATCACGAGAAATCCGTGATCGATGAGAGGAAGGCCAAAGCGGTCTCGACTGGGCGCAGCCAGGTTTCCCAGCCAGTGGCAAACAGGGGCGGAAACCTGAGGTCAGCTGGGGGTAGACTGCTAACCCGTGATTAGTGTTACTGAAGTTGTAGCGGGAGACGGCCAAGTGGCCCAGTGTATATTAGGCAAAGTGGACCCGTTTGTCCATATACAGAGTAGAACGCACAACAGAATACAGAAAGGAAAAAGGAAAAGCGGAAAAATAGAAGATGAGGAGACAGAGAGGTACAAAGTACAGCGCAAGTCAAGAGAGAGAAGAGTCGGTGAACCAGAAAGTTTGTGAACTCCATTAGGAGTGGAAATGGAAAGATGAAACGGTGGAGAGAGGGGAGGTGGTGGGAAATGCAAAAACAAGCTACTGAGCAGGCATGGACGATTCCGGGAAAAGCAGTAAGCGGCCTTACTCACCGAGAGAGGCACGAGTCCAGGAGATAGAGAGGGGGAAAGTAAAGGTGCAGGCGCTTTTTATAAGTGTGGCCTGGACTAATTGTGAGCACTCTCGCAGTGAGGGAAGTTCAGTACGTACCTCCGCTAGTGTGCGCATCCGTGCCAGAAAACCCAAGCAGAAACCTAGACTCATTGAGTAGTCAGGTTGCGCGGCAACTCGTGAATGGTAGGAGCGGTAAAAGGGAGTGGACAGGAGCGGCAGGATATGATTGGACAGAGGAAACCTTGGCATGAGCTGGGTTGGGTCTAACCACAGCCCCGTGATTAGTCCTGTGAAATGAGAACATTAAACAACAATTAAACGATGGACGGCATTGATGGTGGGCGCGATGACTCGGGAGGCGGAGAGAGATATGAACACCGAGCCACAACTGACGACACACTGGCATCTGTGCGCGCAGCAGTGCGGCTCAAATCAATGTTGGAGGCCGCATTATCAATGGGGTGTTAGAGTACCGAAAGGATTTCCGAGATCGGGATTGGGTGATGATAAGGATTGGGTCGATGACACCAAAGCAGGGAGGGGTTGGACAGGGTGTCGAGTGTGGAGGGATCTACAGAATCTGTTGGGAGGAGCGTTCTTGAGCCAGCGCATTTGGGTGCGGCATCGGGAATGCAGTCCACTGAGCACGAACCGCGCCCAACAACCACATAACCGCCTGCAGAGATTGGCGATCGCAATAAGCGTGCGTAAGTTACAAGCCCTGCTGCGGTGGGGGAACTTACCAGTTAACACCAAGCGCAAGCGCGATGGAGAAGGGAGCAGAACTCCCACAACCTCAGCCTTCCTGGAGGCAAGTTAGGATCCAGGCGCCCATCTTGTCCCATCAACAAACACTGCGGGCGAGATGGAATCGCATACACGTGACTGCGACTGCGGGCTCAGTGTATCCCCTTCCATGAGACATATTTCCCTCGAATAAAGGTAATTATCTTCGATATAGCTCCTGCATTTGTTATTCAGAAACCAAAAAAAATTAAAATAAAAAAGGAGGGATGTAAAAAGACACGATGGCGCGTCTGCCTGGGGAACACTTTGAGGGATATGCTCTGATCCCTTTGCATCAAAGTATTGGAACCCCCAGGGAGCAGCAGATACGCCAAAGTGGGACAAGTGGAAAAATAAAATAAAAACGGGAATGCGGAATGGGAACGCTGCGCGGGAATGAGAGATGTAAGCGCTGAATACATCAAAAGGTTCCTACCTAGAAATCAACGCTCCCAACTCCCCCACCTTCATGCCGGTTATACTCTGGACAAGTTCAGCTCTCAATGAAATAGGAAGGAAAGGCTCACACCAGGGATTCGACTTGGGGGAAGGGTGCAGGGTTCCAAGGGATGCTGTGCTATGATATCCCAACGGCGCGCTATCGGGCACAACACAACCCTGCCTTGGACACAGGTAAGAGAACCTGGGATCGTTATCTGGTAGGGGAAGAGCGGGCCCTCCCTCCCCCCACCTCGATCCTTCCTGCACCCCAGTGAGAGAAAAAAAAAGTGTCCGCACAGCCTCACAATTTAAATGGCTACCCGGCTCCATCCGGCAACACTTAAATAGCCTTACAAGCGTGGTGGTAAATGCAATCGATTATTGTCTAATCAGACAGTGTGAGCACTTAGTGTAAATGGCCGGAACCCGAGCTGGTCCCAGCCTATGGATTGGCATGCATGTGGGCATCGTGCGACCCGGTCCTGGTAATGTACAATGAGATACAACGATGCCAAAAGAGAAGAGACTGGCCAACAGGGAGACAGATACGGATACAAAGTATCGGGGTGGTGAAAAGGGGAGGAGGATTTGAAAAACGCGTTTGTCTCAGTAATAAGATGCATGCATATCTCTTCCGAGATTGTTAGTGAGGAGAGTGGTACAGGAGGAGAGCGAGGAGGACGGGATGAACTCTTCGTCGACAAATCGAGGGATAAAGGAATCTCGAACAAATAAGAGATCTCCAACGCAGGGTGGAGGGACCGAACTGGACTTGGACACAAAGGAATTGAACTTCACAATCATTGCATCCCCGGCATCGGTACCTGATTAAGAACCGGTGTTTGCAGCGGAAGCGTGTGTTCGGTGGCAGTGTCTGCGAGCGACATAAACGGTTAACCATACGCACCTGAGTGGGGATAAGGAAAGGGGCCGAACCTCGGATCCTGAGTGGATGATCATAGTCAGAAAGAACAGCACCACCACCGCGAACATTGTGCACAGCTCACCATCGAGAGCACGGAGGCCCGTATTGGGAAAGGCCCAGTCAGGTTTGCAACGATTTGCTTCCCTGCGGACGTCAGAACGACGTCAAGCCATCAAATTCCGCGCTAAGGCCAGCAAATGAGGAGGGCCAAAAGGGTAGGAAAAAGCGAGGGGAGCCAATGAGAGAGCGAGAAAGTCGAGGCGACCAATCGGAGCGCTTCGATCGTAACTCTCCCCAGAACATACCAGGCACCCCGTTGTGCCGAGTATCCGTGGTAGCTACGTTGGTGTATGACATAAAGGTGACGTTTAAGCGTTGAGGTGAGGTGGAGGGGAGAGCTGAAGGAAAATTTGGGCATTTTATACCTTCACTCGGATACCTGCAGGCCACCAAACGTCTTCACATGAGGCGGCAACGGCAGGGAGATAACAGCTAACAGAGGTATGTAGCGTGGCTGACTTGCGCACCATAGCGCGGTATTCAGTTGTCCGTCATATGTGTGTACTGGCGCGCAGGTCTACTAACAACCGCCGTTGCTTGCGTCGGATATCATGGCAGTCCAGAAGGGTGAAGGCCAGCTGTTTTTCAGCACGAGGGATCGGCCGGGAGGGGCATGAGGATGTGGTGAGGAAGGAGGGGTTTTGTTCGTTGAGGGGGGAAGAATTGATCGTAGAGTATCTGGATTAACGACTAGAGTGTATAGGCTAGCGGTCGGTGGGGAGAGGGCAACAGAATGATACTGACAGCAAGGAGAGATAGCCTCTTGTCGTGTCCAACGTTTCGTTCGAAGAGAAACAGGGGGGGGGAGAGAATGATTCTGGAAGCGGACTGAGTGGGGCCCACACCCACTATTCAACTTTTATGCAGCCAAAACGCCAGCAAAAGCACGGCAAACTGCCTGTCTTGAAGATTTCAACCATGTTGATCGAGAGGGAGATGAATTTTGAGTTAACTTACGTGGATGATCGCACGGAGTCATTGCATCTCCTGCGTCCGTACTTGTACCACGTTAACCACTTGCGGAAGCGAAAGCATGAAGAGAGATGGGGCACGGTAGGTGATCACGGAATCAGGGTAGCTGAGCGACATGAACGCTAGGGCGTAACCGGGTAAAAATCCAAATCCATCAGACACGCTGAGTGATCGGAATGAGACCGAGCCTCGGAACCTGTGTCGATGTCCATAGTGACAAAGGAGAGCGCTCTCCATTGAGAGCACGGATGGCCATGGATTGGGAATGGCCCAGTCGGGTTTGCATCCCTGTGGACGTCAGAACGACGTCAAGCCGTCAAAGTCCGCGCTGAAGCCAGCGAATGAGGAGGGCCAAAAGGGTGGGAAAAAACGAGGCGAGCCAATGAGAGAGCGAGAAAGGCGAGGTGACCAATCGGAGCGCTTCAATCGTAACTCTCAGCTGTTAGGGGATGGACTTGGTTTGCACTTCTAACTCGTCAAATATAAGCGTGCGCTTCTCTACGCTTACCCGCACTGACTTAGCACCTACTATGGGCATATCCTTGACAAGTTCAGGGCCTACACTAACGAACTCTCTGTCATTAGTTACGACTCAGCTGTCGTCCAAGAGCGTTAAAAGTTCTCACAGCTGTGGCTATGACGGTTCTGGGCGAGTTGCTCGCCCAGAATGTTCCCACAGCTGTGGCTATGACGGTTCTGGGCGAGTTGCTCGCTCAGAATGTTCCCATGGGTCGTGCGCACCCTTATTTGCCTTCCACATGTACATATCTTATACTTGTGAGCTCAGCCATTTTATTGGTATTAAAGTTATTAGAATATCAGCGATTTACACTAGCATGTTATGCTCAGTCAATCGATCGTTGTTGAACTAATAAGTAAATAGAAACTAGTTACCTAGCATGTTACGGTAGGACTGGGCACTGTGTTCATGACGTCTGGAGGACTGATTGCGTGGACTTCGAAGAAGCAGGGCACTATTGCCCTCACTACTCTGGAGGCCAAATATGCTGCAATCAGCCACGCTGTTCGGCGGAACTAGCACACGATCCCCAATTCCATGGCGGCAGTAAGCATATCGATATCTGTCATCATTTTATTTGCTACTATGCAGAGCGTGAAGACATTTCTATTTTACATATTCGCTCCATCCCTTGTTTACTAAGTTTGTTTCTTCATTGACAGACGACATCATGACTTGAGGGGAGTGAGCCATGACGACGTGCCGGTACGTTTTAAATTGTCTCATCATGTCATTAGTCTAGCTACTTAGGTATATTACATGTTCTCCTACGTCTTTTGAATGGCTGAAACAAGGCATACATATAAGTATTGGTAGGGCAGCCACATGGAATCATACTTACCTGGGAGCTGTATGCCACTTACGGACCGATTATGGAACACCAAGTAACATGTGCGTACCCTATGAGTGTAGATATTGAACATCAATAAAGAAATCCTCCCCCTCAGATGAGCCTGAGGGAGAGGTGGTCCAAAAATTTGTTATATAAATTGCCTCCAAACGAGAGTGGCAGGGGTTGAAAAATTGATGACCACGAACGATATACTCCAGGCCAATCTGCAACAGTTGGCGTGCCTCTTGACTCATCTCCTGTGTTGAACATCTAGCCATGAAGTCTCACGAAGGTCAAGGCCCTGGCTGAACGCCAACGCTGACACATCATGGCCAACATCAGCATTCCGGACGAACAAGTGGAAAAGAGTGGCATGGGTGCAAGATATACTGGCCACGGAGACATGGGAACACCTATCAACAGACTTGTCCGATCCGTCACCTGACACACCCCGTTCCCTGCCAGTGAAGCTCTGCTGCTGGCCCGCAATGTCCCAGGAGAATGACACAGGAGAAGGTTATTGACTTAGTTCGCATACCATGGCTAACCGCGTCCCATTTCTCGGGGTCTCCCACCAAAAACATCACAGAGCGTAGCGGCAGGCTTCTCCACAGGGCCAGGGAGGTTTTGTGACACCATCAGCGTTCTGGACAAGTGAACCCAAGCGAACGATCGCAATGCACGAGGTGAGTGCAAGTTGAGGGGGCTGCAGAGACAACGAGTCGAGGTATATATATCCACGCTTGCTCCGTGAGAAATGGTTGACGAAAAAATAGGCTGTCCACTTGCTCTGTGTCGGCAAGGACAAGCAAGTGGACATCCCCACTTGCTCCGTGAGAAATGTTTGACTGAATAGGCAAGGACGAGCAAGTGGACATCCCCACTTGCTCCGTGAGAAACGTTTGACTAAATAGGCAAGGACGAGCAAGTGGACATCCCCACTTGCTCCGTGAGAAACGTTTGACTGAATAGGCAAGGACGAGCAAGTGAACATCTCCACTTGCTCCGTGAGAATAAATAGGTAAGGACAAGCAAGTGGACATGTCCACTTGCTCCGTGAGAAACGTTTGACTGAGGACGAGCAAGTGGACATGTCCACTTGCTCCATGAGAAACGTTTGATTGAATAGGCAAGGACGAAACATGTACACGAAAAATGTTTGACCAAATCCCCTCATGGACATGTCCACTTATTCCATGAGGAATTTTGATGCACAGTCGCATCTACAAATACTCAGTCAGGCTGTGGGAGATGGCATCCTCGACGTTTCCCCCCTTTGAGTGCGTTAACATCCTTCTTGCATCCATGCTCGTCACTGATGTACCTGGTAGGTTCAAACAATGCCAAGACAGCCTTCTTCCCTCCAACAAGAAAAGTGAGCGTGTCGTTGCCAGTGTCTCCCTATGTGCTCATTTCTTTGGCATTCAGGATGCATCGCAAAGAGGGTGGCCAGTGTCCTTCTTGTTCAGAGACATTCGGCAGTGAGGCCCGTTTGCAGATGCACGAGGCCAAGTGCAACAAGGGAATCGTCTTAGTTCCGGACAGCGATAAGGAGGAGCTCTCCAACCGCCAGGTGCTGCGTTCAGACGATCTAATCATCCCCCCCGAGTTTCATCATCTCCAGCTGGGGATCGATCCTTGCTGGAAGGTTATCGTGTGCCAGGGATGTAGAGTGGGTATCAAACCTGAGTATCTCGCAAATCACATAACCTCCAAGCATAACAACATTGGCCAACTACCTGCCAACTACAAGGATATCCTCATCCAGCTAGGCGTCCCGTTCACTGTCACTCGTCCAAGGTCCAAGGTGCCCCCCATCCAATCTATCCCCATAGTCCCTGGCTTCATGTGTTCCTTCCCTGGCTGCGGATTTGCTGGCTTGGCGAGAAAGTCGATGATAAGTAACCATCACCACGAAGAGGGTTTCAGACTCATCGAGAGCTCAGTCCAAGTGATACTGAAGGCAAACAAAGGCCATCAGGTGTGGCCCGTCGACGAGAATTACGTGTCTTGCAGCGCTTTGGACCCCGATCTACAATCCTTCTTCATGGGTCTCTTCCAGGAGGAAGAATCCAGATGGAACCCAACCACGATGGACGTTTCCGACGACCCACGCCATGTGAACGGTTTCTTAGCCACCTTTGGGTGGCTGAAGCTCACCGAGCGTCTCCCTTTTCAGGAGTTGCACGAGATCACTCTAGCTCGAGTGTCGACTGATCCCCAATGGTTGCGGCCGCTTTCTGGTCGGGTGGCAGGGTATTTCAAGAGGATTCATCCACTGATCGAGATCACGTCGCCTATCATTTTAAAATGGGTCAACAGCACGGCCAAGTGAGTGCTTGCTCTTTCTCTTGTCGTCTCTAGACTGATGCGTGCATGCAGCGCCGTCGAGAACATCCCCTTCTCTCTACCTCAACACGCCTCGACGTCGATCCGGTACGAGCAATTGGCTTCACGGCTGGTCACCTTTGTTCTCAGATACTGCCATGTCAACGAAGAATTCCCCCTCCACATCATCCTCACCGACGGGCAGAAAGGGGATATAGCAAGGCTATATGAGGCCCTCCGATCGCCAGTGGCACTGGACGACGATGATGAATGGGACTTATTGATCCATCGCCTCCTTCACTCGCTCCTCTTTTCAACCCACCGAAAAATCTTACAGGAATCCAAAAAGGATCCTGTACTCATCTTCCTCATGCTATTGAACCTGGATCCCAACAATGGGAGGTTTGCATCCTGTTCGGCAATATGTGGCCGGATGTCAGGGATGCTCCACGTCTTCCGGTTGGTGGCGATCAAGGAGATTCGTATAGCAGCAATCACTGATGAGGGATCATCGGTGGAGGATGTGGCGAAGAGCAACGAGTTCATGTAATTTTATTTTTATTTTACCTCTCATCTATGACCTCTAACGGGGGTTTTTTTTTTCCAAAGGACCTGTATGGAGCTATGCTCCCGCTGGCTGCGTTCCGGATTTCCCAGTCCCTTCGATACAGTGTTGTCTGCTGACCGTTATGCAACCACCGTTGCCATGAACGATGAGGAGGGGTTTTCAACAGTGATGTGGAACGACGATAACAAGTCCATGACGGTCAAGGGCCAGCGAATCCAATTGGGGGACGTTCCCACCCTCTACAATGGGATCTTGGGGCTCATCGAGGAGAAGATTCAATGGCTCTCCCAGGGAGTTGAGCTCCAAATGCCTTTCCAAGAATGTTCTGGGATCACCGATGACCTCCACAATAGGATCCCCAACTATAGCTTTCTCAGCGACCCGCGCATCACGAGCGTCAGACGGGATCTGCTCATTGCCCTTGGAAAGCCCAAATGGTTCGTCACCAACCCCGATGGTGGGATCGAGTGGAATCGGTTGATGTTGTCCAAGTGGATGGACGTGGCACAGGAGCTCAACACCCTGTTTCTAGTAGCCATCCATCTAGGTGGTGGGCAACCAGCAAGGGGAACTGAGATTTCCAGCATTCTGATAAGGAACCGCCAAAATGGCCACAGGAGCCTGTTTGCATTGGATGGTGGATTGACCAGTATTATTGGTTATAATAAAGTGAGTGACGGTCGTGAGTGATGGTCTCGGTTAATAACATATCGCCCACCAGACCACTGCGAGGACCAGGCGCCGCAAGCACATCTTACGTTTCCTACACAAGGGTCTATCGGAACTGCTGCTAAAATACCTGATATTCATCAGGACAGTAGAAGAGGCGTTCGTTGCATTCCTTTGGGGGGAGGAGGAACAAAACCACATGCACTATTATCTCTTCTACTCGTCGATGGGAGGTATGGTCAGCACTTCTGATCTGAGCACGAGCCTCCATGCGCAAACGACACATTACCTCAGAGCAGGTCTGGACGTGTCCACGTACAGGCATATGGCTGCTGCGATTGGCCGACGTTTGGAGGTTGGCATCATCGATCCGGAGGAGGACGAGATGACGACGGGGATGGATGCCCAGGCGGGGCGGCTCACAACGACGTCGGAAAAAATCTATGGTCTTCAGAAGGATGAGGTCGGTGGCATCAATGATCGTGTCATCACACTCTTCCGTGCAACCAGTCGCCTGTGGCACGACAAGGTGCTTGGGCTCCCTGTACGTGGTCGTGTGGTTGATCTGAAAACGGTCTTGGACCATGAAACGACCATGAGCCAGCTATTGGGGGCCGAGAAGGAGAGTGAGCCGGATCTCAGTCATGCTGGACGACCACAGTCAGCGGCGACAGCAGCGGAACAACCGGATATCTTGAGCATGGTACGGAATCTACTAAAGGAGGCGATCGAGCAAGATGTGATGCCTCAGCTCCTTGGTATGGAGGAACGTCTCATGGCTCGGCTAGGGGTCATGATGAGTAGCGAAGGCAAACCACCACCTCCTGCTGTGACGACAACCTCTCCTCCATCGCTTCACTCCCTGAACAGAGTACACACCACCCCTCCACCCGTTCCCGACGCATCTACTCCTGCAGCCATAGTGGATGATGAGTTCGAGTGGGAGGAACCGCCCTCGGGCGAAGCAATGGTATGTTCACTAACGTCTTCTGACTACACATGATTCATGGGAACCTTGTCACGTCAGGATAATATCCATGCCTCACCTGGATTGAAAAATCCACCGAAACAAGAAGAGGACGATGGGCTCCGGTACATCAAACGCAGCCAACGGAACCCTGGAGTGGGCAGCGCCACAGTGGTCAACCAACAACAACGACCCCAACACAATCATGTCCAACCAGGGGATTCGGAGACGGGGAAGCAGCAGCAGCAGCAGCAGCAGCAGCAACAACAACGACAGAAACAGCAACAACAGCAACAGCAACAACAACAACGGCAGCAACAGCAACAACGGCAGCAACAACAACAACGACAGCAACAGCAACAACAGCAACAGCAACAACAGCAACAGCAACAACAGCAACAGCAACAACAGCAACAACAACAACCTCCCGAAGAAGAGCTTCCTTCCCATGCAGCCGCTGATGAAGGTAAGCGTCCTCTCTTTCTATGGAGACCTAAGCCAAGAAGTTCCCTCAGAGTCCTCGACCCCCCTACTCCCCATCGTTGTCCCCCAAGAGGTAGATGGCGATAAGTTATCAAGGCTATACGATCCAAAGGCCACCGACAAGCTTCGAACCCTACTCAGGGATCAAAAAGCAACCTTTCGGTCCCCTGCACAGTACCGGGTCTACTGTGAGATCATGAAGAGGCAGCGTCATTGCCTATACGTTGCTGGCTGTGGCGCTGGTAAGACGTTACCGTTCATGCTTGCTGCCATGTCTTGGGGGATCACCAAGCAATCGATCTTGGTGTTGCCCTACCAGATCCTCCACCCGGAAATGCACAGGCGCTTGAGCAAATCCAACATATCCAATTGCAAATGGACGATGGAAACTCCATCTCCTGGGGAGCAAGTGGTCACTGTGGCCATCGAGTCCTTCAGCAACAACGTATTCATCAATTGGCTTGCAGGAGTGGCGAACAATGGAAGGCTGGGATGCATCATGTTCGATGAGGCACATGGGATCGTAGAAGATCAACTGTTCCGTCCAGCCTACCTCGATGCCGTCCGGAAGCTCATGCAGCTGCAGAATGCCCCCATCCTTTTTACGTCGGGCACGATGTCGCGGGGTTTCACCTGGAAGTTTTGGAAGGCTGCTGACCTCCTGTATCGTCCAGACCAGTCTGCGGTGGTGATCCGCACGAGGACCCAACGGCCACAGATCTTCTACCAGTTCGTGGTACTGGGGATGGGTCAAGAGCCTTGCAAGACGGATCTTCCAGACGTCAAGACGGCCTGGAACATGGAATGGCGTGCACGGACGGTGGAGGTCATCCGCCAGGTGGAGGAGGGTCTGAAGGGCGATGAACGGGGGTTGGTGTTCTTCGTGAGCAAAGAGGAATGCATGGAATGGGCCACGCACTTGCACTGCTCGTACATCACTGCTGACGTCCCATCCGATGACCGTCGTTGCCGTTTCGATGATTGGCGTCAAGGGAAGCGACGAATCCTGTGCCTCAACAAGGCAGGCTACTATGGCTTCGATTACCATGCTGTAGCCTTTTCGATCTTCGTTGGGCAACCTTTCTCTGTGAACGACTTCTACCAGAGTTCGGGGAGGGTGGCTCGAGGTCTGCAAGTTGGAACGAGCCTTGTGTTGCTTCCAGCTCCTCCGAAGCGCTTTTCCGCCACACAGGAGTGTTTCGAGGGTCGTGTGGCCATGACGAAGGCCGTTCAACAGTACACGATGTGCCATCGGGTCATGCCTTCGCTGCATCTGGATAGCAAGGGCGAAAACTGTATGGGCCTTCGGGAGTCAGAGCCAGGGACGGTGCTGTGTGTGGCGTGTTACAAGGACAAGAAAGGCAAGCTGGATGACTATGATTTCGATCTCCGCTGGGGTAAACCTTTCGGTGAGTCTCTCCCTTCCTCTCTCCCTGTGCGTTCCCTCTGACGTGGCCCATCTAGAATTGAGGGCGGCAGCGGATGATGGGGATGAGCCCATGGTGATAGATGGAGGTTCGCAGACATCGATGCAACCGCATGGATCTTGGACACCTTCTTCCACCGATCGATCGGCTGGCACTTCAAAGAGTGGGCCTTCGGCCTTGGAGATCAACGCTTCGCTCCAGCTGTCCAAATCCAACGCTTCTTCTGCCGTCCCCATTCAAGTGGAAAAATGTCTCCGGGAACTCAAGGGCAGGTGCTTACTGTGTTGGTTGCACGGTACGCACTGCTCACACCTCACATCATGCTGTCTTGGCACCACCACACGACAGGGATGGCAACAATATCAGGAGGGATATCACGAGTGGAAGTGGAAGCGTGGCCTGTTTTGCACCAAGGGGGACGGTAAGGACATTGAGGGGTATTGTTGGAAATGCCTCCTCAACATGGACTCTAGTTTGGTGCACACTTGTCCAACGAAGGACGGGTGCAAATTTCCTGATATGATTCCTGAAATGGCCTGGATGGTCCTAGGCTCGGAGGCGCTCCGTAAGGGTCTGGCCAACTACATTGGTGATCCCAAGGTAGAAACCATATGTGGGTACGAATCGTGGCTGTTGGGGAGATGGGAGGGCAATAAGAAATGGCGTAACAGTTCCACTCTGCTTGTACTCTTCTTTTACCGATGTTGCTCATCAAAATAGTAATGTGCCCTCGTGTCAGGCGGTGAGATACCTAGCTCTCCTGCATGTATGCGCTTTGGTGCTTTTCTTTCGTGCGAGGACATTGCCACTCAATGACGCTGGGTATTATAAGCGTCTGACAATAATAGCTTAGACAACATATCATTAAAGATGTCACATGGGTCCATGTGTGTGCTCTCGGGTGTATTGTGATACCTAACTTCCTCCTCCCATACTGGTGGGAAGTTTCCGAGCGAGCAGCTCACCCAGAAATCATCATAGCCACAACTGTGGGAACTTTCTGGGCGAGCAGCTCGCCCAGAAACCATCACAGCCACAACTGTGGGAACTTTCTGGGCGAGCAGCTCGCCCAGAAACCATCACAGCCACAACTGTGGGAACTTTCTGGGCGAGCTGCTCACCCAGAAACCATCACAGCCACAGCTGTGGGAACCTTCTGGGCGAGCTGCTCGCCCAGAACCTTCCCACGGGGGAGTACCTATTATGGGGAGTCGGCCGGAGCTCCAACAACTTCCGGACGCCCTCCCCCAGGGTTGTCACTGAGACTGAACCTGACATGTACAAAAGGAGGACTCACGTAACCTAACATGGTATTCTCTTGAGTTGTTTTCTCTATATAAGTTTTTATCATCTTTTGGTACATACTCTCTGTCTTGCTTGTATTCTGTTGGACACTTCGACGTTCTTCACTGCACATCAATCTGCCTTCCGCTTGTATCGTTTTTGTTCGCAGTTCAATTTACATCCATAACTGGTCCTTGGCATCTGTTTCTTTTTTCGCATTCTTCCGGTAATCTTGTACTTTCCTTGGTCACTCGACATTGCTCAACGAGGCCTCTAATGTTTGTGCCACACTAACTTTGCTGCTGCTTGCCTGCCTGTCGTGCACAAACCGGTCTTGGCCATCACAGGGCCTGTTGCTATTTCGAACTTTCTCCCGCGCCTATCACCGCCTGGATCCCTGATATGGTTGGAATTTCAAATCGTCTGTGGTTTTGGTCGCAAAGGTAGGCAAAGTACGAGGTACGTGGCTGTTGGCTAACTTTTCTAGGTGAACCCAAACACCGATTTCATGCTCGTAAGCCCAAACCAGCCAGATATAGGGGATCGTTTGTTTGTTTGTTTGTTTGTTTATGTTTGGTTGTTCAATTGTTTTTGCTTCCTTGTTGCGTTGCTACCCTCCCATCATCATTCTCTCGTGCTTGGCTTACGGTATGGGTCGGTGTTGCCATGTAGATCTCGCTTCCATAGAATAAGCCGGAGCTGCTCAATATGAACCCAAACTTCCATTCTCAGGAACAGTTGATTTTGGCTGCCGTCTTCACTCAGATGCACGTCCAGTGTAACCGAGCTGTCGGTGCCTCTGGAAATGCTTAAATACTGCCATCGATCCATGAGGATCGTCCAATAATGGCAAGAAATATGTGGACCGAGTTCAGCGACTACCGAGATCGGATGTACAAGGGCTCTGCCATCGTGAGTGAAGTAGTTATGCTTTCCACGCACATGCACTCATACACACCTAGGTTCCTCTTCGTCAACTGGTCGATCTGGAAGGCAACCGCCAAGTAGATGAAGAGTTCGTCGCCAGGTACCATGAGACTTGGGGGGGCAGCATCGACCCCTTGATGCACGAGATGACGGGGTTGCTTCCTGACGACGATGGGTTGGACCTCCAAAGTTTTCCTGCAGACATCCAGGTACAGGTCGTCCATGGCCAGCACCGAAAGAGGGTGCTGGAAATGCATATAAGGACTCTGCTGCAGCAAGAGCATGAACTTGCACATCCTGACGAGGAAGTGTCCTCACAGGAATTCCCGATAGAGGCGGTGTATGCGCATCCCCGCGCATTTTGGAAGGTGAAGCTCTATGGGCAATGTGAGAAGATCCTCCTTTCCGTCTCATCATGTCGTTGATTTCATCATCAGCTCTTCGAAAGAACCACGAAGTCATGTTCCGTGTTTGGCTGGCCAAAGATAACAAGATGGAGGACAAGGTGCCGAACAAGTGGCACTACGTGTTTTCGGTCATGCATGGGGTGATCAAGTCGAAGAATCCGGCACCGGCTACGATGGAACTGGGTTCAGCCTGGAGGGCGGTGGAGGAGAAGGAGATGTTGCCGTTGCGGGATGTATGGAGATCGAGTGAGCTGGCAGAGGCCATCGGGGACCTCCTCACGATCCCATGCTGGAGGGAATGCGAAAAAGTGCCATCTAGCATGGAAAGGTGGACTCATTGTGGGATGCATCAGGTGAGCGACATGCAGTTTCGTCGTCTTTTTGTCTGACACCTCGGAAAGCTCTATGCACAGCTGATAAGAACTCACATCGCGCAGCTGAGTGCCCTGGTGCAACCACGGGGGTAACGTCAGTGACTGCGTTGGACCTTGCCCTTTCGTGGTCCATCAACTTCCAGCACCCTCCTAGGTGGACCGCTGTGTTGGACAACAAACCGAATGCGATATACAGCCAAGGGGCGATCTCGGAGGCGAAGAGGGTTCCAGATGGATTCAGGAATGCCCTTCAGGACCGCAAGTCGAACACTTGGGGATTCCTCCCTGATGACGTGAGCTTTTTTTTTTTTTTTTTTTTTCCCCTTCCTTTCTTTTCTTGACGTCTCTCCAAGTTCCTACATCCAGCCTATCTCCAGGCGAACAACTCGCGAGTCAACTTGGAGATGTCCAAGATACGAAGGACCTTCATTCTCGTAAGTCTTTCTGTCCTTGTTTGGTGTTGTTCATTGAGGCCCTACATATCAGTTGGTCTACATCGTCTTTGGGGAGAAGCAGGCCAAGAAGATGATGAGTCGGATGAAAGGGCATGGTGGAAGAAGGAAGCAAGAGGATGTGGATGCATTCCATTTCACTCAAGATAACGAGGAGCTCTTTTGGGACACTGCGCTCCCAAAACTATGCGTGGCTAAGGGTCATAACACTGATGGCGTAAGAGTACTCTCGCTGTCTTCTTGTCCTTTTTTCTCATGATGCGGTTCAGTTACTGGAAGAGATCCTCCTATCTCGCCTGATCCGTCAAGGCACAGTGGATGCCACGTTCAAGAAACAGGATGTGGATGAGACGAGTGACAACTTGGACAGGTTCGATGTGGCTCGGATCACGGACATGGTCAGGAGAAACGAAGGGTGGTGGGCCTTGCTGAGACGGTTCGCTGGATGGAAAGATAAGGCCTATTGTTTCACCTCTGGGGTAGTCATCGAAGCGGCTTCCCCAGACCGCTTCCAGGAACTTCAACAGGTGTCAGAGGCAGTCGTGGAGCAGCTGGATGGTGCGGTGGACAAGTACTACGACAGTATCTACCACCTTGGACAGCTGAGTTCGCACCGTGACGAGGTGGAAAAGTCTAGGGAGATGGTGCAACGCAAGCGGGTCGAGCTGGATCGGGAGGAGAGGGAGCTGGATGAGGCAGAGGAGTTCAACCACCAGCTTCACAGTATAGTGGAGGACGTGCTTCAAGAGGACTCTACAGCTATGAATCGGGCAAAGGCCAGGTACGACGAGCTTCCCCCAATCCCACCCCCAACAACATCGGGGACACACAGGGTTATGCATTGGAGCGGATGATGGCGTCTCCTTTGCCGCCTGTTATGGCATCGTCGTTGGATACTACATCTTCCCCCCCTTCCCATAATTCTCTCCCTTCCTTGGTGCCCCACAGTGACGTCGACCTATTCCTGGATGACCTTCAGTTCCAAATGCGAATAATGTTTGAAAAGGATTTGCCCGACTATGATTGCTGGAACAAGGCCCACCGAATGAAGGATTTCCTGTTCCAGATGGTGCAGGAACCCTTGATATCTAGTGCCATCATGGATGGCAAAGTCACTGCCGAGGACATGACGAGCTTGGCCAGCATCCCCCCACCAGCACAACCCACGTCATCATCATCATCACCACAAACAACCCCTGAACAATCCTCAAGGAAGAGAAGAAGGTCATCGTCCCCTTGTCCAACCTCGAAGAAACTCAGAAGGGCCTCTGACCAAATCGATGACAGGGCAGTCGTGCTGAGACCCAATCGCTGGCGTCAAGTGGCAAGTCGAGCGTGGGTGGGAACCCCTCCTTTGACCATAGGCCCACTGCACCGTGATCACCAGACTCAAGGTACTGCTCCAGTGGGAACACAGCAGGATGACTGCGACGAGGATGCGACAGAGGATCCATCCTCGGATGAGCCAGATGCTGCTGGATCCATGCTGGAGGAGTTACCTGATGCTGCTCTTCCTCCCTTGGATGCATGCCAGGAGGATACACGTATGTTAGACGATCTGTACTCTCAATGCCCGCTGAAAGAGCTGCTCTCTGATGGGTGGGAGTGGGATGCTGATTCGATGCCAGAAGACCTGTGGATGGGACAGGATGGACCGAGTGGGGGTGTGACGGTAGTAGAATCACAGGGTGTTGGATATGAACAGCAAACGTCGCAACGCTCTCAAGTGCCTGGTACAAGCAGCAACCACACTTCCCAGTCGGACCATCTGCTGGGGACCCCTGATCACACGATGCTGAATCGTTACATAGGATATCAATATTGGAGCCAGGAATGGCAGAATGAATAGTTGTGTATTTATTCCTTTGTTGTCAGGGCCTGAGCGTGGAATGCTATTGAAAAAAAAAACCGCGTTGCTGTCTAACGCAATGGTGTGTGACAGCGTCCCACCAAGGAAGACACACCTTCCCAACCGCCGGTTGGGTATCTGTCAGGAATACGTATCCAGAGGGTTGCATGAAATCACCTGGGCTCGTAAGGTCGGAGGGGTGGGAAGTTAGCTTCAGCAACTCGGGTGGAGTGCTGTGCTCGTTCTTACACTGGTGCCCCAATTTCGGATGGGAGCCTTACGACAAGAGGTAGAGACGAGGGCATCCAGTGTAACCTACACAAGTTATAAGTACAACTAACTAAATAGAACCGGAGTGGGCGGATCAAGAGACAATATGAAGAATAAACAAATGGTTAATATTGGCAATCAGGATCAACGCTTTTGATCTTGTCTTAACAGCCGCTTGAACCCACCCCAAACTCACTCCTGACATCCTCTGGATTAGGCCCAGTTTAGTTCCTGAGTTTAGCAATCTAGCCAACCGTGAAACCGCCTAATGAACGGCTTGTGTGCACGCTGGATGAGACGCAACAGAATAGCGTGGCAACAGTCCCGGCCAATGCCAGAACCTCTTGAAATTGAAGACGGGAAGCCAGTAATTAACAGGCAGGAGACCGGGGATGGAGGGTAACACGAAAAACAAGGACAACGAGGAACAGGAGGAACAAGAGCAGAGGTTACAAAGAACAAGGAAACAACCGAAGATAACGAAACCTAGAAAAAACCTGAATAAGCAATCGGCCTGACGTGTTCGGGCGAAAACACCCGCTCACCACGAGCGGGGACAACTTTGCCCTTTCCCGACAGGCAGAACGCGAGCAAAAAGTCGATCATGTCAACCACCTTGCATTTCTGGGCACTCTCCAAGTCGACACGGATGGGCTCTTCCATTTCTTCCGCCCTAACGTTGTGTTATCACCAGAGAGGCAAAATGAAAGAGGGATGTCACACCGATAGGATTTCAAAGTTCCAGTCAGCAAACGAGATTGACTGGCCGAACTCGAGCTGGGCCTCGATCCACCACGAATAGGAGTTTTCTGAATCCTTTGGCGGTATTGGTGGTGCTCCCCTCATTCTGTTCTTCTTGAGGTACACTCATTGAGTGGAGGATATCTCGCTTGGTATGTTGTCAGAAACAATAAAAACCAACAAATCCAGCCAACTCCGTACATACACCTATTCCGTACAACCACATAACGACTAAGAGACGTTTAAGAGATGTTCTGAACACCGCCGGAGTCAGGATCAATGGAGCCTTTGTTTACTCATTAAGCTAAGGAGAAAATACCCTGAATATCGCTTCGAATGGGACATGTCAGCGAACGATCATCGCAACGTTGCGTTAATTGTTGCGATGCCTCGGTCCAAACACACCATTCCCGGGTTGAATAGTCAGGTCAAAACTTATCTACATGTAAGGGTGCGTTATTAATAGGACACAAAAAGAGCGGGTCCATTGAACAAGAGAAGGGTGGGTCCTCATAACTACAAAGGAGGGCCTGGATATAAATTGCATGCATCATTTTTCAACCAATGCGGACCTGGATGATCTTTAGAGGAGCACTGGAGGATAAGTCTCCTAGTGCCCAGGCAAGGCGGAATCTTCATCTATACGGCACCCGCAAAGCCAATATGGGGACCTGCAACACGAACTAGGGCCCACATCTCGGGAACAAACCTAGAAGCTCACCGGCATGGTAGAGAAGAAAACGAAGTTGTTGGAGACCGAGATTGGCCAACAGCTGTCTTCTCCTGTCCTCGGCATAGTACCAGCTTCAATGAGAGGATCAGCACCGCGCGAGCCCAATTCTTGCTTGACTTCCATATACCTGCCAATTTTCCCTTCAGCTCTCTCTCCCCGGGGAAGATCTGACATAGAAAGTGAGAGTGTTTAGGTGAAGTCTTTATCTTCCTTTGTATTTGCAATATAGTGTGATGGGTATTGTCGAGGTGACCGATGGCAGGCGATCAAAAGAGAATACAGGTGGTTGCTTTTTCTGGTCAGCAGCGAATTTTGTTGGTTCCCCTCTTTCCGAAGGTGCACTTCTCTCGAATGCTATGCTGGCGTGGCAATACTGCTGGGCAGAACCTTGCCTTCTGGAGAAGAAAAGGGTCATTGCCGGGCAAGTGGATCATTGCACTCACAGACACGCGGAAACCTCATTGGATATCGTACGTTCCCAGGTACACCTGCCCAGTCAAAGTCAACTAGCATGATTCCGGGTGTACAGTCCCTCTTCACCATGATGTTGGTAGTTCGAATGTCGCCATGCACATATCCTGCTTGGTGGAGACTGGTCACCTTCGTTCGGATTTCGGTTTCAAACGAGGCTTTCGCATATGAATCCTCCAATTCATGATAAGTATTATCGATGAAATCCATGACAACCATATGCCATCCACCGGGAATGGGCTGAAAGCCCCTCAAGGCAGGCGCGAATCCTAATGATGAGCATGTGCGATGTGCATCCTCCGAGTATCGACGGACGAACTTGATGCATATTTTGTCATCACCGGCAGTGCCATAGAATACGAGTTTCTCCTCGTTAAGGGGAGATAAGTATTCGAATGAGTGGTTTGTATGGTCGTCCAGAGAACGGAAGTGGGTAGGGTGCGGGAATTCCACGTTGGGTGGCTGGGCGGGGGACGGGGCAGTAGTACACGCAAGTTGGGATTCTTAGTAGTTCTTCAACGCGAGAATCGCGTTCTTCGCTGCACCCAAAAAACGCGCGGTTTGCGTCCGCATATCGACGTCGGATGTGTGATAGAAGAGCGGCAAAGTAGGTGCTAAAACCTGTAGATGAGGGCGTGCGGTCCACAGGGCGCCTGCAAAACCAATATGGGCACCTGCAACATGAACTTTAGGTCATGATGCACGTCTCGAGAACACACGTGCAAGCTCACCAGCGATGTAGAGGATAAAACAAGGGAGATTGGAGCCCAGATTAGCGGAAATCTGTCCCCTCGTAAAGGCAGCGTAGTACCAGGCCGCTTCAAAGAGAGGCTCAGCGCCGCCTAGGCTAATCTCTGACTTGACTTCCATGAGCCCGAAGCAAAAGTTGTTGCACCGAAGATCTCCGTCGGTCGTATACCCGTCGATTTGGCCCGCCAAAAAGGGGGGCTCGTACCCTCCAAAATCTTCTCGAGCCTTCTCCGCCCTTCCTTTCTCGGCGTCGTAAAACTCTGACATAGAACTTGACAGCTTTAAGGCAAAGTCATGGTCTGCCTTCGTCGGTATGTAACTTTTGCAGTCGTCTTGGAACTTGCCAAATATGGGATTGTACAATGTGATAGGTATTGTCGCGGCAGTCGATGGTGGGCGATTGAAACAGAATGCAGGAGGGTTTCTTCTCTGGTCAGCAGCGAAAAATTTCAGCTTCCCTTTTTCCGAAGGCGCCTTTTGCGCAAACTTTGAAGCCCATTCCGCCCGGCCCTTGGCGACACGGTTGCCTTTATATGATGAAGGTGGAACACTCTTGCCTTGGGGAAAGGGCCATCGTCAGGTTCACCAAAATCGATCCAGAGGGAATACCAATAACTGAGCTGAGCCAGCGAAACCATAACTTACTCTCTGGCGGTACAAAACGGGGCGGTCGCACGACCAATACCATTCAAACAGATAAGGAGTAACACAAATCATGCACTCACTAATACATGGAACCTGGACGACAATGTGGAGATGTCTACGCTGAGGCGGATGGAGGAAAATCTCGGATAATATATCCACAGGTGATAGCGATCCGGCATCTTCAAGTTCGACGGTCTTCATAGCCTCGCTGAAACTGTGATCGACTGCAATGGAAACCTTCCAGAGTGTGAGGGTGTCTGCAAGAATGTGATCCAGTGCGGGCTTCTTCTCCTCCTTGATGGCTTTCTTGAGGGCACCAACAGTCTTTGTATCCGAAATTTCCACTGGAAAGATGCGGTTGGCGTCATCGTCACGAATGAGACATTGAAGTTCGAGGACACGGTAATCTAATTGTGGCACTAAAGACGAGCTTGAGGGGGGAACGAACATGTTGAATGCTCACTGTCATCCTCTGTCTGTGGCTTTCGGCCTGTCACAAAGTCAGGTGTCTACTTATCGGGATGAGTGTTGACGCACCGGGCAACTTGACGAGCAGTGCCTCTCCATTTGACAGTGCCTCTCCAGCTGACACTGCCTTTCGATCTGAATTGATCAAGCGTTCTATTAACTGCCTTGGACGGAGTTTTTCAACCCCCCTATTAGAGAATGCCTTGCTGACTAGCTCCTTAAGCACTTCACGATCATAATCGACGAAATTAGCTGGTGAGTTTGTAAATCTCCACACTTCGAGCTCGTATGCATCAATGTCGCTAAGGACACGAGGTGCCTTGGCCTTGACCATCTCCTTCAAGCCAGCGACATTGGTTTTGGAAGATATCCCAACCGGGATCGACTCTCCAGTAGGCCTGTTATCGTGATCGACGACAAGGCACCAGACTTCCATGGCAGTGAACCAGACACAATAAATTGGGCCAACTCCGTGACAATTACATACATACAGCTGACCCAGATCGATAGGTCAAATCGTGAGCGGTCCGACGGGTCCCTAGACCTTCTTCACTCTAACAGGCTACAGCAGCCGCTAAGTACTATTGGGGTGCTGCACAATGAACCTATTCGAACTTAGGCCACCAAGTAGCCGATGGAACATTCAAGGCTTTTCAAGCTGCTTCTGACGTTCGATGAGTCCTATCCCAACAAACCTGCCACCGTTGCCAAATATGCTCCATCCGAACGTTTATGCGAACGGAGAGCTTTGGCTGGTCACCTACCCACGATGTCGCTGCAGTACTGACGAGCATCCAAATGTTTGTTTCACGATCCCATCGGTATGGGTTTCTTAGTTTTGACGCAAACCCTCGTCCAGACCATCTTATCCTGCACCACATCATTTGAGAGTGATTGATTACGCATGTACAAACAGTCAGCTCTCCTTTAGGGTTCATGTAAATGACAAGTCTGGTAGCAATGCGATGTGCTCAGAGTTGACCTCCCCCACACCTGTGTCAAGCCGAGTCAGACAGATGCTAAGATAATGGTGCCAAGGCTAGGATGTTGGATCACCAGAACCCCATAGATGGTCCGAAGCAACGCCCCGAAATGACGACGGAGGAAGCAGACGGAAAGGATGAGACGTTTCCTGCTTCGATTTTTGCGTGCAGGATCGAAATTTCGGGCAGAGTCAACTGAGCGTGACGATCCAAGCAAGTAAGCAACGTTAGTCGCGAGCCATTGAAACAAGAGGTCAGAAGTGGGGATGGGCATACTTACTGATAAGTCCAAATCCTTCTAATCGACCAGTGGTTCTCCCGAAGTTAACAATATTATTCCGGGCATACTGAGTCGAGAGACAAATCGAATGATGGAAGCACTTGGAGATGGAGATGGCGGTATGGGCGGTATGGGAGGCTCAGGGAAGGGCGAGTGGGGTGCACGGTCAGATGCAATGACGGTAGTAAGCAGGTGGGCAGACGCTAAAGACATCGTCGTTGTTGTTGAACTCTTGTTTGTTGAAGTGTGTAAGAGATCACTGAACCGGCAACTGCGGACACGCGGGCTTGGGTGGATATGAATGATGCGAATTAAGGCATGGGGGGATCAGATGTGGGAATAGGTTCTAAGGGCGTCGCAGGACATCAGAAGGGCGAGTTAAAGGGGGGAGAAAGGCATGGAAAGGGGGAAAATTATGACCAACGCACCAAAAATCATCAAACCAGCCAAAAACTCATCCCCCCGTCGACAAAATCGCTCGAACGGCAGCAGATCGTCCGCCAGCTTAGGATGAAGGTCCTAACGTAAGATCCGGGCCAATGGCCCAAAGGACCGGCCAAATGGGCCAAAAATGACACAGAAGGCCGTCACGAAGCAGCCCACCCAAAGACGCCTACAGCCAAATGCCCATAGAGATCCGGGGTGAACTTGAGCGCTGACAGCGCATTGGACCAACATGAGGCGTTGAAATGGAGGCTAAGGGCGTACACAAAGCGACCCACCACCATAGATCATAGACACCGTTGATCTGATTGCCAGAAAACTAAATGAGAGTCTGGAAATGCGGTTGAGCGCAAATAGGGCAGAAAGTCAACTAGAAGCGGGAAAAATTAAGTGAAGAGTCGTACGGAGTTGAACTCTCGTCAAAGGGATTCCCCAAGAGGATCTGATACGGAAACTTCAGCGGCCGAGACTGATACGGAGGATTCAGTGATCGATACAAATTGAGACCGACGTTTTCAACGGCAAGAAACAGATGTTCTGAGTTGAGAAGGGGGATCGTGGAAAATAAAAAAGAGAGATATGGAAAAAGAAAAAGCCACGATGACGCGTCTGCCTGGGAACACTTTGAGGGATGTGCTCTGATCCCTTTATATCAAAGTATTGGGACTCCCAGGGAGCAGCAGATACGCCAAAGTGGGGGAAAAACAAAATAAGAATGGGAATGCTGAACGGGAATGCTGCATGGGAATGAGAGATGTAAGTGCCGGATACATCAAAGGGTTCCTACCTAGAGGTCTACTACCCTCGACTCCCTCGACACCCCACCTTCATGCCGGTTATACTGGACAAGTTCAGCTCTCAATGAAATAGGAGAGAAAAGGCTCACACCAGGGATTCGACTCGGGGGAAGGATGCAGGGTTCCAAGGGATGCTGTGCTATGATATCCCAACGGCGCGCTATCGGGCACAACACAACCCTGCCTTGGACACAGGTAAGAGAACCTGGGATTGTTATCTAGTAAGGGAAGAGCGGGCCCTCCCTCCCCCCACCTCAATCCTTCCTGCACCCCAAGAGAAAAAAATGTGTCTGCATAGCCTCACAATTTAAATAGCTACCATTACAATACAAAAGTCACATGTGACAGACATAAACACAAATCCGATCACCTACTCCGGAAATCAACTCGCAACAATAACAACCACTTAGTCCAGATTTTGTGCATCCATAGCGGAGATGGCTGGGTACAAGTCTGGAAGAAGGGCAACCTTCTCAACTTCCATGGCACCCATAAAAGGAAAGGCTGTACAGTTCCCCAGTTGAGCAGTGTGACCATAGGGAAGGTCCGGGTGGCAGTACTTGGAGGCCGTGGGAACGTTCTGGGCGAGTTGCTCGCCCAGAATTGTGGCTGTGACCTGTGGGAACATTCTGGGCGAGCAGCTCGCCCAGAACTGTGGCAGTGTCTGGAGGTCTTCTCACACTTCCGTGCTCACACAAGTGTACAAGGCAGTGAATGAGAATAAAAACAAGTGAATATCCTCACTTGCTTAAATCCTACTATGACTGTAGCAGAGACACTAAGATGGCACCGACCTCCTACTATGCACTGGCCTTTTCCATTCAATCCTACTATGACAATAGTGCAAGTGGACATCTTCACTTGCTAGCCGTGAGAAAAAAAGCAAGTGAACATCTTCACTTGCTGCCGTGAGAAAAAAAGCAAGTGGACATCTCCACTTGCTAGCCGTGAGAAAAAAAGCAAGTGAACATCTTCACTTGCTGCCGTGAGAAAAAAGCAAGTGGACATCTTCACTTGCTGCCGTGAGAAAAAAGCAAGTGGACATCATCACTTGCTTGCCGTGAGAAAAAAAGCAAGTGGACATCCTCACTTGCTAGCCATGAGAAAAAAATCCTACTATGCCATTCAATCCTACTATGACGGTAGTCGAGCCACTTGACTTTCAGAACCAATTCAGTCCTTTCCATTCAATCCTACTATGCCATGGGAATTTTAAAATCAATTCAGATCATAGTAGACCTACTATGACGGTAGTAGATCCCTTGTTCCCACCTTCTCTACTTCTCAGCTTGTCCGCTTGTCCAGTTATCCCGTCCCCCACCAAGTTCCACAGTTCCACAGTCCCAAGTCTAGTCTACTTCTCCCCTTGTCCAGTTCTCCACTTGTCAGCTTCTCGCGTTATCCCGTCCCCAGTTCCACAGTTCCACAGTCCCTCAGTCTAGTCTACTTCTCCCCTTGTCCCCTTGTCGGGTCCCCAACAAACTTTCACAGTTCACCTTCCCTACTTCCACAAACCCTGAGCCAGTTCCCACCGAGTCTACTTGTCTACTTGTCCGCTTGTCAGCTTGTCCGCTTGTCCGGTTATCCCGTCCCCTCCTAAGTTCCACAGTTCCACCAGTTCCACAGTCCCCAAGTCTAGTCTACTTCTCCCCTTGTCCACTTGTCCGCTTGTCCGCTTGTCGGGTTCCCAACAAACTTCCACAGTTTTCACCTTCCCTACTTCCACTTCCCCCTGAGCCAGTTCCCACCTTGTCCCCTTGTCTGGTTGTCCCCTTGTCGGGTCCCCGACAAACTTCCACAGTTCCACAGTCCCCAAGTCTAGTTTCACAGTTCCCAAGTCCAAACCTTTTTTTGCTTCCTTGTCTACTTGTCCTCTTGTCCACTTGTCGGGTCCCCCACCAAGTTCCACAGTTCTAAACCTTTTTTTCTTTTTGCTTCTTCCCAAGTCTAGAGTCTAGTTCTTGTCTTCTTCCCTTCTTCACCTTCTCGCATTCTTGCATTCTTCCCAGACTTCAAACTCAAGTCCCCACTTTTTTTACTTCCACAGTTCCGCATTTTTGTCACCAGCCTTGTCTTCTTGTCTAGTTGTCTAGTTCACCTTCTTAGCTTCCAAACTCACACTTCAAACTCAACTTCGAACTTTTTTTACTTCCTTAGTTTTGCTTCTTCCCAAGTCTAGTTCTCTAGTTCTTGCACTCAAGTGAGACTTCAAACTCAAGTCTCCACTTTTTACTTCCACAGTTCCGCATTTTCGCTCCTTACCTTGTCTAGTTCTTGTCTTCTCACCTTCTCGCCTTGTCGCATTGTCATATTGTCGTGTTGTTGCCTTGGTGCCTTGTCTAGTTCACCTTCTTAGCTTCTCAACTCACACTTCAAACTTCAGTTCTCACTTTTTTTAGTTCAACAGTTTTCCATTTTTGCTTCTTCCCTTGTCTAGTTGTCTAGTTGTTTAGTTGTCACCTTGTCGTGTTGTCGTGTTGTTGCGTTGTCGCATTCTTGTGTTCTTGTGTTATTGTCTTCTCAAGTCCTTCTCAACTCAAGTTCTAACCTCTTCTCCCAACTTTCTCACCTTCCACTTTCTTCCTATCAAAATTTTTCCTCTGTGGCTGTGCAAAAAAGTGCACAGCCACTTCTCTTTTTTTCATTTTATAATTTTCACTAAAATCACACCTTCCTAACCCTATCAACCATTTCAATTTTCATCCATCCAGTCAAAACTTATTCCACTTTTAGTTTCACTTGCACCCTCACTGCACCCTCCTGCACCCTCCTGCACCCTCGAAATTTATTTTCCAAAAAAAATTATTTAAAAATTCCATTCCATTCTCTCTCCTGAATATATCACTCTGAAAAACACCCCATATTTATATCTATTTTTTCCACTCAGATATTTCACTTTTTATTTCAGTTGCACCCTCACTTGCACCCTCTGCACCCTTCTGCACCCTTGAAAAAAAACTTCCCAAAAAAATTACAAATAAAATATCTCCCCATTCTATCTTCTCACCATATTCCACTCCAAAAAACCCCGCATTTTTCCCTATTTTTTTCGTCCACTTATCAATTTATTTATTATTTTTTTCCTTCAAATTTTATTTTCCCCATATCTCCTTACCCAGAGCAGCTATTCACATCCTCTTTTTTTCATCTTGTAGATCTCGCCAACAGCTATCTGGAATGCCTATTGCCGCCCATAATTCTCAAAACTGACCGAGAAAACATCGAGGCTTCAGGTCAAGGGTGCAGGGTGCAGAAATGTCAGCGCTTATAACTTTTCAACGGCCGAACCAAATTTCAAATCATTGGTACCGTTAGAAAGGTGTGATTTTTCTCTTTTTTTCAAGCCCGGAAAATCCCGAGGGTGCAGCGGCAATAGCCTATTGCCCCCCCCTTCTATAGAGTGGCCCTTTGGCTCCTTGTTGGAAAGCCTTTATGGTTGGCATCTGTGACATTTTGATAGGGGATAGTCGTATGGGCGGGCGACTGCACAAACAAGGAGGCCCTCTGGCTCCTGTGTTGGGTTATCATGGTTATCATGGTTATCATGAAATAATTATAAATTGCTGGGTAGCATAGACTCTGTTCTGCGTGAACCACTGGAGATTTTTGGGGAAGCTGCTATGGGTCGGTGGCTTATGAACCAAGTGCAGTCCCAACCATGGTGTAGATGTTTGGGGTCTGAGGACAAAATAGGTTCAGAAGACCTTTTTGTCCACTCGTTACAGAAGAGCTGGGGTGGGTGGAAGTGAAGGTCAAGGTTACGATTCCTTTGCTTTCCAGCCAGCCATTGGTTCTACCTGTCATGGGATATCCTTGTTTGGGCTGGGGCCGCTTCAAGTGATGTGATTGTACCCTAGCAAGTGAGTTCGAAGTTGGGGCTGGTGGGCCTTGACTCTGGGAGACCTTGACTCCTTGTGCGCTTCGGCTTGACAACTTCTAGCTGAAGGGCTAGAGTCCTTCTGTGTGATGTTGATGCCTTGAGGTGTCTTCGACCATAAATTCATAATGACCTTGCTAGAGATGTTGGATGTGATGAGGGATAACCACAACCACAATCATAAATAAATAATATATTATGATTTGTTTATGGGTCCCAAGAGAATGTCCGGGTCATACATGCTAGTGTTTGCGTACTATGTCTTAGTGTTTGCGAACAGTAATGACCTTGCTAGAGATGTTGGGTGTGATGAAGGGATAACCAGAACCACAATCATAATGGTATATTATTTTATGATTGTAATTTATTGGTCCCGAAAAGATGTCCAGGTCATACATACTAGTGTTTGCGTACTAGTGTTTGCGAACAGTAATGACCTTGCTAGAGATGTTGGGTGTGATGAGGGATAATCACAACCACAATCATAATATAGGATTTATGATTGTAATTATTTATCCAAAAAAAATGTCCAGGTCATACTAGTGTTTGCATACTAGTGTTTGCGAAGAGTGATGACCTGCTACAAAACATAGTTATTTCACGTATCAGTGTTTGTGGACATTGGGATGTCCATTGTAGTTTGTGCCAAACATCGTAATTCCATGCGCGAAAAATTCTACGACCAGGGTGCATATTTCATCTTGATGGAAACCAGTTGTGGTTCAAATTGATGTCGTAATTCTACGCGCGAAGAATTCTACGACAAGGGCAGATCAACTTGCTGGCCAATCCGCTAGGTCGCAATGGACTGATGGACCTATATTGTCGGTTGTTGGATTGGTATTGATTGTGTTCTCTTCACGCAAAAAGGCATAGCGGGAGAGAGGGCATCTTCATTCACAATATTATAATATGCTATTGTACAAATGTGATGAAGTATAGGATGTTGTGGTCAATAACCGAGCTTTTTCAAGCCGCCTGTGTTGGCAACAAGTTCATCGCTGTCCCCTTTGGGACCTTTGCGTGACTTTGACCTTGCTGAACGACCTGTTCGCTGAGCATCCACTGTTTCTGATGTTGCTGCCTTCAGACGAGAACTTTGACGCGGCGGATTTGAATCAGTTTGGGGCTCGGTGATTCGGCCCCGTTTCACTGCCAGCTGGGATGAAGGCGAGTTTGATGTCGATGCGGGTTGGCGAGACCGTTTGCTAGACATAGCTTGCTTGCCCGATGGGGGGGTTTGGGGTGGTTCTGGTTCATCTGCTGCACCATCATGTGGTGATTCATCCCCTCCTGCCATCTCGGTGTCCTCTTGACGTTTGCTCTTCTTCCGGCGTTTTGGTGCATAGGATTTATCAGATGATGCATCGGAGGAGGTGACGCTATCATAAGACTTATTATCCTCCTCCCCAGCGGACTAAGGTGTGGATCAGGCTGGCAAAGAATGACTTAATGACGAATGATGATTGTCATGCTTACATCAAAGATATAGGCGAAGTCTCTGTGGCCCTTCAAGAAGGCTGGGGGGGCCTTGCCTTGTCGGCTCGGGTCTAAATAATAATAATATATGGAAAATAAATGCTTGCGTAAAAATATTGAGCATTCCAACATACTGCTGAGCCCTTGTAAAAGCGAGGCCTGAGCGACCGGCCAGACGAAGGGATCCATTGTCCAGATGAAAGATCCTCATCGTAGATGGTCACCTTCTGCCGATCCCCAAATTTCTGTTCGTCACTAAGGACGGAATTCACTGCATGGACGATGCTGAATCGATGAAGGGCCTAGAGAATATGTTGAGTAAGGGAGGGATAAAATAATAATCAATCAATTGACTTACACTTTCGAAGTCATTCCATGCCTCAATGAGGTCATCGTCGATGTCATTTGTGATATTGTTGCGGTAGTGAATCCACGGCAGGTTCTGGAATGCTTTGCGCATGGAAAGGATACTGGCCTGGTGTTGTTTTCGTGCCAGCTTGTAGTGGGAGAGGGGAGTGTCACTTTCATCTGGTTCGTCCTCAGATTCTTCTGGGAGACCCTGAAGGTTTCGAACAAATGCAGAAGGGTTTTCCAGGTATTTTGACCCCTGACTCCTTGCAGCCTTCGCATGACCGATGACAAAGTCAAACCTTTGAGGATCAATCCCAAAGTTGCTGATCCTGTCAGCGAGGGTGGTGTAAAGCAATGCCGTTATCCCTTTTGTCTGGATCAAAGGTTTATGGCACCGGGCATCGTGGATCATGTAGAGCAACATTGCGATCTTCCACTTGGAGGATAAACGATTCACGTTGCTCCCTGTGCCCTCGCTGATAGAGATGAGAGGGTACACAGACATGGCACGATGGACATTTTGCTTTGAACTCCGAGATTCCCGGCGTAAGGAAATCTCAGTTGCCGAGTTCCAGGTGTGAAAAACGTCGTGGCAAAGTTTAAAGTTATCACATTCAAGTTCCCAAGTGAGTGCAAGGGGACCTGATGCAAAGATTCCATTGTTGTGATTGGAGGGACGAGGAGGATAGGGTGGGTTCGCTTCCGAGGCCTTGGCTTTGCCTTTCCCTTTGGCTTCAGCATAAATGCCAACCTTTTCGAAGAAGCCCCTTGGCAGCTTTGCAGTCTCGCGTTGTGGAATATGGATGAATTTTGGATCAGTCTCCATTTCAATCATCCAGTTGGCAAAATGTGGCACAAGGTCAGACATGACATCGAAAGTGAACTGAAAAATATTTGATGATGAGCGGGTGGGATGATGGAAGGAGAAAATGTGACTTACAAGAAGTTCAACATTCCAATGACGTTTGAGGAGCTTGTCTCGGGAGAATGAGTCAAAGAGCAGGTATGAGCGATCAGCGGGATAGTCCTTGGGCCATTCAAGAAGGTAAATTGAAATGGGGTCGACCCATGCATGAATCTGAAATGGGCATAATTAAAATCATCAAATCATCAACATCAAACACATGCACAAGAAGCTCATGTTGTTTCTCAGTGCGCGCATGAGAATACGACAGATGGGACATCATATCGTTTCCATGTGCGCGCATGAGAATACGACAGTTGGGAGGAATGTTGCATGCCCAAATAATAATTATTACAAGTTTGTCTTGTCGTTTCCATGTGCGCGCACAGAAATACGACACCAGAGGGTGGAATGGGGGTTCAGGGAACAAGAGGATTCACATACCTCACGAAAGCAATCACTGTACTTTTCACTCAAGTCCTCAAATTTTGAGACGAGTCCAGTGGTCATGAGGATGGGATGGATGTCATGGAGATGTCCAGAGAAAAGGAGGTCGAATCGTTTGAGGGCAGAGATCTTGACGTGAGGCACCAACAGTGCCTCAACACGAGAGATGACATGCTGAATCGCTTCACGGATTTTGGCCACATATGTCATGTAGCGCTCCTTCTGTATCAGGGTAAAGACCTGAAAGACATCGTCGGGATATACCTTTTCCCGCTTCTTCTTCCCTTTACCAAGTGTGACAAGCCCAGCTTCGAGTTCCGCCTTTTCAACCAATGTCCAAAACTCCATCGTGTAGAAGTGTTCGAGGTCAGGCAGTGCTTCTTGCTGATCGATGAACATCGCTTTGAATTCTGCTATGAGTTCGTCAGCCCTTGCCATGAGCCCGTCCCGGCTGGTAGCAGTCTTCGCTCGGCCAAGTTTCACTATCAAAGTGAAAAACTCCTCATACGGGAATTCGGCATCCAATTCGGATGGCGAAAAGATAAGGCCCAGAAGTTCATTCTGGGCCTGGATATATGTCCACAGGTACTGCATGGACATTGATCAGTGTGAGATAGAGGTGAAGTAATATACTCACGGAAGATGTTGCCTTGATTGTGTTGAGTGACAGGTGGTTGATGTTGAAACCACTCCAGTCGCGGTAATACTTGCCCATCCTGGTCATCTCCATCATTCCACGGGTTGTTCGGGGATCCCTTGAGATCCTGTCAACCTTTGCCTTGTTTGCGTGGATCTGTAACATGAGTTCAGTAGGTTTTCGGTGATGTGACATTCCGATGTCACTGGGCAAGGGGGTTGCGCGCCATAAGCGTGGACGCCACCCTTCTTTCATCTCTAACCCCAAAAGTTGTTGATAAATTGGTGCCAACCGATCCTCCTCCGTTGTTGCAACCTCGACGGTGTCCTTGTTCTGGGAGAGTAAATCGATGAGCAAGGTACCCTTGCCATCTCCCTCGATAACATCTATTTTCAAGGAAGCAAGGTGTCAGTGTTGGCCTTGACGGAAATGTGGATGGAGAATGTTGGCTCACCTAAATTCCAGATGTTGCAAGGCCATGTCTTCAACTTTTCCAACTTTTCCAGTTCGGAATCATAGGCAGCCTTGTCATCATCTGATTGTTTCCCTTCCTCCTGTGCCTCGATTATTTCACGAAGGCGCTCTAATTCAGCTTTTGCCATGCCATATGCATAGCGCAATCCTTGAATTCTAGACAAATAAGAGATCATATGTCACTCATGATGATACTAACAATTATTATTAAAATTGCGGTACTGACCTGTGTTGTCCATTGATCACATGGACTTGGCCTGCGTTGGCGGCCTTCTCACCAAGGTCATTGAACTTGATGTGTGGGAGTGATTCGTAATTAGAATGGGTGATCTGGCGAGGCCAGGTTTCGTTTGCAACCCATGATGGGCGAATGACGAGGTTGAGAGCCATCTCAGTTGTGAGACGGCGAGGACCTGAGTGTTGATACACATCCAGGCCTATCCGCTTTGCGGATGGGGTGTGAATAGGTCGAGCATTCCTACCCCCAAGGCGTAGACAGGGGGTTTCAGGATCATAGACGTTAAGTTCACCTATTCCGATCAGAGCACGTTCTCGAATTTCCACGCATGCCGCAATCTTGGCATCTGTTGTGAGTGAAAACCACTCATCGGAGATGGTGAGGTTGAACTGCAACCCCCTGAGATTGTCAACGGTTGGTTTTGCAGACGAAGTAGATGCCATGGCTCCGTTGATCGCAAGATCAGTTGAGGGTGAAGCAGCAAAAGGCAGTGCCAATTATTATTTCACAAGAGACCGCAATTGGGAATACCCGAGCCAATCAGATCAAGAATATTCATTAGTCAGATGGGTCATATGATACTAATTTGTATTTGATATGTTATTTGTGTGTTGGATTGACACCATTACTATACCTTTTGCATGCACGTAAAAATGATGAATGGCCCACAGACAACTAAGAGATTGGTTGGTCCATAATATTGTTATTATGATTTGATGGTGATGTTGTACTTTTTTGCGCGCTCAGAATGACGATAAGGGCAAAGTGACATAATCATTGGGAATAACATCTTAGTGACCAATCATTATTGCGATGTCCACTTGATCCAACTTGTGGATCATTCCCGGGTTGCAAACTGTGGAATAATAATATATGTGGCCTTCATAAGTATGGGGACCCAGATGTGAAAATGCATTCCTTAGATCAATGCAACCATAGTGGTTCATCTGGCCATAAGATGGGAAGACAATATGTCAATGTCGTACTTTTTTGCGCGAATGAAAAAACGATAAACAGCTTGGTGGGATCACAATGATTCACCCTAGTTTGTTGTGACATATTATGTTATCCTGTTACCCACTAGAGTGCTTGCGCTTTGCCAGACCCTGCACTGCCCACTTGTTCTGTTATCATCAAATAACTATGTTGTTATGTTGCAAGGGTCAATGGAATTCAATCATCTTTCTCGTAACAACACAATACATACAGGGAAAAATTGGATGGCATGGCAGCGAGCGAAGGTCATACATGGTGGCCTTCAGATATGATGGTACTGATCAAACTGAACCGATACCAAGGGGCACATTGACACCTTGAAATGTAAGAAAAATTAAAGAGATGACAAATTTTCAGCATTGAAAAAAGCGTAATATTGCCACGGGTGTATGACTCTGTGCAGAGTAACCAACTACCAGCATGTCCAAGGGTGACACAATCAACCAGTGGAAAGCAGTGTGCCAATTGTCCCCTATTTGAAATACAGAATCCATTCAATGTCCCCAGCTTGGTTGTTCTGCATCCTGCTTCATCCCGCTTGAACCCACGTTGTCCATCATATTAATCCAACATAAATTATGGCCGGGCTTGATGATGTCTGCGAATCCATCCCAGTGGAAGCAACCATTCCTGCTTTTGACCTAGATAATCCACAGGCTGAGGAGGCATATGGATCAGTCAATCAGGGCCTGATCGCAGGTGCGATGATAGGGATGAATACCACCTCTAGGATCCCTGAACGAGACCGATACCATCAACGGCCTGAACAATTGCTGAACCTCAGCCAGCTGCAAGGACTCTACAACCGCAAGGATGGTGGAAGGGCCTTCCGCCTTCTCAGGACAAAGTACAGGCTCAATGTCGATCACAGTTTTTATGAAGATGGTGTCACCCAACACTTTGCCTACCGCACTGCAGGGCACCACATCGACTTCTCCCTCAAAGTCCCAGATCGCATCGGTTTTGATGTGATCCTTCCTCCCCCTTCCATTAATGTGAATACCACCTGGTGCTTCCACCTCAACTTGTTGGGATCTTCCCGTCCATTTCTCAACCACAGGGGTGACCTTGGCTTTGACCCCACAGGCAGGATGCTCTTCATCGGTACACAGGATCATGACAACATCTTTCTTGCCATGGCACCTCGCTCATTCCTAGATAATGATAACGATCCAATTGCACTGGGTACCCAATCCGAGCGCACCCAGATGACTCCCGCACATGTCCGTATGGCCACTTGCATAATTCTCTGGGCAATGGGCCGTATCCCCAACAGGAGCTACTCCACACATGACAACTACTACATAGATTTGTCCGGGAGGCTTGACCAATACAAGGCCATCACAGATTGGGTGTAAGTCAAGCAAGCCTTGGAGCATTCAATGTCTCTTTGCTCATATGTCGATGCATTTTCACTAGCTCACAGCAATCGTCAAAAGCGATGTTAAATCTCTCCAGTGTCCGGTCTATGCATGACACGATGGTTCAACGATATGAATCACACTTCTTCGAGAATGCACCTGAGACATGGCATCACGATCCTTGGTTCAAGGAATCCATACCGTTGATTGTCTCGATGAAATATGGTCAAGACCTACTGCTTGACACAAGTGATGTCAACTTGGAGCGAACCATCACTACCTTTGGCCAAAACTATTCTTTCGAGCACATATCACGTTGGAGCTTTGCCATTGCCACCCACTTGCGGTAAGTCATCAAATGTATGATGGCTCACAAGTGTGTGCATTGATTTTGTTTTGGGGCTTAGTGCCGTTGCTGTTGCTAAGACAGTCAATGTGGACCCTGAAACTATCCTAGAAGAGCATGACGAGGTTTATGATGAAAATAATGAACCAATCACTGATCTCGCCAATCTGCCGTACCAGGACATAGATGGAAATGACGTTAACATCTATGACTCAGAGAAAAATAGGATTGAACGTAGAGTCCAATTTTTCAGTGCAACAGCTGCACCAGGGGGCCCTCTCTTCCAGTTACACGATGCCCCAACGATGTTTGACCACTTCCATTATGGCGACCGGACTGGAAATGTGTCCATCTCTGTCTACCCACAAGCATTCATGACACGCTTTGGGCATGTGCAAGCAAACACCGTCCTCCCTGAATTCCACAGGGCTGCACAGGGAATCAACAGTGAATTGCTTTCTCGAACAAGGCAAAGACAAAGCCACGACCCCATTGGAGAAGACAGTGATGATGACAATAACGATAGTGACTATGCACCCTCAAACCGAGAATCTGATGATGACCAACTGCTTGGTGGTGACGAACTTGACACCCAGGAGGTTGAGGACCTCCTTCATCAGCATGCTGTGGAGCCCCTAAAGGGTGTGTTTTTCCAGGGATACAATGAGTTGCAACATCGGATTGCACGGAGGTCAGGAGCAGCTGAAACCATGCATGGAGCCATAACTGCTGCTCTTGCTGGACAATATGCCCAACCGACAGAACGCACAAAGGCTGAAGAGATGTCCTCCTATGTGGAGCGGGGGATGCCATTTGACCGAATGAAGCATAAACTCACATCCAATGATCCTGACTTGCGACCACCAACTGATCTCCGACTGGAGAATTATTGGACCATCAACTTTTCTGGAATTGCACAGGAGAAACGGACTGGAAGGTCAGAATGATATATTGGAAGTTTTGTACTTTGTATTGATGGTTGATCTCCAGAGCTGTTTTCGAGAAGATTCTCACCCCCCTTGTGGACACATGGGTTGATCCGGAATTGGTAGACAAACTCAGGCGCAATTTGGTCATCTTCAAACCTGAGGTATGTGTTGGTCATGATCAGCTTTGACGTGTCTAATATGGTGGGAATGGGGATGATTTAGGTCCTTCAGCGGACATATCTTTGGACCACATACCCTCTCTTCTGGGCCATAGATCACATCTACCAATCTGAAGTCCGACGCAAGAGAGAGGGACGTCCAGCAAACTTGCTGCTGCGAGAGCTGCTTTCAGCACTGGAACGAGCTGGTAGCTTTGGGTTCTGTGGTGCAGGAAGGGTGCTGTCCACATATGTGATGGACCCTCTTTTGCTTTCTGTCGGAATCAAGGAAACTGGATTCCCATGTCTGAGTGACATGGTGGGGATCCACCTTGAACGAATGGAAAAGATTGATGTCGATGCATCCAGATGGCCGAAAGATGCTGCAGGAGTCCCACGCTTCGCATCAAAGCGTGTTGTTCTGTACAACTACTCTCAGGCCACATATGATGTGAGTGTTTATTTGTTTTAATCCTTGGGATAGTCGTTCTTCTGTGTGCGCATGGGAGTACGACCTTTCTCTTAAGTCTCTGGAGGAAATTAATGTCGTAGTTCTGTGCTCGCATGGGAGTACAACCTTTCTCTTAAGTCTCTGTAGGGAAATTATTGTCGTAGTTCTGTGCTTGCATGGAAGTACAACTGCTTTTCTAAAAATTCACCACAGAGAAGTTGTTGTCATTCCATGCGCGAATGGAACTACGATAATAACCCACTTTTTCAATCATGCATGAATTTCCATTGCCGAGTACTGACCCACCCCTTCACTTTCACTCACAGCGTATGAAAGCCACCTGCTTCATTGAGCATATCCGCCTTGGTCTTCACACCACCGAACATCTCCCCACCTCCCTCCCAAGGGAGGAGAAAATCCTTCAGTCACTAGCCAGTTATGTGGTTGAAACGCTTGAGACAGATGCCCTCTATGAAATTGAGAAGGGAATCAAGAAATCCCTGAATGCAAGCTATGCAACTGCAGACCGAGATGACCGACGTCGCCTCAATATCCAAGCTGATGCACTCAAGGAACTCTTGTCCAGGGCACACCCCTTTGACAATTCTAAAGTGGCCACAGAGTGCCAGATTCTCACACTTGCTACCTCCTCTCAAGCCATACACTCAATTTTGAAGAACCTGCCCCGCATTGATGTCTATGAATGGGTCCGTGGCTTGTATGCAATGGTCACACCGCCTGACCTTGTTCAAAAATCATCATCAACAAGGAAGGGCCTTGGAGCACCCTTCTTTCGACAAGGGTCTGCTGCGGAAGTCTGCACTCAAGTCTTCCAGGCATTGCGAGACCTTTGCCCACACACATCATCCTCACAAGGGCAACAGGAGTTCTGCATTGAGGCTGTTGTCTTTCAGATGGATTCAAGACGGATGTATCGATATCCACATTCCACCATGTTTCCCACAGGGAGGTCGAGTCAATGGGCACAGTATGATTCATGGGTGGACTTGATATACCCCAGCAGGAATGCAAGACGACCTGATCTGGGAACCATGTCTGATCCAGATCGCCTTGCAGCCTCCATTGCCAGCACCCAGATTACAGAGGGAAACCCACAGGCATCATGGAACTGGATTGATGCAAGGCTTGGTGACCTTACATGGGTCATCAAACGTTCTCGACTTCCACTTGACTGGATCCAGCAAGACATCTTGAAGGACCCGATGTCTCAGGAGCTCACGAATTGGGTCACCGAGAGCTATGATATGTTGGATGCAAGATTCCACATCAGCCTCATTGCTGCGTTCATCCTCACTGCATGGGCTCCCTTCCATCGGGTCAAACACAATGAAGAGAAGATTCCAGCGGAACGGGCAAAGGGTGCAAACATGGTTGAATATGCCAACAGCCTTGTATGGGATCGTGAATATGGGAAGACTCAATCAGGGTGGAAAGCAAAGCCACCACTCTTCCACCTCTGGTTGATATACATTTGCGGTATTTTGGTGGAGGACAGTCCTTGGTGGCGGAGACACGAACAGAAGGCCCGAACTCAGTCCATCAAACTGGCCTCCCGTACTGCTGAGCAAGGAAAAAATGCAGAGGTGATGACCATGTTCAACACCAAGCTCCGTGAGTGCTTCCTGAAGCTATCTGTATCACAATTATGATGATAATATTATTATTATTATTATAGAGAGGAAAGGGGTCACCATTGCTGTCCTTGCCCGACTCCACCTGGTAGAGGCCTGCAAACCTAATGCATTCAAGCCTGGAAGTCGCTATCAGATGGACTGGAGGCGCCATCCGAAGGAGGTATTGGAGTCTAGGCTTGCGACCATTTCCAAGCACCTAGCCCAACCTCCACACATGTGCCCTGTGTTCTGTGCAGTGCGATATTTCTTGGGTGATGAGTGCCGTTCCCTTCACATTGTGGAGTCTTTCCGAGTACCACCCATGAAGGAGCGAGTGCCCTCCACTTCTTTGGCACACAAAGCTTCAGAGGCATCCCTCCGTGCTGATTCTGAGTCATCAGAAGATGAAGCAGAGAATCCTGGGCTGAGTGCGCGTCCTAGGAAACGTTGCCGGGTTCTGTAATATCGTCTTTTCATGCGCGCTTGGGAATACAACATCCCTTAAATATACCAACACCATGATATAACATTGTATATTGACCCATCATCAAATCTTGCAGAAAATTATCATGTCGTCTTTTCACGCGCGCTTGGGAATACAACATCCCTCAAACATACCAACACCGTTATATAACAATTGTATATTGACCCATCATCAAATTTGGCAGAAAATTATCATGTCGTCTTTTCATGCGCGCTCAATAATACAACAACCCTCAAGTATATCAACACCATTACATATAACTCATTGTACATTGACCCATGATCAAATCTTGCATGCAATTATTATCATGTTGTCTTTTGATGTGTGATTGAGATACCATGTCACTCAAATGATTGCAAATCAAACATGGTGAAATCCAATGATACATGTTGTTTGGTTTGGCTTCTGTCGTTTCAATAGTTCAAAGTTGTGTACGATAGGGGGGATTTTGAGAGGGCCCCGAGGGTCCCCCCCAACCCGAACCAGTGGGTGTTTTTAACCTATAATGATAAAATGAAAATCAGAGTAAAACTGAGGATGGCTGATTGGGTGGGCCGTGACTCAGAGAAAAAGCGTGTCTTTGCCATCAGGCTTCATCGATGGCATCAACAAGCTCATCATCGCTACTGAGCTCCACCAGACCAGGCTCCACCTCAGTGTGACCCTGTTTAACATCAAAACCAATGTCATCCTCACTCCCAGAGTCGGGTACAAGGAGGTAAGTGATGGGTGGGGAGTTGATCCGTTTGCGCGAAAGCTGCCTGCATGGTGACGATGGGATGTCGACAACTGTTGCTGAATGATACTTGCGTTTGACTTGACGTTGGTAACGGATGTGCGAAGGCGATGCAGCAATGGGTGATGACGAGGATAGGGTTAAGTCGATAAGTGGGGCACACTTCGGGGTGCTCGGTCCTGAGGTCAATGGGTTGACATGCATGGGCTTGGTGATCTTGAAAGTCCCAGGTTTCGTGATTGGGTTTGGGGCATGGTTCAGAGAGCTGGGTCCTGCAGTTGCGTTGGCCAATGTGTTGACATGCACAGACTTGGTGGTCTTGGAAGTGCCAGGCTCCGCGATCGGGTCAGTGATGAGCAGTGACTCAGTAATCTTGGGATGTTTGGAGCTGTGAAGAGGGGACATAGACAGAGGGCGCTTTGTCAGCATCGCGTTGCCAGATCGTTCAATATCTGGGGACTGAGAGATCTTGGGGCGTTTGATGGAGCGGAGAGGTGATAGAGACCGAGAGCGTTTTTGACGTTTTACATTGCATACATCAAACACTTTATGTTGAGGTGGCCTCTCCAATGTTACACCCACTGTACCTTGACTCTACAATGCACAACAGAAAATAGAATAATAAAAATGAGTAAAGCCAAATGGCAATGATAGCAAAAAAAAGTCAAGGTGACGTACCAGGTGATTGGCCCACAGATCCATGACCTCGTTCGACAAAAATAGATGCTCCCAATCTGCCTTTGGGTGAGGATAGCACTGTCGCGAGTGTCTATTGCACCAAGTGGATTTGATCAGTTGTTTGAAGGTTTCTTTGCGCAAGTTTGAAGGTGGGCTAGCATCGGATCGAGTGGAAGGTTTTTTGCCTTTCGCCTTACTAGTAGTCTTCTCAACAGCAGACTACAGGTTGAATACTGAGTAGTTGTATGGTATTCAGAATGTATAACTTACGAGATTGAATATTTTCATGCGCTTTTGCTCATGAGCACGGGATTGAATTTGGCGTTGAACTTCCAGTCCAGCTGCAAGAGTCTCTGCACAGTCAATTATAATAGCATTGTCCTTTACCTTCATTTTGGATGTTTTATACGCGATTTGGTGGTTCTCAGGGTTGATGCCCATCTCAGATGTGATCTTCGCCAGCGACTGTTCAGCAGTCCAGTCATCAAGGATGTCCAAGACATGGAGGACTGTTGGTTTAGAAGGGTCCAGGGTATGAAGGGGCACTTCAACTTGTAGGCCTGAAAGGGCGTTAGGTAGTCCATAAAAACGAAAAGGAGTTTGATGACTCACCAAAACCCTGCTTGGCCCCAGCAGTTTTGCTGGCTAGCCTCGCTGAGGCCCTATTGACCGATGATAGCTCAGACTGAGTAGTAACATTGGATGACGTGGAAGGTTGGGTGGTCATGCCTTCGAATAGATTGATGGCGTTTGCGAGAGTGATTGGCGCATTTGATGTTGTCATGGTATGACTGAGATACTTTTGAACACGCGTGCGGATGGCATTGCTGGAAAGCACTTGATCCCCTGTAAAATATAGAGCTGGTTGAGAATGTTGAAACAGATGTAAGCAGTACTAGTGAGACGGAAGTGGGACGAACAATCATCAGGGACCCAGCATGACACCTGATCATTTCGGCCATTGCCGTCAAGAAGGGCATCAAGAACAATGGCTGAATTGTCGGGCAAATATTTTGCATGCCCATTGACTAGACATTTTGAGAGTGCATCCTGCCGAGTTCTAGGGAGTGGAACCAGGTCCGTTGCTCCGAGTAGGTATGCAATGGGCCATAGGGAGCGTTTTTCACGATTCTCCTCCCAGAATTCGAGGTTGAGTTTCTGAATAGAATTCATTGTAGTGAAATTGAGTGCTGAGAGATGCAAACTGAGGCTCCAGGAGTCAGTGCAGAACAAGAGCCATGAGACGCGCGTTTTATACCTGACTTACGGTCACCGATGAGAAGGCTGCCAATGTCAGATCTCATCAGCTTGTGCTTCGCATAAACAACAACAACAACAAACACGGTTGTTGCACGTGGGACGGTCTAAGCACTCAATGCCGGGACCCCAGCTGAGCTGTCAACAGATATGGTTACATTGGTTTTATATTGGCTTCTATTTTTGCCCAAATTAGCTACCATTTTTGGATTTCCACATGATCCGGCTAAGTCATTTAGCCAAATTTGACGCGTCGATCTTTTTGCACCTTGCTGTAAGGCTCAAAAGCTTTCGAGCTCCCTCCACAAATGTCTCTTCACGGTTGAATGCATCCTCATTCCATGGCTGGACCGGCTGCACAAATTCCGCCCGTTGGAAATCGGCATTATCTGTGTGTGTGGGAATGGGGGAGTTGGATCAAGACGTTGATCCGAGAGTTGGGACTTTGTGCCCGGACCTTGGTGGGGCGGGGGTTTTCGGGGCGACGATTCGCTCTGATGTGAGGAGGGATTCTGTTCAGCGAGGAGCTTGACAAGTCCGACTCGCGGTTAAAGACTTAAGCAAGATGGCAGAGCAGTTCCAGACGACAGTGGAAATGTTGAAGTGTGTCGGTGGAAAAGGTACGCAGCTCACCGAGCTCAGTCTCTAGCTTGTACTTACAGCAAGCGATAGAAAACCGCACACCTAATTTGGATGAATGACCGGTGGGTGAGAATGGGCGCACTATTAGTCCATCTAAGTAATCGACCAGCAATCAAAAGTTTGAATGGCGGCTCAGTGATGTGAAGTGGACACTTGCTGAACAACCAGGTCTAAGTTTGCATCCGACTCAAGCGCCGCGCGTCACGACCTCACCGTATGAATATTGTGAACTTGAGGGTTTGACGAATGGGCACCAAGGTGACTTATGTAGTAGTTGAGCAAGACCTGCCGTTGGATTCTGGAATGAGCCTTGGCATGGCAGCCAGTGTTCATTATCTTCCCGATTACAGAATGGCTCCCAATATATTCAGCCAAGCAATTCTTAGGTAGCTGTAAGAAAAATATATGATATAAAGCGCCCTTCTACAACATATTTTGTTCAGTGCTTCTTCGGATCCTGCCTCCCTTCCTACAACTCTATCCACCACTCCGGGATGACGTTCGTCCATGAAGTGAAGCGGATCATTGCGCTCTACAGCCCCACCGAACTGCGAAACATCGCTACATATATTCTCGGCATTATGCTATACAAGTTCGGTCTCGAGCTGTTCAACGGTTCTGTTGTGTCAATGGCCACAGATCGTTTCACGGCTGCTCACACATTTGGCAAGTTGGCCATCCTGACTGGATTGAACACCGCCATGCAATGCGTGGGCGCAATCCTTATCGCGCCCCTTGTCAAAAAGTTGCCAACTCGCACAATCCTTGCCAGCGCCATCCTTATTTTTGCAATCATGTCAGCCCTCCTCCTTATCGTTGACGGCGCTACTGGCGGTAGGATCAAATCCACCACGCCTAACAAGCAAGTCAAATATGGTGATTGGAATCCAAACGGTCTCTTCCCTATCTACATCGTCGCAGGTATCGCTTACGGTATGGTAGAACTCATCCGCCGAGTTATCCCAAGGGATATTGTGGGCCCTCACCCGGAGAAGTTAAGGAGGATGGATGCCTTGGTGCATATTCTCTATGAAGTGTCCGGAACAGCCGGTGCCTTTGCCTGCTCGATGCTTATCGGAAAGTTCGGCAATAATTAGTAAGTTGGCGTTTGATTTTGCAAGAAGGCAGCTACCATTAAGGAAACCGCCATAGCTGATGGTGTGCTTCGAAAAACAGCTCCTTCATGATGACGCCCATCTTCTACATCCTCGCTGGTATCGTCTGGTTCCAAATCTCTGCTCTCTCCTTCAAATCTGGGAACTCTCAAGGAGCTGACACCTCCCTCCTCGCCCGTGTCAATCGCGCGGAACGCCACCCCCTCATCACATATTGTCTAGGCGTCATCGAAGGATTCCGACTCTTCCTCCTTTCGATTCTCAAAGGGTGCCAGCTGGTCTTCTGCCATCGCAAGTATGTGTGGCTCTTCTTTTCTTATAGCGTCGCCCTCCATTGCCACCGGTATCTCGAAAACATCATCGCGCCCATCTACGCCCGCCGTATCCTCAACAACTCTGGTCTTGCCCAAGTCTTTGTCGCCTTTTCTAACTTGGGCGAACTACACGGTGCCCTCTTCGTCTTCCTCTTTGCCCGCAATGTCAAGACCCCCATACCTTGGCTGCGCCTCGACGCTCTGCTCCTCATGATCATTTGGGTGGTTCCATTCTACGAACGCGGCCTTCGTACGACCATCGTCGCTTACCGTCTGGGCGCCTGCTTTATCCCCATATCATTTGGATGGGCGGCAGGTGATGTCTCACTGTCCGCCTATATTCAGTTATCCCTCACCCATTCAGACGAGGAGCAGGACGATTCCAAGATATCGTCCCTTGGGAGTATCATGGCTTTCCTCTACTCATCCTATATCATCATCTACGCTGTTGTGTCGAAATTTCTCGGGGATTACGTTGACCGGGTCGTCGTCCGCGGGGGCAGCGTGCACGATGCCCTCATCCTTGTGGGTGGAATCCATTTCAGCGCATTTGCATTCGTTATCTTCGTTTCCACTTTCGTCCCCAGAGGGGCTTTCGCGTTAAACCCTGAGGTTATCTACATGAGTGAGAGGTCCGGCTCGTCAACGAATGAGGTTGGGCAGGTCAGCGAAATTCATGCGAGACATGACAATGGCGTCAGTGAGGACATCACACCCTCACGTATTCACGACCGCACTCGTTCACGTGTCCCACCAACTGTTCTTGACGGCCACCCAGGAACCCTTTAAAAGTTCCGGTGAAGCACCACTCCATCCTTGACTTTGTGTTCTCCCCCTCTCCGTAGTTTCTTCCTCTCAACGTCAACGTCAATAGGTCGGCACCACTTTGAACCCTGAGAAGTTCTGCCATACTTCTCTCACACAACGAAACCCATTATTTGGGTTTCCCATCACCTCCCCGCCTGCCGCTTTGGATCCGCTCCAAATGCAATACGCAAGCAACATACACTAATCTACGTGGCGGTAAGTGTTTCCTTGGCTTCCCCTGCCTTTTCATTGATTTGGGAGAAAGGATTATCATGGAAAGAAACATGGCGAATTAGGATGGGCACGAAAGGTTATTGAGACTGGATATAAAAAGATTCAGGCTATTTTTGGGTCACAAAATAAGTGTGTTGAACGGGTGACAAGACGTAACATGCAACAGACGGACAAGCACATCACGGTTATTGGGGCAAGTCCCACCGGCTGGCGAACCAGCAATAGTAATCGTGCTTAGACCACCGCAGAACCAGGGCCGACGAAGCGCTGAAGTTGTCCAAGAAAGCCGGATCAGACTCTCCTTGTCAGGTCATCGAGCGATTGCCCATAGGACGCGGCAAGGACACGGAATCATAATCACACAAAACCGAATAAAAAGGGGGAGAAGAGATGGACGTCCGCATATTCAGACGCGTGCAACGCGAGTCACGCGGGGAATTGGCGCGATGACGATGACCAGTGGTAGATGTAAATCTCATCAATTAATTACGTCGACTCCAGCCAGGAACTTGTGCAACGAGAAACAAAAATGACTGTCGACAATGGTCTGCTTGTACTTAACTAATTCGGTAACCGTTGAGACATGGATCCGTGTGACTCAGACGAAGAGGCATATAGCGCGTTCTGGATTCCAACATTCCCAGTTAGTGTCTCCCTTCGGTATGGGCGCTTAGCCAGAAGCATGTATCTGGACTGAATGGAATCGCCATCGGGCTCGGCAATGACTTAAAGAAACAAAGGCTGGAACTATGATAAGCGTTTGCGAACGTGGGTACGAGGGTGGCGCACCGCTGGACAACGTACCAGGAAGGAAAAAAAAGGCTAGCCTCCCCCCAATTTGGGGGGTTGGCGCGGTAGGCCTGTGCCTGTTGCCCTTTCCAGGTTGAAGGGGAAAGCGCCCATGCGCCCAGGCAGTGCTCAGGCACTCACGTGTGCATTGCTGATTGCCGGCGAGATAAGGGTTAGCCCGATGTAGCGCTGAAAAATCAAGTCAAAATTGCTGAGAGAAGCCATCTTTGGGTGGGGTTGCTTCTACAGAGTGGAAAAGAGCGCAAATTGGGTTTGCGGGTTGCCAGCCGACCCTGGTGGATTGGAAGATGGGCGCCTGGGGGGGGACCCCGGAAGCAAAGCACATGCTATGCCGAGGGTGGCCGGGGTCCGTGAGTGACGGGACCGATACTTAATCAGCACCTATGGCGAAAAAACTGACTCCCCTCATTCCTCTCTTCCACCATCTCCTTCGACGAGTGCAGTCAGCCCCTGCTTCGTCAACTTTGCCCTTCATCTCAACCCCATCTACAAGGGTTGCAAGCTCAAGATATAAGAAACCCGTAAGTCCCATCCATGCCCTGCCATCACATCCCCCCGTTTGCGCCAGTCGACTGTCATGTCGATTATGTGGGTAGGAGTGCGTACAACGTAACGCGTCACGTACAAACTCTCCACCACACCCCTATTTCCGACTTGAAATCAACGATGCCCTACGATCTACGACGAAGCGCAGCACGCAGTACCGGCGCAGGCAATGCAACGCCTCGCCGACCAATGCACAGCACCTTCGCGAGGGCACGTTCGGGCTCCAAGAGCTCCATTTCTTCTGTATCGGATCGCAGTGCGTCTTCGTCGGCGACCTCGACCAGCAGCAGTAGCATGAGCAGCTATCGTCCGAGCACTGAAGCCGCCGCTTCTTCGTCTTCCACGACGTCTTCTCTCTCTGGCCGGTGGATGCCGCCGCCTTCTGCTTCGTCGTATCCTGTTCGTCTTGGACTCGCGCTAACGCTTCCTCACTCATCAAGGCCGGCCTTATTGACGGCGACCAGTGATAATCCCCTCCACTCTACCCCTTCGGGTTCAGCCATATCTCCCTTGTTCCACAACAACCATCCTTATCAGTCGCCAAGTCGCGATGACTTCCCTATAAACCCCAACCCGTTCCCTCTAGAACGACCGGTCCAACAAACACCTGCTCTTACCAATGGCCTCCATTCCAACGGAACCAGCGATGGCTTTTGCCAATTTACCTCGGACAATGCGTTGACAAACGATTCTCAGAGTCCTCGGACTAAACCTTTAGCTGATTTACTAACTCACCATGACTTGCCTCGGTCATTACCACCGTTGCCTCGTACAAATTCAAGCACACCCCCCAACCATTCATTGGTGTTGACCACTATAAAGCCAGACGCCTCATCGAATATATCGGCATTGAGCTCCTCTTATATGACCATGCTTAGCAAGACACCATTACCCACTGATACTTCGGCAATAACCCATCTCGACATGCAGACCGAAGCCAACTTTTCAGTTTCCGCCGACCCTGTGCGGCATTTGCAACTAGAGGCGCTACTGGGTAGAGGTGTGTCTCCCATACCTGATGGCGTAGATATAAACTTGTGGCTGACCGACGTCCATGGTGCATCGTCAGATGCCCCTCTTCATAATCAAGTGGAGCAAGTCGACACGACGGCTTCGCTGAATTTTGACGAGTTCTTTGAGGAGCAGACCGCCATGACCAGATCTCCCTTTGACGAGCGCATCGATATCGACACCATTCTTACGTCTGTTGGGGTTGGGACACCTTCTTCAGCCTTCCCAACACCTGCACTAGGCTTCTCTCCTGGGTCGGCCATGGATACCAGCCCCGCTCTACACGACGTTGATTGTGATGACCTTCCATTTGCCATGCCACTCTTTGGCGCCGAGTTTCCGCAGCAAAGCTGTGCCGATATTAAGGACACGTCAGCAGCGTCGGCGCTCGGCCTCAACATCTTTGAAGGCCTCGTCACTATAGCAAACACGCCCCAACTAGGTGTCATCCCCATACCACCTTCACCGCTCTCTGCCCCCTCGACACTGTCTCTACCGTCTTCCATTGCCATAACCTCATCTGCGCCTGTTGCTCCCCCTTTACCCTCTGCCCCCTCCACTCCAATGGTCCTCTCTTCTAATCCCCACCCGCCAAAGCGGAGAGTCACTGGTCACCGTCGGAACATAACGCCCGCCAACCTCGTTCCCGTGGATGCACCAACTCAATTACGTTCATATGTCACACCTTCTGCAACTTCCCGCAAAGCTATCCCCGCCGCTTTTCAGGTGCATTCAAAGAAGCGCCCGTCTTCTGTAGCATTTGGCGATGAAGATGACCTAGATCCCGCGCTAGAGGATGCCATTGAGACCAAGAGGAGGCAAAATACCGTGGCGGCGAGAAGAAGCCGGGCGAGAAAACTGGAGCATGTGCGCAATCTGGAGAACACAGTTGAGAGACTGAAGAATGACCTCTCGGAGGCCCTGCAGAGAGCTGAGCATGCCGAGGAGCGAGTAAGACAGTTGGGTGGGAGTATTTAGGTTACCTAGCGATCGTTCTCAAATCATTTATCTTGCCTCGTTTCTGTTCACTTCAAGACTGTTTACCGTCCTTTTCTTACACTATCATATTTCTCATCGAAGAACCCCATATGCTATTCTCGCGTCCAACATCCCCCTTCACGACCTCCCATCTCGAGCACCCTGGACGAAAGTTTCACGTTGTTTTTCTCTTTTGTATTTTAGTTTTGGTTGCTTACTTACCAACGTGTGATTTGATGTTTGCCACGCAACTAAGACAAACTACAATCTGTGTCGACACAACTGAATTGAGGGTATGATGGGAGTTGCCAGAATAATTTTGTGGAAAGTTGCGCCACATACATGGCAGTACCAGTCCATCTCCCTAGTGTTGTCTCAATGATGGAGTCAAATCCTTGGGATTGTCGTCTGAGGGAGTGGTGCTATGAGTTTCCGCGTTAGCGTCTGTTTTACTGGCACGCGAGCGCACCACAATGCAAGCTCTGCTGCCAACAAACTTGCCCATGAGGGTTCACAGGTCTATTCCTACCACGACATAAAGGCTCCATGATTACCCCTCATTGTGGAGTTGCTCAATTTTCGGCCGTCTGACTCGTTGCAGAGCCAGACATTAATATCCATGTGGGTTGAGCATATATTCTCCAAGATCTTGTTGAACAATCTCATTCAGGATATTTCTACACTATGTGCATCCGTCTTTCGCTTGAACTACGTTGCCGGCTGTCGTATCATTTTGACAATCCGCCCACTCGACCATGTCTCGCTGATGTCGTGGTGGCTAAGTACACACTAATGCCATTTCTCCATCCCCCCATCAACGGCTCCTGCATGCTGCCCATGCCAGTGTCACCTACTACCGTTTACTTTGAGATTCACCAACGGGACGCCTGCTCTCATCACAGGTTGAATCGAACAGTTCAGCAAACAGAACACATTTCCTGCAACCATCCAGGCGTTTGCATGTTCTAAATCCCCTGTATAGACTTATCCCGTGCTCAGTAACAAGCGTTGCATGCCGTTCGCCTGTTTCACTCCGACCCTTGCACCCAAGTGAGACCCATCACTGGATTGTCCTCAAAATGCGATTCGTGTCAACCAGCAAAGTGTTTAGCTCCTTTGGGATTTCAAAGATTGGCATGTGCAAGCCACATATTCAGACAACCGTACACTTCGCGCTGAACTGAACCACAAGCACGCGTTTGTTTTATTCTGGGTGATTCTCTTCGTCATCCCGCCGCCTTAGGCAGAACCCCAGCCTCTACCGCCGCTTCATGACCATTGACTGCGCGGCAGTTGAGGTTGTCCAGTGTATCACTATACGTAGGGAATCGTCAATTACACTGTAAGGGAGTTCGCTGGCTGATCCTCTGGTTCAGTACTGTCTAGATGTATTTCAGGGTACACTATTCTGGATTCTGGGAGCGCCAAGGGTGGGAGCCTCGGAATAAAATCCATGAAAATAAAGTAGAAGACACATGAGTTCGACCATAAAAATACCCTCCGGTGAATCATTCACCTTGCTACTGCTGAATAAACGGCGATTAATATCTCACACACTCCGCTCGCATATTCTGCTGCCTGCATAATCCCCAGAACCTTCGCAGAACCCCGTCCTTGTCTCAGAGTGGTGTTCCCTGCGTATGCGAGCACACGTCATGTGAATTACTAGTGTATCGCTGATTTGCATCCGACCTTGATTCGCTCTCTGTCGCCCAAACCATTTGCCAGCCATAGGAATAGTCTTCTATATCCATCCTCCGTCAGTTGGACCCCGGCATGCTCCGTCTCGCTCGCTGTTAAAACCGCTCAGAAAGACAGGTGCCAGAGCTTGCTCAGCACTCACCCACTACGTGGTAGAAGGCCCTCGCTCGCCTTATCTGAGTTTCAAGGTATCCCATCACAACCTAGTGTCAGCAATTCCCAGCTCCATCCTGAGCACCGAAGCTTAGGCCCATCCCGTGCGCAACCGAAAGGATCCCATCCTTCGGCTCTGTACCACGTTCACACGAGGATGGGCGTGTATGGTGAAATCATCCTCCTATGGTGGGAATTCCCTCAGCTTGTTGGAGGATTGACAATATCCCCGGAATGGTCCGTCAGCCGAGCTTAGAACCCTCCCCCAACGCACCTTCCGCATCGCCTGACCACCCACCTGCACTTGGGAGAAGGGCTGTCCATGATGGAGTGGTATCGAAACGGATCATTCCTATTATGCCTTATGACCGGTTTCCTCATGCCCAAGCATACCCTTTCCTACTGCAAGCTTCTGCCTTCGTTTGGCGCTGCGCTGCGCCGTTAGGTGTTGGGTGCTTGCAACCAGAAGCTGTGCCTCGTCTGGAACTGGAAATGCACCAGCCGCGCACTCTTTACACCCCTCCCGAAATAGCGTCTACCACCCGCGCGAATGCTTCATCTTAGTTACTGCAGCGGGCAATGTTGCTTCGTGGGCTCCATGCTGACGTCGTTTGTGGATCGGATTCGCCATTTTTGGTGCCTTCAGCCATCCCGGACCGTCCCTCGGAATCACCTTTCCGGTCTTAAATGGTCCTCCCATAGCTACGGACTTCAGCAGCTCCAGCCACAACGTTTTCCCTGCCGTGCTGACATCCCCAGATTCGCGCTATCCCACTAGAACATTCTTCGCACTGTCAATGTGTCATTCGCCTGCCGAATACGAATGCGGCTTTCCAGGCACACTTCCTCTTGCCGAATCTATTTCAACTTGAGACAAAGGAATCCTCCACCGCGGGTCGGCCGCGGAGCATCTTTCTTTGTCCGATGTGTCACACCTTAGTTCTTCCTGATGTCCTGCAAATTCGGAATCGAGTCTAGATCAGCCTAGCTTCCTCACTGGTGTAAATAGGAAGGTTTGATTCATTGGGTGCCGTCGAGGTGAGTTTTCTACGGTGCTTGCGCCTTCTACAGGCGGTTCACATCCAAGAGTGAAACGTAAGGCTGCACAAACCTCATTACCCATTCTAAAACTCGCCGGCTCTTCATCGCTGCCAGGAATACCGGCCTTCAAATGATAACATTGGTACTTTTAGACTGATAGAGGTGGATTTGCAATCAAACTCCGAATAATCAGTGGCCGTTTGTTTCAGCGGAAGCCCTTCCTGAGTCACCCAAAGATCCACATGCCTCTCAGGCGTCGCATCTTCTTTCCAATGATGTCCGCGAATTGCACGCGCCTTGCCTATTGGGCTTGGCTTTCCAAAGCATACTACCACTCAGAAAGTGCTTTTATCTGCGCCTCCCTCATCTTCACCCGGTATCTTAGAGGCGAGTCTATATGGCTATGGTATCAGCGTGGCCATCAACACGCCCACCCTCGCCCATACAGATAGTGACATGCGTGATAGTATCATCTCCTTCTCCCCGCGCGCATGCTTCACGAGGCTCCCCCACAACGCGCGTTTTGAACAATTACGTTCGGACTTACCCAATACCTGTCCTTCGTGTTAAAAGGAACGCTGTATGTTAAGTTGCTACGCCCTCACTCAACAATGGAACAGCATTCTCTGGCTACCATACCACCCCAAAACGACCTTGGATGCCTTACCTGCACAGCGATTCAAAAGAAGGCATGTTGTTGCCTTCTCGCCTTTGCGTTCGACATCTTGATCCCCACCCTCACCCCAGAGATGTCCAGGATGCCCTACTGATGATGCACCGTGTGATGAGTGCGCGAGACTACATCTCGAGTGTCTTCCTGGCCCTACTGGTCACATTGATGACACACCATTTTCAAGTGTAAGCGTGGTTCCGCTTCTGAGATTGTCAATTCACCACCATATGCTGCAGGATTTTGAGAATATTGTACGATGCAGGGACGAAATCGAGAAGTGGTCATCTTCTAGCCTGACTAAGAGTGAGAAGGGTACGGCCAGGCAAACCCCTCGCAAGACATTCTCCATTAACCGTATCCTTATGCTATAGGCATTCTTCTGCTTTCAAACATCTTAGGCATTTCATCTCCTGGAAATGCGATCCTGCCTAAGTTTGTTCTGTCAAGGCAACACCATGATGAACCAAGCAACCAGCTGGCACCAGCCTCTTGCGAATCCTTCCTCGTAAATCCCACATTGCATATCATAGCGGATCCCGCGCACACGACCGTGTTATCGGACTCAGGTCTCTCCGGAAATACCTTCTCCCATGGAGTCAGAAGTGCCGGTGCCAAGTTCAATCGTCACTCTTCTGATTCAGATGTAAACAGGGACGGAGATGACACCCCACCCAACCGAACGACTTCGTCCCTGCAACCCGAAACATACCATAACATCGATGCACCCGTTGGGTTCATTTTGCCGGTTATGTCATTTCTCTTAACTTCATATCTGCCCCAGGTCCGCGAGGTTGTGTTTGAGGTGAAGGATGATGAAGACAAGGAGGCATTCAAATCTGCTGTTGCTCGCGAAGCTGCCAAGCTCGCAGGCAACTTGGGGTTCCGGGTTGAAAACTAGGAACTGAATGTTTTGTTTCAGGGTTCGGACTGTTAGCTGATTCTGCTCCCAGATGTGCAGTGATGACGTTCATTGCGCGACGCCATCTGTAATCTGTGGTTTTACTCCAGTGCTTAATTATATAAACATGCGGAGGATTCGACGCCCTATGAAGTTGCTCACGGCCTGGTTCTTGTGATCAGCAGCACCCTCGTGAGATTCCTTTCTCGCACCCGAATCCCTCGCTACCGCGGCTGGCCCACACGGCTCTCGCCACAAACCGGCAACCCGAGCCATGGACTGACATATTAGTTATACTGTCCCGATTTGAGCAGCTATTATTCCCCTAGTCGCTCTATTCCTTATGGCTGGGGACTTCGACTCTCAATTCGACTGCGTTCACGGTCAGTTGAACGTTCGAACCGAATTCGGACACTGAGGAGCATATCTTCTCCGGCTACTTAGTTCTGCTCTAGCTCAAGTGCACCCTTATGGGCGAGATTCTCAAAGGGCTTCATGACCCAATTGGTAGACTGCGCTGCTTCGCCCAGCACACCTGCTCAATCCATCACAATCGTGTCTGCAATTTACATCCTTAGTTCCGGGCGTGCAATGGGGCCTTCATTGTACTCCTGAATATTTGCCGTCCGAACCTGGTTACTCGTAAAATCCCAAGTCGCCACCCACCAACTTGGGAAGACTACTAAGAGACGTGCAATCTTCCTCTATTGGCCGGACTGACGTGAAGCGACCCCATGCATCCAACCAAAACCAATGTGAACGTTGTTCATTTGCGAAGCAATTAAGCCCTGAGCGCGGAGAACGACGTCGCAGCATTCCATCTCACACATTTCCGCCTGGTGTGCTCAAGGCGGCGCACAGGAACCATCCTCGCGGTACGACTCCTCGCTGTCCAATCATAACAGGGCGTTACCACCCACGTTGTATACTGGGTTCACCTTACAGACCATAAAAGGGAATAAAAATGGGGGTTATCCCACACACTTCTTGATACGCCATGGTCTGCAGCGCATCGCCGTTTTTACGAAGCGCTCACGCCCAGGTGTGATCGCACAGCAGCTTCCAGGTCTCTCAGCAGGGTATAAATGGCCAGCGGCCCTGACACCGCCTTTATCACCCCAAACAATGGCGAGCTCAACGCAAACCCCATGCCTCACTTGTCAAAGACTTCGCAAGAAAGTACGCAATACCTTTACCCCCCCGAATGTGATGTACTAACTCTATGTGGAGCGATGTCCCGGGATCACGAACAATACAGGACCTTGTGACGAGTGCGCAAGACTCCATCTCGAATGTCTCGTTCCCGAATTACGTCCTAGGTTCCGCCGTCCTGAGTGGTTCAATGTGAATAATACCCAAAACAACCCCTCCCCCCCATATTCCATTTGACGGTTTCTCGCATAGGACAATCAGAAATTAACTCGAAGTCGAGAAGAAATCAGAGCCTGGACAACCTCTAGGGCACCACGGGAGCCGCATGGTTTGTGTGGTTATTTCCCAAGCCTACATTAACTAATTAGTGCCATCGCAGATATTCTGGCACTTTCTGAGATCCTTTCGAACACCTCCCCGGACCGGTGCCGCAAGGAAATGTAGTGGGTTCTGGATCCGGCCCAAGCAGCCAAAGCCCTGCGGATGTAGTGCAACCTCAAACCGATGAACCCGTGGTGTATGCCTTAGGAACAATCTCCTATCTTATTAATACCTATCTGCCTCAGGTCCAGGAGGTCGGACTTGTCTTGGGTAATGACGAAGACGAGGATGCTGGAGACGCGCTCCAGGAGGTTGTTGACGTGCTTTCATTAGATGGACGATTTGGAAATCTCGCTTTCAGGGTAATGCAAAGCGATCAAACATCGGAAGTGGATTGATTCTGGTGTTTTCGCTTGTGTCCTAGAACTGGAGAAACAAGTCAGATGTGCAGTAGTGGGATCGACCCATATGTAATCTGCTAGTGTTCTATTGAGCTTAAATTGACTGGGTTCTCATTTACACAGCGGCTACGGGTACAGATGTCCGTAAGATTTCGTTTATCACTAATTGCAGTGGCATATTGACTCCGAGTACTGCTTGCCAAGATCATTCGGAGTGGCGGGTCCTGCCTCATTAACCGGGGTTGTGAACCTCCGCTTCATCTCTTCGTCTGTGTATTCGAATTGATCCCAACCTATGAACTCACTTGCTCTGTGATATTTGTGTATCTCCTTTGGACTTGGAGCACGCTCTCAGCTCGAACACCTCAGAACTCAGCTCGACCATCTCAGAACACATGTGTCCAGCTTTGAATTTGAGGCACTATTTGCCCGAGTTGTCTGCAAGTTAATATCCGAACATTGCATAATATTAATAACAACAACAAGACGTTCACCAGTCATTCATCCAGAATAAGTAATTTAGAAACAAAAACACACAAGTCATGTGGTGGTTGTGTGCCAGACAACGGCCAAGCCCCTAAAACCTTGCAATACACCCCAAGCCATAGGCAGGACTTCAGGCTCTATATAATATACCCAAGCCGAGAGCCTTTCCTTTGGTTGATCGAACCCATTTTTCGGCCTGAAGTGCAACATTCTTTCGCTGTTCAAGTACACAGCCGCTTCCAACACCTGAGCATCCACTTTTTTACGCCAAGATACTGGTATGGAGTCGGCGGCGAATTGTAGAATACGGAGTCCCAGACACGTTGGAACATGACATGGGGGCGGGCTCACCATAGCACCCCCCAAATAAGCTTCAATTCTGTTTCCCAATAGAGAGCTGGGTCCCGCCTACTCAACATTTAACTTTCGACGCCTCGCAAACCAGCAATTGAGATACAACCTGCAAGAAATCGAGTCATGAGGGCTCCGCGCGGCTCAGCGCAATTGATCGTCACCGAAAATGAACAAATTTATAAACAACATTGGAAGTGTTTGACCACCCACGGGTAAGTCTCCATGTTTTCACAGCCGATTCTGCGGCGATGCCTTATTAAATCATTTTCTCCTGACTGCTCGCTATTCGGCTAGTTTCAGAAGGGTGCCTTCAACTTTGGCAGCCTTCTTCTCCGCCGATGCGCCGCCACAGCATATCGTATCGCTGATGCTAACTTTCGTTGAACTGCGCTGGCGCTTAATTTTGAGTTGCGCTGGATATTTTCCTCCAGCGCACCGCTGTTCCAGGATTCGCTTCAATACGTTTGTGAGCGCTAAATCGCGGCCCCAGACGGATCGAACTGAGAGGAGGAAGCTGAGCGTCCATATCCTTGCTCTTCTGAGTTCTGGCTCGATCCGGCATGAGCGCTATTGCTGTCCATCTGATCGTATCTCCCATTTGTCGGCTGGGCTTTTCCTTATTTTTCCACATAACTCCCCTCATCGGTCAGAATATATTTATTCTGCAAATCCCAGGCTCGGCACGAGCAGCTACCATTCGAAGTTTGTGAGATCGCCCCAAATGATCACGCCGCTTGACGGTGGGAGGTCGTTATGACTGAATGGCCTTGCCTCATTTTGTTTACGAATGAGCGGCATTGCACTGCGCCGTTACCTACCGAAAGAGGTCCCCGATTCATGGCCCACACTCTCCTATGACAGTATGACCGTCACTAATTAGCCACTGACGCATTTGAGGACGTGCGCGCATCGTAATTTCATTATACCCTCTGTATTCCTGAAGTTGCTGCCCCGTGTTCAAGTTTGAGCTTCTATGTAGCATCCATACCTGAACCAATGCGTTCGGACTTCTGATCCTGGTAGAGTTAAGCTTGGGTACAGTTCCGACTTCGTAGTATGGATGGGAGCGCCTGGGGCTAATCCCATCCTCAGGATATGCTGAATTGCCACGCCCCTTTTCCTTGAGGATGCTCACACGGGCTCCGTCGAGATTATCGGCATGTCGTTCTAAATTGCGCTGTCATTCGGCCATTAATAAACATAAACTCAATGCATGTCTCGCGGGGCGAGGCCGTCCACTAGCTGCGTTGGATTTCTCCTGACCCTGTCGCTTTTCGATGACCTAGTATAAAAGTCATGAAATCCGTGATTGCGACCAGAAGCTGCAAAGCCAAGTAACCCTCTCCAAAGCGTCCGCCTTCATGTCAGCTTGCCTCACTTGCCAGCGGCTTCGAAGAAAGGTATGACTTAAACAGCCCAGGATCCCGACAGAATCCCTAATCACGAAGCAATACCAGAGATGTCCCGGACACTGCTCCAACGGTGACCCATGCGGCGAGTGCGAAAGACTCCACCTTGAATGTCTCCCGCCCATAGACGGCGGCCGACCTCACTGGTTTAATGCAGGCGGCCACAGTCCCACTATATCATGATCAATCACTGACTGTTACTCATCCAGGATCATGTGAAGCTTACCCGGTGTCGACTGGAAATCAGACGGTTCCTAGCCCCAAGGCAGCACCGTGGCACCGACGGTAAGAAACACCACTCGATACCTATAGGCTTCTCACACACATTGTGGCACGTCAGAAATGCTCCAACTGTCTCCCATCCTGGATGGTCCTCCCTCAGGGTTCACATCTCAAGGGGACGACACACCCTTATATATGGTCCTAGACACGTTGTCGCATCTTGTCACTCAGCACCTCCCCCAAGTTCAAGGGCTTGTTTTGGTTGTAGATGGATCGGATGAGGAGAATATATTGAGGGAAGCGATTGTGAACGCGTCCCAAGATGTTGGTATAGGCGATCTAGACTTCACAGTGGGCAGGTATTCATAGAATACACAATTGTAAACTAAATTAAGTGTAACTTTTCCTAAAGAAGATGTGCAGCGATGGATTGACTGTCCATCTGCAATCTCATTATTTCACCTATGCTTACATCCACATCAAGATGGTGATACTGGATTCAAAATCCACGACGCAATCGAGTGAACTCTTATTCAACTAAATAGATCGGACTTCTGGCCTTTTGCCCGTATCTACGCAACGAATCCTAGAATCCCAACGGGAGCACCCCCTTTTCCTGCATAGTTTCAACGGAGAAGGCCAAAGGACCCTGGAAAGTTACATTCATAGGGGACCCCGTTTCGATGGCTATTCATTTCCGCTGCACATGACGAACGTTATACCGATCCGATGGAACCAGTTTCATCCATTTGGGCGGTATGTCTGGCTGAAGCAACCCGGAATATCTAGGGCCTTCTTATGGGACGGATAGGCAGAATGGGTTGCGTTCATTTGAACGCGGAACCTGGAGTTACTGGTTCGACATGTCACTCTAGGCAGGTGACCAGCCTCTGTCACTCCCGCAGCTTCAGCCTACTTGGACAGCCCCATCACTCCTGTCACTGGCAGAAATTGTCGATCAAGTTTTATTGTCATGCATGGACACACTCTCAACGCATAAGTACTTCCTGTTTTTATGTCCCTGGGGTTGTATGCTTCATTGTGAGTGATCGCGCGGTCGTTGGAGGTATTCGCTGATCTCGCCACCACCCTATTCCCATGCTCTGCTTCCAAGACACTGTAAGCGGAATGTCCACACTTCCGGCTCCACATTGCTATCTAGTTACTCCCTAGATTGTTGGCATAGGACCCTACTTATTCTGGCATGAGGCAAGCCTGCGCCCAAGAAATGTGCTGCCTTGTAAGTGCCTGCGAGCGCGCGCGCTTATTAAATGCATGCATCATGTAAGTCTCGAGAATTGCGAAAACCAGACTGCCTGATCGAGTGACACCTTCAAACCTAGCTCTTTGCATCGTAGTAGGATGTTTTTCCCCAGAGACTTCGGGTGGCCATTTCTCCCGAATTGTGACACTCGTATTTAGATTGGTTCCCTAGTGTCCTAATTATGCTGAGAAACTGCTCAGGAGGGATGAGTCGGCTGTCGCGAGGGAGTACGAAGGTGCTGATTCCACCTTACTGGTAGCCATACATGCGCTCGTACGCTCGAGCGCTAATTTTGCATGCCACAACGTGCGCGGTGCGACCAAAGGTGAAATTTGCGCCGTCTGTTTCATGCGCAGCGGAAACCCTTGGTATAAGAGATCTCTCTCGGTTCGCCAATCCTGTCTAGAATCCAACAGCACTTCTAGCTATCTCCCTTCAATCCATATGGACTCTGCACCTTCTTGCTTAACATGCCAACGGATTCGTAAGAAGGTGAGGTTCAACGTTGTCTGCCTAGCTTGAAAGTGTATTCATGACCCTCCCCATTGTGATCCAGGCATGCCCTGGTTATGCAACAAGTGACCAAGGTATTCATCCCTGTGATGAGTGTGCAAGGCTCCGTTTAGAGTGCCTTGCAGCAATCCCAGGAGGGCGTCCTGTCTGGTTTCACGTCAGTATTCTAGTTAGCACTGGCTCCATTATCACCCAAAGCTGTTCCAACAGGATCAGGCGAGACTCGCAGAGGCAAGAAGAGCAATCGCGGATTGGCTGAACGGCGGGCATCAACGCACCTTCGACGGTAGGTTCTTGCGGTATCCCAATCCAGATGATGTCTCATGCAGAAAATGGTCGTTAGCCATATTACCCCTCTCGCCGATACTCGCCCCCCCGGTGCCGCCTGGCCAGTCTCACAATCCCCCCGACCTTCACACTCTGGGTCAGCCGGAGCTCCTCCAGGCGATCAATGACCTAGATTTGAATCCGGGTGCAGGTGGACCAAGCACTGTTACTGAACTTAGATTTCTGCTACCGCTGCTGCAGTTTATTCTCACTAAAAATATTTCCGGGATCCGAGGGCTATGCTTCGTGATCGGTCAGGACGACAGGAGAGCACGTTTGCTTGTAGAAGATCTCATCAGGCAATACCGACAGGGCCACGCCGATGAGTTCATCTTCAGGGTCAGTGGTCATGGCACGGAGCAATATTGATCTGTCAGGCTGCTTCGTGAGATATTGCGAGATTTGCTCGAGTCCCAGTTGTTTTCGACAGCGTAGATGTGCAGAAATAGACCCTAGAGTCAGCTGAAATCTCGCCATTATAATCAGTATTTGTATAGTGTCGTATTCGTGATGCCTCGATTACGTTTGGTTGGTCACGCTTGCATGACTGTTGTGCAGATGATTCCTTGTCAAAAATCCTCTTTCTATGCTCAAATTGATCGAGTTAGGATGCTGGATGGCTATGTAATTCCAGCTCAGTAATGTGGCTTGCGAGTTACCATAAGTGCCGAAATCATGTACAGGAATCCCTATGCCTTCATATATATGCCCACGACGTGGATGGGAATGAACCCACCAACGAGCTTCTTTGGAAGTTAGTGTTTAGCGGTGCAGCACCCGCACGCACACAATGTCGAAATGATCAGCATGTGTTATGCCAATCCACGGTTGTCCTTGGGTGGCCGAGCACACACTAGATGATAACTGTGAAATTTTATGTAAATAACTCAGTTTAATTCTGTGCTGTGCAGCATGCGACAGTACCTGCTGCAGTGAGCGATGATTCATCGGCCACAGGAAGCTTTGCCTGTCTCCAGCTTTCTGGCTCGCGACCCACTGACCCATGGCACGAGGGGCTGCCAATTGGGAGGCGTTCGCTCCGCGGCCGGCCGCGCTCCTGGACTTGACACCATCCAACCCGATCATGCTCATCTAGACTAATGCTTCTAATCCTCGCCCGCTCACTTGCCTCAGAGATATTTCAGGGACTGGTGGCTTGTGAAGTGGACTAGAATCTCTTTGTGGTTCGTCAGAAACTTTGGCACTGTTTCTCATATTTTTTTTCCCATCTGCTGCCATTGGAGCCTTATCGGTGTGAACGCATCAGCTCAGAGCTTGCTCAATTATATTCCCATCCAGCTACTGGAGGGCGGTGGATGGTAATAATGGATGGTTGACTATAAGTGCCCTTGGATGATGACTTGTCCATAGATCATATGGTGTCCATTGGAATCATTATGAAATGTGCTGCGAACGTCACTAGTTTCGAAGGGGTTCGCAGCTGGTGGTCAAAAACTATCCATATGGTTTGCAACACCCCCGTTAATACACCATTTACCGGTCGCAGCTCCGGGGAAATGCCTCGGTTGTTGATGAAACTGATGATTCAACAACTCAAACGGGGCCCACTCGGCCTATATTACTTTTTGATTTGACGGCTCGGAACAAGACATGCTGAGAATGTTCTCCGACCATTCCTTCCAGAATGTGGTTCTTAACTCCATGAGAGAGATAGGTTGGGCCGCTGGGCGGCTTTCCGCGGACGCTCGGATAATCACAGATCACAGCCAGGCATGGCATTATGTGATGGATGCAAAGGCATCTTATCTATACGCAGAAAAGGACATATAAGCACCTCTACCGCGAGGACAGTTCTCCACTCCCTCTAAATGGCAGATGTTCAGACGGTTAGGTCGAACACTACCTTCAGCTGCCTGACCTGCCGCAGGATCCGAAAGAAAGTGAGTCGGCCGTTAACCTAAGCTACCGTGCACCATTGACATAGTCCCGATCACCTAGCGGTGCCCTGGGATACCCAGCAACTTCATTGGACGAGGTTCTTGTATTGAATGTGATAGACTTAGTATTGAGTGTGTTGGAGCGGAAACCGAGCGTCCCCCTTGGTATAAGGTGGGAAAATCCAGAGCAGCATCTCTAGACGTTATTCACTAAAGGTCAATAGGATAAAAGAAAATTGAAGCGTTGCAGAGATGAGATAAAATCTTTCCTTTCATCTAAGCGACGAAGGCGATTCGACTGTAACCAAGGTACGACGCACGTGAGCTCATAACTCGAATAGAAGCTCAGGAAACGGCGTTTTCACGTTCCAGAAGTCCTAGTCATTACCCCCTTATTGGCTACTGACCCGATATCACCCAGTGCTAATTCCATGGCGCCTTCCGGCGTAAATGATCGCTTCGTATCTTCAGGACTTTCGCATGGTACCTTTGATTCGGTCTATCCACAACCCTCTCCGGACGAGGGTCATATCTCCCTCGGGACGGCATCGCGGACTTATCCGCTAGAGTCCGCGTATAGCAACTCGGTCATCTCTCTGGACTCTCCTGTTGACCTTCTATCAACTTTTACGGAGGCTGGGCCAGTCCCCGAAGCCCTGGACTCCCCCCCACCTGTCCTCCATGACGCTCATTGGTGGAGATGGGAATCCTCATTGGTGCAACCCGGCACTGGTGCCATTGACGGTCGACTCGAAACGTCCTCTCGCACGGATGGCGGAACTATGGGCTTCCTCGATATAGGAAAAGCAGTCGTAGATCACAATGCTCCTCCCAACCTCGCTCTTTCATTGTGCGTGTATCTCCTGGCCACCTGCCTGCCCCAGGTCCGTTCGCTCGTGTTCGTGGTTGATGAGGTAGATGCTGCTGCAATCAACGACAGCATCGAAGCGTTACGACACGTATCGATGGACAGTTCGCGCTTACGCGTGGAAACTAGGAGTCTTCACGCTGTAGAAGCACGCAGTGATGGGAATGACCAGTCACCTACTTCCAACCTTTTAACAGGGTTGAACCATGATAATGTGGCTTTGGATTAGATGAACAGCCCTCTAGCTTTCAACCCGCGACGCATATTGGTCTGCGCATTGTGCGTCTTCGGGCGTTGAGATGTCGTATCGTTTGTTTGTAGCGTCCCCAGCTGCTGCGGTATTCCATTGCGATGTACTTGTTTAGGGATTGGGTAACGTCACCCACATTTCGCTTCCGGCGGATTGTCCTACAATACGAAGTGCCCCGAGATTCTGGGTGATTGGGTTGGCTTTGACGTGATATTTGTTTGGATTCAAGGCGTTCCAATAGCTTCTGCGTATTGTTCGGCTATTCAAGATCGCTCAAGATGGCATTTTGTTTGGTTCTGGCATCTGTTTCCGTTCAGCTAGTGATTGAGCGCAGTCATTCATCCGAATCAGGTTAACACCGCCAAGGACCCTTGTTCATTGACATCATATCGTGAACTGATATCACACAGGAGCCTCATTTCAGCAGGTTTGAAATGAAGTCAGTAACATACTTACGTCCTGAGCTAGGGAACCTTTGCATCTGGGCCACCCGTGAAGGCGGTAAATGATCAAAGATTCTGGTGATATCGAGTCCCTGGAATGGTCATAACACTCCGATCCTCCTTGGCGATAGTGAGGCCATGCCCGCAATCTCTTGAACGACGTCCTTCCATGTGCCAACGTTGTTATAGGATATTGAAACCCATGATACAATGATCCACAATCTCATCTTTCGACCAATCACAATGGGAGGTTGTGAAATTCCGAATCGCCGCCACTAGTCCCTCCTGCACGTCACTCCTACGCGGTTGTACACGATGACACGAGTGCAATCATAACTAGATTGGGTAGATGCGGACTTCTCTGAAGCGTCCTCAATGTGCTTCAGCCTTCAGGCAGTGCCCATGTATTTCCAGCGGATGATTACCCAGCGCAAACGAGCCTTCATCCAGGGAACCCGGACCCCCACTGCAGGATTACCAGCAGTAGGCGCCCAGAAGTGGGAAACTCAACTCGTTCGTTATCTCGCAGATGCTCTCAATAGGCTTCACGGGAATAGGAGAATTCGCGTCCCCCTCGCACTTTGTACCGCACCCGCAGCAATTACCCCACGAACCCAACTGCCTCCTGCCAAATATACAGAACCTCCATACCCAGGCACCTGTATCAAACAGTATACTAAACGTGGTGACGATATAACACAGAACTCCCCATAACACATTGCAATCGTATAAAAACAAGTTACTCTACCCGCGTAAAGGAAATTATGATGGGAGCAAAACTAGTAAGACATGCATTTGGACGATTGCGAGAAATGAGGGATGAAGTGCATAACGACTGTGAGCAAAACCAGGAGAAGTTCGTATCAATGCGAAAGTGAAAAATTTCCTTGAGTTTTATATGAACGTGATGTGTCATGATCGCGGTCAACCGCGTGAATCCAGGACATTCTGAAGCAGAGTCTCTGCCTTTTTTCGCTCAGGCTCGGTTACTCTGACTCCATCAATGACCTGGACCTTGGGGCAAGCCCTCATTACCATGCCCCGGTACGCAAGCCTCCCTAGATAGGAGTCATTCGGTAAGTCACGGCGGAACTTAGCATCCAAGTCTTCCCATGATGGTTCCACTGCTCGTTTCCTGGCCCGAGAGTTATCTTCCGAGGGGATATTTCTGGCGCGACGCGAGTTGGTGGAGTAGGGATATAAACGAACGGCACTGTGATCTGATGCATCGCTTTGGCCACCCTCACCAAGACCAAGGAGGGGTGGAAATGCTGAAGCCGCTTCCGAGGGCTGCAGAACAGCAGGGGCGTCACGTACAAGAAGAGGAAGATACCATCCAAGTGTCACAGGATTCATGCTTTGCAAAAGAGATTGGCGATGGAACATTGAACAACACTTATCATCTTACCGAAGATCGACCATCTCCAAGTCTGGCATCTTTCGCAATCCCATCAATATACGCTTCGTTCCTTTCAGTCGTGAGCCAACGAGGGTCAATCGCTTGAGTCTGGTTAGATCCTGGATAGGGCGGACGTCTGAAACGAAATTGTAGTTCAGGTTCAAGACACGAATGTTCGGAATCGATGCCGCCAATGCGTCAGGGAGGACGGAAATCCGGCAACCAGCCAATTCCAAATACAACAGGTTGTAACATGGAACAGACAGGAAAGTCAGATCTTCCAGAGGGTTCCCAGATAGGTATAGACGTTTGACATCTCGAACATCAGCTGGCAGTAGGTGCCTGTAGTTATGTGTTAAGGGTTGATCTGATCTATGTGGATTCCAACTTACAACTTCCCTCCCATCTGGTTTCGTAAGCTCAAATTCTCTAGTTTACTCAGGCGATCCATATGGATCAGACGTTTTAGTCGGTTCCCATCCATATACAGGGTCCGTAGGTTGACAAAAGGCGCTGCATTGATTTCAGAAACCCGGTTATAGCTCAATCGCAGTATACGCAGCCGTGCGACAATGGACGAGCACGACAACGAATCGAGAAGATTATGGTCTGGATGACCATGTCAGCGACCGACAACGTACAAAACAAACACCCAGCCTAACCTAGATTCAGGGACACGAGACCCGTTAGAGTAGTCACTCCTGACACAGCAGTTAAACGGTTATAGCTCAAGTCTAAATGTTCCAAACGGGACCTTCCTAAAAATGTCAGAAAGGGGCAGTCAAATAGTCCGTGGATACGTACCAATCGCAAGTTCGGAGGTTGAGCTGCGTTAGCTTGTTCCGTTGAAGACTTAGTTTGGTCAGGGCACTAGCATGCTGCAAACCATCGATTGTACTAATCGAATTGCCATCTGCGTGAAGATCTCGAAGAAGCGGGAGAAATTCTAGTTCTGGAGCAGGTCCGTCAGCAGGGAAGTCCTTGACAGTCGCAATATGACTTACGCGAAAGGGAATCAATGGAATTATTGCTTATGTCTAATGACTCCAAGTTCCGAAGATGACTGTAGACTGTGACGCTCGTCAACCTTGGAAGCCGAGTAAATCAACTGCCTGAGCCAGAGAGGCAGGTACAATAAATCTCTTACAAATTGTCTGACACTCGAAGCTGGCGGACATTGCTTGGGATTCCCGTCAAATATGAGATTTGATTGTTGTGTCTGCGAACATCATCAGAAAGAAGGGGGAAATCTACAAAAAAGAGCGCTCACAGATCCAAAGACACTAGGGAAGGCAAGAAATCCTTCATTTTCGTAATACTTTCAATCTTTAGATTAGACAGATCAATCTGGGGCAAATGTTCCCAGTGCGGTTCATATGGATGCACTTGCGTGATTGCCTGTATCAGCCGGTCTTGAGAGACTGCAAATGAACATTCAGTGAGAATCGTCTGGTTCGCCTGGGCTTGTAGAGAAAGTGTGCGTTTCGATCGGGGTGCGACAATTTTGCGAGGCTGGGCCTTCGGGGTCTTGTCGTTGTGGCCACTTGCTTTGACAGCAACGGATTCCTCTTGTGTGGACTTGGTGAAAGCGGATGAACGAGCCGAAAGAGGGATAATATTCGAAATGTCTGGCAAATGACTCGAAGGATTGGACTTCGAGGGCGTCTGCCAATCTTCTAGACCTAGGGTGCGAGTTTGTTGGCTGCGGTAGAAAACCTATGACAAAGGCGACCACTTACTTTCTTGTTCCAGTTGAGCGAGCATGTTGTCAATACGCTTGGTTCGCAGAGAATGCGCGAAAGATGCGTTTTTTCCGCTCTGACGTTCAGCCATCGAGATGCTCCCCTCGCCCTCGGAAGAGTCGGTTTCAGACACCAGGCCCACAATCTTACCATCTGTTCGACCATCAGAAAAGCTCACAGAGCGTCGATGACTGCGCTGTGCACTGTTCGGCAAAGGGGTTGATGGACCGACACTGGCCTGTTTGACAAGTGAGCCCTTGGATGTGAGCGTCGGAGTTGCCGTCTGCTTCAACACAGACTTAGGAGGGACAAGAGGGATACTCGGCCGTACTTTGCCATTTGGATGTGGGAAGGGATGTGGCGTTGACTGGGAAGGAATGAGGATCGGGCGAGGCACAGGCTGTGGTGTTGATTGGGGAGCTTCTGATGGCTGCAAACGCTCTTCCTCCTCGCCATCCGACAGCGTCTCGAAGTTACGTCGAAGGAGATCATAAGTATAAGATCCACAAGTAGCCTCTGTTCGAGTCGTCTCAGTAAGGGCTGTGGTGTGGTCCGCAGTTGAAGTCCCAACGTCCTCTCTATCGGACCCACCGTCGAATCCACCGTGGGGAGTGTTTTCGTTCCCAACCAAGGAACGCGAAGCATCGGGTTGAGTCGCCGCATCAATCATGCTCTCCGAACAGCCCTCCATACCAGAATCAGAACTCTCAGTATCGGAGTCAAAACGAGCGGCCTTAGTATCAACGTGGGACAGCTCAGTAGCATCCTTGAGGCTCTCGATATCACGGAAAACATCCTCAGATAAGTCCTCTTCGGGGCTCTTTCGTTTCCCAGACCGCAGCTTCGTCCATCGCATGTGTTCTGCATCCCAAACCATGTCCCCAACCTGCTCTATCGGGCCAACATCCCCAGGCGCGATTGTTCGAATGACACCCCCATGGGATGGTCCTGCATGCTTGACTCCTGTGGCGTTACTTGCTGTGGACGTTCCAGAGTGAGATCGCTGGGCGGCTGCCTGGAGCACGGAACTTTGTGCAGTTCCCGTCATAACAAACCGTGCCACATCTTGTTGGACCTGAGATTGAGTTCCAGCCGGAACATTGGATGGAATGTGGAAGGTGTTCCGTCAGAAGGACGCAAGGAGTCGACAACTAATGGTTGCGCTTCCTGCGGAGGAGTTGAAAGCAAGATAAGGTCATCCTGGTTCTGTGGGGGTATTGGCTCTGTGGGTGAGTTAGGTTCCAGCCGGATTGTGGGGGTGGTATTCGCAATATCACCATTGACCAGGATCCGCGAGGGCCTGGAGGCGCTTCCCAGAGAGGCGGTACGGTTCCGTGGTGCAGAAGGGGAAGCATCATCAGAACGTGTTGGGTGACGCTGAGGCATAGTTCCTGGAACGGCCACGTTCCTTACGGAATCGTCTCTCAGAGACAGATTAGCCATCCCAAAACGTAGGCTCTCATTGGGCATGTCCTCATGAACTTCTGACCTGATCTGGGCCATGAGCGAAGCTGCCTGGAGGCGATATGCCTGGCTTGACGCACCCCTCGCTGGGCTCGTGACGTAGTTCTCGTCTTTCCAATGGTCGGAAACACTTCGAGAGATATTGCCTTCACTCAACTGTGCCTCTTCATCCTTTTCTTCGACGATGCTGAGGGGTGCTGCGTCCGAGGGAACAGTGGTAGCAAGCGAGAGCGAGCGGTGCTCTCTGATCTGCTGCATAAGCGAACGAGATTCACCTAAGTAATCCCTGCGGCTACTGGGACGACTGGGTGGGGTGACAGAAGAGCGTCGCGCGCGGGGAGACGAGCGGGAAGAACCCTCGATGAGATCATCAGGGGCAGACAATTTTATACGCTTAGAATGTCGAATATATCCATCCTCACTGGGACTATCGACGGTCGATTTGACATCTATGGAGTTTGCTAGTGCGTAAAGATGGTCCTTTGTGTAGGTGTCATAGGTCTGAAATAGCCTTAAAGGGGGTTCTGCTGGAGTGGAATGCGAAACTGGGGATGGAGAAGCAATAGGTGTCTGGAATGTGAAAGAATGATAAGTGTCCGGGCGAAAGTCGACGGACCTGACCACATCTGGGAGGTCTGAATCTACAATTTCATCCACGCGAGGTTGGTCATTAGCTTGTGAATCAGAAGGGCCTGGCCCTCTGCGGGATGGAATGCGTTCCGGCACATGAGACTCTGAAAGTCTACTTGGAACACGGGCCCCGTTCGATTTCTGTAGGGGTGGAGAAGGAGGTTCGAACATCTTCTCCAAGGCCAGCGGACTGAAGAAGGATTTGGTGAGGGGGTTGGCCTTCCCTTTCATACCAACTAAACGCTTTGCAGGTGTGACCGGCTCATGAAGCACGTCCTCCCGGACGAGAAATGTTCCTCCCTGCTGTTCGGATTCAGATACTGCCGTCGCCGAAGTGCCAGAATCTTGTGAACTCCTTGTGGATCGCGTGAGCGCAACACCCTCATCCTGATCCTGTATAGGGGACCTTTCGGCGTCATCATCATGGGCAATGCTCATGTCTTGTGCCTCGTCCTGCTCAATCCATTCTTCCTCTAAAGATCCATTCATCCATCCAGGCTTGGACATCTGGAAGGACAGTATAGATTCGCGTGTCAGTGCGTTTTGAAGAAATCGGAAAGCCGAGAGGTCACTCGAGAGGAGGGCTCGCGATCCGACGGCGCGAAATTGGCGCTTGTCCCGGGTGGGGCTGCAGTTGTTTGTTGACTGTTGTTTGAGTGTCGGGAAATGGCGAAATGAATTGCCGTCGACGCGCACTGCTTACTGCCCGCAAAACCCCAGGCAGGATCCCAATAAAACGTTTATCATCTATCTTCCCAAAGAGTGAGGCGGAATGAGTTTTTCGCCTACGCACGAGCCAACCAGAGAGCGAGCCCTGGCTCTCATTGAACAAAAGGACACTATTCAAGCTCAGATCGAGCATCACCTGTCAATCCTCCGAACGAATAACTCCACTATGCAATCGCCTTTGGTAGATGCAGAGGGATTTCCTCGTGCTGACATAGATGTTGCCTCCGTCAGGACTGTGAGCATGCTATCCTTCCATCATACAGCACTTCATCAACGAGGATTTGACCAAAGTCTCGTGTGCGAATCATCGAGTTGAGAAACGACTTGGATGCGGTCATGGAAGAGATTTCCTCAGCCCTTCAAGGATTGATACCTCCAGACACGAAGACGGTCCCGCCTGCTGATTCCTCGCTAAACATCCCACGAACTAACGGGAACGTGCCGGAGATTGCTTTTGCTCTGGTCAATGGCGTCGCCCCTAACAGTCCAGCAGCAGCGGCGGTCTGTAGATCTCCTCTCCTTTGATGCAGCCAGTCCTCTCATTTATTCAAACTTAGGGGCTGCTCCGAGGCGACCTTGTAACTTGCTTTGGCAGCTTGACAGCATCGTCATTTGGCTCAACAACTTCTCTTCAATCGTTAGCTTCTTTGGTTTCTTCTCATGAAAATGTGAGCTTGTGAAGTTCATGGTGCATGATATGGCTTTGAATTCATTCGTAATCAGCAACCCATTGAGATTCGCGTGAGGAGAGGGGACCTCAATTCGAACAGTTCCTTGGTTACCTTATCTCTTACACCCCGGTCAGGATGGGGGGGAAGAGGGCTTCTAGGGTAAGTCGATGCACCATCTTTAATCGGAGCATTGAATCAGATTTGATTGTTGCATGCCTATGGGCCTCACCATGTGGAACATAGATGCCATATTGTACCATACTCTGCTTGATGCTGTTCAATACCAATGGCATGGCCAGGTGATCGGTTGTGATACCACCATGTGGGCCAGCTTCAGCGCCAATCTACTGCGCAACCGGCACGCAGCATGGGTTCTGATATTGCTTGCGAGCTGCACGTACGTGTGCACCAATCAGCATATGACTTGAATAATATGTATATGCATTTTATTCTTCCCATCTGGGCCCTTTCGGGACTCACCCAAGGACTACATTCAGGCAATTGCCGTCGCTCGATCGACCGCCCAAACTGGCTACAGGGAGGCTGTCCTCCCGTTACGAGTGGTATAGTTCATGGCACACTTCGCTTTGGGCACTAAACTGAGCGTGGAACCTCGTAAAAAAATCAAGTGCTGTGTAGAAATGATAATTAAATCTATCCTTATCATCCTTCTGTCGCGCAGGCAACTCATATCACTTGATTAACGCCCGGGTAGGCTTTACGTGATTTGATGCCGAGCGCAGCGCCTCCCCGTGGAACCAGAAGAAGACTGCTACATGCCCAGTGCAGCCCACACTTTACGTCCTACAGATTTCTGCCAAGATTCTCAGTCGCCCTGTATAGGAATCGGACCCCTGCGTATAACCACATCAATCCCCAACGATCGGACCGATGGGTGTGCCACCACCAGGTCGCATGGGAAGATTGTGGCGTGGCGTGCCTGCAGGTTGTGAAACAACCTGCAGCTAGGCCAATCCCGAACGGAGATAAGCTATTATAAAGAATTCTTGTTTTGTGTTCCCTCTCTCTGTAGGGGATGTAGCAGAGGTCCATCAAGGGTAAATGACTCGACCCGCACAGCTTCGGAGATCGAATCTATATATATATATCTTTTATCCCGGCGGACAATACAGTGATAACAGAGATTGGATCATCGTTCTGCTCTGACTGAGAGACCCAGGTGCTTTCAACGTGCCGTGGCTTATCAGTAATCACTATGTCCGCCTGAATTCGAATTTTGTGAATCATGGAGAATCACCAAGCTAGGCCATACCTCTTGAGCCAGCCTCTTTAATCGATCCAACACTATTTACACCGAGTCAGAAAAGCTGAAACGTTAACACCCCTTATCCCTGTCACATGAAACTACAGGGCCACGGGACTGGGTCGGGATCTTGCTACGGATCTCAGTCCTCAGGTTCTTCCTTGTAATCATCATTCTAAAGATGGATCCTTTGACCCCAGTCTTCCCGTCTGCCCTTCAACTCAGGGCCACCCACGTACAAAAAAAAAAAAACAATTCGCTCCTCAGAATTTGCCCCCGCGACATCCTTCACCCATGCTATGCCGCGAAGATCTATTGTGCACATTCCGGGAAACATTCAATGAACGGCATGCTCACTTTTTGATAAAGTGATTCTGTCTCATGAACCTAGCTAGGCCCCCTTTCGCGGCCTGCAGTACTACTAGTCTTCTTATTGTTCTCTAATCGAGTCAGCCCGGGATTCAATCTATGTACCTCCTGGTGCTACGCTTAGTACGCAGCAACTAATTTTCTTTTGTGTTACTGAAAACCTGGGATACAAGCTGTGTGAAGGCGCCAAGTTCACGTAAGGAATTATCTTGTTCAAACCAATATCATTCTACCAGGATGATAGATCAGAACATGCAGTTCGAATTAATTCTAGCCATAGGTACTAAGGTAGCATTCATATGTACTAAGTTAGCAATTGCAACATGAGGAGTGTTCAAAAATGGGTTCGCACTGGCCTAATTGGAAGCGTAGTAACAGATCGTAACGTGAACGTAGCGCACATCATGGGACAAAGGGTGATTGAACGAAATGGGAAGGTAATACATGAGTCGCGTGTGTAGAAGGGAGGGGGAAAATGGAAAGTCAACTATTTGTTTAGGCTACAGGGAGGGGTGGCTGGTGTCGACCACGTCGATGCGGTGGGTATTTGGAGTGGGGGGTTGAAATGAAAAATGTAAAGCAATATTGGCGCACTATAAACTTGACCCACTAAGTTCGGCGCTCACAAAGCTACCGGAAAGTCCTTATGCTCCTGGGAAGGAAAGGGAAAACCCACGCTAGAGCACGGCTGGCATTCAACCTAGGCCATGTTCACCCCTTGAACCTCCCCCGCCTCGTCCTTCCACAATCATCTCACGTAACCACTGCACTTTCTCCTCCGCCTTCTCGCACCTTGCCTTTAAATCATCTCTCTCCTTCTCTAAATCCTCCACCTTCCGCTCCAGCATCCTCACATATTCTAACTTCCTCTGCCTTGACCTTCGAGCAGCAATTGTGTTTTGGCGACGTTTCCTGGCAGCGGGGGAATCAGCGATCGAAACTACACGGCCATCTTCTGTGGTAATAAGGTAGGCATCTGAGTCCGCAGACCCTTCTCTGGAGTATTCTTCCTCCTCTAGCTCTTCCCGGCCCCTTTCAGGAGAGGGCGGTGACTGGGTATCCCGGATAGGTGACAACGATGATTGCCCGGTTGCGGGGCTGCTCGGAGCTTCCGTCCCAACACCTCGCGCTGTTGGCCTGCCTCTCCTCACGGCTGAAGGCGAGACCGAAGTATGCGGACGGGAGATGGAGGCAGGAGGCCGTCGATAATTAGTCGGTGCTGTGATGGGGATCATTTCAGATATAGTGATGCCCCGCCTGTGGCCCGTGGCGGATTTCCAGAATTTCCGGGGCCGACCAGCCGACGGATCATCCTGATCCGTCGGTCTCATAGCCTCTGAGCCAAACGTGGGGGAAAGGGAACGCTTTCGTGAAGGAGACTGAGGCATCTGAGCTGGACGATGTGGCGCTGACGTGGAAGCCAACTGGTTTCCGGTGGAGTCATGATGTACAGTCAAACGCGGAATGGGAGATTGTCGATTAGTAAGCGCCGGAGGACAGAGGTTTGAGGCGGGGACGGAAGAGACACAGTGACGGTGGTGGATTGGGTGTTGATTGGATGGGGTTGCTGTTGGCCAGTCGACTGGTGTGGTGAAATAATTGAGGAAATATCCATAGTAGATTTGGGGCTACGAACAACGAAGACGGCGTTGGTGGCTTGCAATGTAGCCGTCTGGGGCAACTGACTAAGGGCAGGACGGCTTGCAGACTCTTTCAAAGACATCATGGGTGGGTTATGGCTCGACATGTTCGACATGCCAGTCGTCAAATGCCTGCAGGTACCAAAAGAGAAAACAGGTGGGTGCGAGGGCTGCGGGACTTTTATAGTGCTGCGGAGCCGACGGAGTCAACACCTGGGAGGGCAGTGAGTCATCTACGAATCTTGTAGTGGGTTGTCGCACCTACGAGCCAACCTGAGTGGTGTATTGAATATATATATAGGAGGGTTCGTGGGGGTGATGGGCCACTCTCCGTACACGCTTATATACCACCGCTTAAATTGAATACTTGGCCACACGGTTGAGTCAATTTCGGGTGGGTTTACTCCATCACATGGAAACCTGCTGGCCCGAAAACGCACCCGCGAGTCTCGGGAATCAACTAGAAGATTCTCCACACCTCGCAGAACTGGTTGGGCGAGAAACAGATAAGGAATCTGGAACCTCTACACTGGCTGCTGGCTTACAGCAAGCGAAGCTGAGACAACCAAAAGCAACAGCCGCTCTACCTGAGGTTTACTAACCCGATCATCCTCGAGGACATCATGACAACGAGTGACCGAGAAACAAGAAAAGCCCCCCTGATTGCCTTTGCGTAAAGGCACTGCTTGACTGTAAGAACTTGGAATTTGGAAGCCAGACGACCACTTATGATGGTCCAAGCTCTGATTAGTAAGCAAGGTCCATTCCACGTGATGCGACCGACCCACCTTGACTCCACCCCGCACAACAGATTGCGACACGTAACCTCTCCACCACCAGAAACATAAGCCTCGCAAGCTTAGCCGACCATAAACAGGGGAGAGCCAGTTAGGGGGCTGCGCATATTCTGTTCTTCCCGATGCTGCGGCAGCGCAACCCATTCCGTGCTCCCAGCGAGGATTCAATATCCACTGCGACATTAGACGTACAACGTGGGTGCTTGTTATTGTGTGGCCGCTTACGCAAGCACCTCTGATATGTTCAATAGAGCAGGATGAGATAATTGCAAGGCTGTCTTCTGAAAATGAACGCAGCAATGCCGCGCTTCACGTAGCCTTGCAAGCGATTTTGGGTGCATCCATCGTGTTGTGAGTAGAGCACTGGTTTAATAATCTCCCTACGTGTCCCTCCTGATTCCTTGCGTAGGCAATTATTTTTCTTCTTTCAAGCATCAACGCGCAATCCAGCCTGGACACCACTTTCCGAGGTACTGCCTTCCGAAAACCCGCAGCCCAGGATCCCCGTGGCACACTTCTGGACACTCCTAAACATCTTGTACCATGTGCACTCGATTCTTCTCCTCCGTCCGGGTTACATCTCTCCTGCTCTCTTGGAAACCTATATCAGGCGCGTGCATTCAATACCAATTTGGCTGGTTACAATCATTGCACCGACTCTCTCCGTCCTATTGAGACGCGATGTTCCTCAGTATGTGTGGTGGTCTATTCCCGGATGTGTAACAGCCGCTGTTACATCTGCGAAGCAGTCGATCAAACAGTCTAGAGAGGACATCTTACACCTAACGAATCTAAAGTACAATCTACAAGGGGCATAAACGTGCTCAATGCTACGTTTTTTTAATGGATGATCTCTGTATCGCTGGAACGTTGCGGCAAGGCTGGTGGCTAGCATCAGTTGATAGATAGCACGTTATGCTCTGCATCGTGTCTCCCTGTCCCATCTCTCGCTATTAATTAATGCCCGCGCTGTGTATACAAACCATGGTGCGTTTTACGTGCATATCGCCCCTATATGTGAAGAATCACTCTCGGCTGGCCCCAATCACACTAATCCAGCGGGAATCGTATCCCTCGTGTCTCCAGCGCGCAGAAGGTGGAGGACGCTGCCCAGTGAAAGTAAACCATGTATGACTGTTTCGTGTCGTGGAACGGACGCTTCTTCGGGTAGCAATTGCGGATCGTTACGGATCGTTACGGATACCTCTGACCAGCATCTTCCTCATTGCGCTCGTTGAGTTGACACGAGTCATTCTCTATAAGGTTCTTCATTAATCGGCTCATGCAATACTGTACAAGGAACCATGCAGATTCATGAATAAATGCAGGTGGCGATCGCAGAAGCAGCTGCTTTTCGTCGCCATGCGAAGCTATCGCGAAACCACAGAGGCAACAGTTAATTATATCAAGTATGGCATCTTAGCTAAAATGGACTAATTTCGACATCACCCGATTCGTATAGGCTCCCTCGGCAATTTACTAACTCATTCTCGGTCTCCATGATCGTTCTCTGTTTGAAGACTTTCACCTCATGTTCGGATTTCGTGCCGGCTTGATTGGCTGGGATGTTACATTGAACATGAATGACTCTATAGCCAAGCATGTGCATGGCGCGTGTCTGCCGGGTATGGAAGCGCATCAAATCCGGTTATCTCTAGAGCGCTTGTCACCTAGGCACCTCAGGACAACGTTCCATCAGTGTCATGCTCAAGTCACTTACCCCCGCTATCGGATAACACATTCCGCTCACCATTTCCACGTTGTGATTTCATCTCTAGGAATATTCGTTTCATGACCCATCAAATGATGTCTTTGAGGCCAACGAATGGCTGGGTAGAAATCCCGCCATGTGTCTGCGCAGAGGCAGCGGTGCCCTCGGCTACGGCCCGCTGGCACTGGCTCCGTACATCCGCGAACCCACGTACATTAGGCATCTACCCGATTTCCACCCTTTTGAAACACGCAGGAAATGAAATTATTTGTGATATACATAGCAAACCCAAGGCCAGATTGACCCGCAGAATGTTTCGATAATCGGTGGTTGCTGCGCTAACTCGTATGTGCACCGCCGTTTCAGTGATACCAGTTTGATGTTGTATACTAAGAGCGCTTGCGCGTATTTTCAACAAGCTTTTTCAAACGATATCAATCATTCCGTCTCGGTCAAGCCAATCTCTCCTTTCACGGCCTCATGAGGACGCGAGTGCGCGCCATTATGCGACTAGTGTGCCCAACCTTGCCAGTTCCCTCCAGAAAATAGCGGCCGATGGCGCGCGCGCATTTCATCAAGGACTCAATTGATGTGAAATCGATGCGGCTCTTTTTCGGGGGCGAGTAAGGAGCACCCCTCCAATAGAAATGAAGCCAGTCTTTCAGGGACCAGGACTGCAGATCAGTACAAGGATGGACAGCGACGCCACGTCACATTCCTCGAAGCGCCATCGGAACAAGACTTGGTCGGCGTGGCAGTGTCGAGCTCAGCGGGTATATTCATCACATCGCAGTGAGCTATATAGGCATCTCCAGAGCAATTTTAGAGTGATCAGTGGATCCATGTGTTGAAGCCATTCGCAATGCTGCGCTTATTTCACGGCGCTTGTGTAAACATAGCGCCCGCCATAATGGGTAATAGTAAATGTACGTTTCGACACCAGTGTAGACGCGCATGAGGTTAGGACTCTGTGAAATAGGGGGGCTCTGTCCTCAAATCCCCCTGTCAGGCACTAGCTTGCTTACGCGACTCAGAATTTTTTTATTGCGCGACCGTGCACCGCCAGGATATATTCTTATCGCTTGTGCACAGGGAACGACCTAGCCGATTAATGTCTCCGCTTCACGCCCTCCACTCATTGTTTCACGTCCACTAATTGCTCGATAGATAGGAATATTGCACGCCCCTTATACAGGGATCATGGTAATAATAACAGTTGGGTCCTCAACCCTTTGCTCGACCCACGAGTATCCACCGCCGAGAACCAGCTCATAACAAGAACGGAGTCTGCGCCCATTAATGCTCAGCAGAAAGGTAACCAGTTCACGTCTTACAAGTTACAACACCTGCATATGTAATCACTGACTTGGCCAGATGAAAAACACGTTACTCCCATATCTATGTAAGTAGGCAATACTATGATTTGTCCCACACACTTCACTGACTTGTTGGGGGCTATTATATCCAAAATATTCGGAATGTAACTTATTCCGCCACTCTCTCTCCCAAGACGGGCCGGGTCGGCTATGAAAAATGACCGCCATCGTCATATACCCAATTAGCAATGGATTATTATAGTGGTATGCCGCATGTTATGTGCGATTTGTGGCTTGTGGACCCCACGAAGAAAGCAGTCAGCGGAACTATAGCATGAACGCAGCTCCGACAGTTGCCGAAGTCTCTGGAATCCTACCTACCAAAGGTACCCTGCCAGGCCTACTTCCGCCGACCGAAATGGCTTACATTATAGCGCCAACGGGAAAAAAATAAACCGGTAGAACACGCGGATCGGACGGAATATGTCCAACCAAGAGGCGAAACACTAGGTAAACAATAGCTGAATAGCGCCGCAGCATAAAACCAGAGTGCAGAGCAAGCGAAACAAATGGAAAGGTGGATGAAGCGACATACAAGCGATAGGCCTAGAAGAAAATCGGTTCAAGGTGTATGAGAAAGGGTTATCGCGAAGCCAACATGCTGAAAAACGCGGTAATCGACACGCGGAGAGCGTTTCCAGCGGCGACATGGGCTCCCAAACGCAGACGCGAGAAAAATGGAACAAGTTAATCTCGTGTCTCCATTGCAGCCGTTTTATCGGTACATTCGGCCCTGACGCTAAGCGATTTGCCAGAATAAAGAGATTCCTCACCATCTCGCCAACTATCAGATGATTGTCCTACCCGATGAAATCGAAAACGGCTGTAAATGCCAAATTAAGGCGAGCCACAGTGACTCGTGAGTACATATGTCGCGCTGTGAGTTTGAAATACACGGCATTGGAAGCGCCCAAAAGATTTCTCACGGTTCGGAAGTCAGCACCACTCTCGCCACGAGATGCCCCGACCGGAGGCGTCATCTGCCTACTCCAACGGCATCCTATGATCGGTCATATGATGACGTCCTCCGTGTTCAGCCTACGTGGTTTTGCCGGCGCCCGCAGAGCTGCCTCTTGCCGTCGGCAATTTTGTAAGCAGCATTGAATGTTCTCGGCGTGTGGCAGTGAAGCGGCTCTGAGTCATTTTGCATCTGAAAGAATCGTACGTTAGAGTGTGCGCATTTGACTGATGTACAGGCCTCTGCAGTGCCAGGCGTCCAACTGACGTATACTCCCCATGCATCTTGGTGGAGGCTAGGGTCATGGACGGCCTTTGTTTCATAGAGCGGAGGGAGAATGGGCACAAGCAACGTTTTGGGGTGTCTAGGCAACGTGCTTGGGAGTCTCGATCTGGAATTTGGCATCGGACGGGTGAATCTCAGCTGTATGATTTTTAACCTATCAATTGTCCTCACGGTTTCCTGCATCTAGTTTAGCGTAGTGATTGTTGGTCTTTGTGCAAGATGTCGGAATGGCCTTTCATGTTTCCGATTTTTGATTAACCCCTTTTTAGTTGAGTGACGACGCCTTTTTGTCTTTCTATGACTCCCCTGTGTCTTTCGATCACCCAATACCCCGTGTTTCTGGAGGGAACTCAGATCGAAACGCCGGCCCCTTGGAACCATCATGCAGTGGGTCCTTTTTTTCAGGCACGTAGTCAATGGCACAGTAATTCCGTTACCAGATGAAGTTTTCACAAGATTGTTGTCCTTCTCTTCCAAATATCAGTGTTGACGTGTAAACGGATCATATTGCGCTGCAGTCCCAGGCTGCGATCATTATCAAATACACGCACTGCCCGCTATTGGAAGGGGCATTATTAGGGGCCCTCAGCAGGCAACGTTCTCGCACCCCTGAGCGTCGAGCGTCAATATGGCCCGAAAAGTGCTTCGCAATAGATGAACTCTCGTAACTCAAGGAATTGAGTTGAGTCATGTTCTCCTTGGTACACTGCATGAAGGAGCAGCATCCAGGGATTCATCATTGATCATCTGGACTGCACAGCACCACCTTTCTGATGCTGCTGAATACCCTGCAATTTCGCTGCCCCAGACTGAGATTGGCGCGTCAGGCTCTCTCGAAAAAATTAGTGAAATTCGATCCTGAGCCTTCAGGGACATGGCGCTTTGTCATGTCATGGGCGCTCATTACCAATGCCCCTAACGCCACAGCACCCCTCTCGACCTCAATTTGAATGATGAATATTGCGCGCGCATTTTCTTCGCTGGACTCAGCGATGCCGCTAGCTCGTTAGCCATTCACCTATGCCCTTTCCATAGGGGTTATTCGTGAAAGCTCGCGTCCAAGGCCACGAACTGGTTGGCGCCACTCAAATAAAGGTCAATTCTAAATACGTCAAACAGATTCCTTAATTTGGGCTGCTTTGCGACGAACGCGAACAAAAATGGTGGTAAATGCCAGTTCGTTCAATCCCCTGTTACACGCGTGCGTGCAATATAAAGCATGACAACCCAAATTCTGACTAGTCAGCAAAAACAACTAAAATGCGCGCTGTGTTGTGTTTTTTCTTTACGAGTCCCAACTGGAAGCTGAGATTCCTATTTGCGCCAGCATGTACAATCGATCCTGAATCCAGGAAGATGTCTCATTTGAGCGCCTACCTAGCTTCGAAGCAGTATGCAAGCCTCAGCTTCTTGCCACACAGAGATATCGATGTTTCAGATACGATCGATATAGATCAATAACACGAGGTACTGAATACTATACAACTTGCATGAGTAGATGTGGTGCCTCATAGTAGTAATGTGTGTGATCGTGGCCTTGAATCACTAACCAAAACTTTCTGGAGCAATGACTATTCAACATATGGGTAAGGCTAATAGTACGGATATTAGTCCTTGTTGTAAGAATGAGAGGGGAAAGCACAGTATACAAGGAGGGATGCGGCGCAAAGCAAAAGGAAAGCGACACTAAAAGAAAATATACAGCACTTGAGATATTATGTATGAAACGTCAACAATGAATCCAAGAAAATGGACAATCCGAGAACAAGACAGAGTCCAGTAGATATGAAAGCAGGACTCTTAGAGATAGGGTATGAGTAATTGTGGGTGAAATATTGAATGAATGAGATGTAAAATGCCAAAGATGGGAGTACCTCTAAGATGTGGGACCACTGCGTGGCGGGGGGTGAAGAGAGATGAAGCTAGAGTGCCAAGTTTAGGTACTGCGACCAGCGCCTCGTCCGTCCATCAGCATTTCCTTCAACCACTGGATTTTCTCCTCCGCCTTGTCACATCTAGCTTTGAAATCATCACGTTCCTTTTCCAGATCCGCGACCTGACTTTCTAAAGTGCGGACGTACTCCAACTTTCGCTGCCGGCTGCGGCGTGCTGCAATTGTATTCTGCCGCCTCTTTCGTGCATCAGGGGAGTCAGCTACTGAGATGACATTCCCTTCCTCCGTGGTGATCAGGTACTTTTGCCCATCTGACTCAACCGAGAGACCCCTAATGTCCCCATCAGATAGAGCATCATCGTTCAGTTGAGCTGAATCCGGCGAGCGGTTATCCAAATGCATCATAGAGGACGCTATTTGGGAAGGGGGAGCACCGCTATTGCGCGGGTCAGCTGTGATGCCCGTATCACGCGCGGATCTGGGCCCCTTTCTGGAATTGAGAGGGGTCTCAGGTCTGGCGATAGACTTTGGCGGGCGTCGATAGTGAGTCGGGGCCTCCAAAGGGGTCATGTCATCGACCAAAATCCCTCGCCGGTGACCAGTAGCATGCTTCCACAACTTCTTGGGAGGTTCTAGAAGGTCCTCGCTGTCGAATGAATTGCGTGACTGATACACATTGATTGGCGGGGACAGAGAGCGTTTATGGGGGATCGTGGTCGCGAGCCGAGCAGGGGGAGAGTTTGTAGCAGTGGCATCACCGGCGGAGTGGCGCGAACTTGACGATTCAGCACCAGGGGATATCGAGCGATCTGGTACTGGTGAGAGCATCGCGAAACTAGCGGCATGAGTGGGAGGCGAAATAGGGTCCTCGCATGAGGCATTGACGATATTCTTGATGGCCATCGACTCGGGGCTCCGAGCCGGCTTCTGGGTTGGGAACGTCGGGGGTGATGGGGAGGGGTGTTTGGACAATGACCCAAGAGGAGGGCGCAAGACATCTTCAACGGTCATGAAGGGTGAGTGTAAGGTAGGTTGAGCGTGTTGCAGGATGGTTGGCATGTAAAGTGGAAATGTTTTGCAGATGTGCATTGGGGGCGTTGTTGCTCCGGGCTTATATATAGGAGAGAGGGGATTTGAATAGGGGAAATTTCCTTCATGTAGGATTTTCACATACGCAATCTGAGTTTGATGTCTGAATCACTCCACATTCCATTGGCGCTATGTTATATCTATCAGGTTACTAGTAGGTGCGGTGCTGTTGCAGGCTGACACTTGAGTCAGCAGTGTCAAGGCTGCGTTCCGTCCTGGAAGATCCCGTCTGTTGGGAGCAACGACTGCGCATACACGCCGTCGGTGATCGATTCCCAGACTTTCTTTAGGTTCTGGCATTATACGCAAGTTAAGGGAACGAGGCAGTAATCGGGTTCGACACTAATGGATTCTGAAAACCCAATGCCGAACTCGCGAAGACACCTGCAAGCAGTGGGCCATGGATGGGAGGCGCCGATACCGAAGAGCCTGTGGGTTACAAAAAACGGCCTAACCTGAGACGGGGTCGCAGAATATTGCAACTGTGCGACGTGGTTGTCACGTGCGTCTTCGTGGAAGACTGCACAGCGAGGTAATCGAGTCAAAGTTCTTCCAGGCGTAGAGTCGGGTACCTTGCTGGCACACACTCGTGCTTCGTGATTTTACATCTTAGGCCTTTCCAATGCCACTGGTCGCGTATGATGTGTTCATCCCTGGGCGCGTAAACTTTGCTGTGGTTGGAGATGGACCCGCTTTTACCTGCTGCGGGAATGTCAAACCTCACTGTAAAGGCTATGTCTTGATGTTTCGCCAAATCCCTGTCTCGTACGATGCCACTACCGCAGTGATCATGATTGTTCTTGCGCGACATTTATTACGTTTTGTTTTTTGTTTTTGTGCGGCGAATAATTCAGAGCTTCAGGTGTGTATACGTACAAAAGGAGCTGAGCTGCGCATCAACTGGACTCCTGCATCTGCCAGCTAGATCTTGCCAATCGAATCTTTGCATTGCAATCCAAATTTGGTCCATGCAATTTACATCTGCCCAAGGACGTCAACCCTTCCCACATGTATTTCGGGGCAACACATGAGTTCGAGCAGCGATAGGGCCTCCCTGAAAATAGCTAAACAAATAAATCAGATGTTTTCTCGAGCTGAATTTTGATGAATCTATCCAACTTGGACTGACGCGCGCGCGGATTCACAATATATTATGTAGTTTGCAACAGGAAAACTAGTACTAGGTTATAAGTGTGAGCGCATCATATCCTTTTCGGATTGTTGAAGTGTGACGGTGGTGCTTCTACAAAGGGTACCCCATGTCGGTGGTGCCGCGATCGGAGCCTTTCTTCTCAAAGTATTCTCTCTCTGAGATTTGATTCACCCTGAACATTCCTTTATCGAGGTGTTACCTGTAACGGTGCCGCCGTGATTGTTTGATCTGCTATGACGACTTGCATGGTCTCCATGCTTAGGCCCCGCATCTCATTAGGTCAAGACTCGCCGACCGTGAATCATGTCTGGAACAACACTAGTCTAACACTAGGTGCGGAGCCCGATGAAATTTCCTGATCCGTCACTAGGTTGTAGACTTCGACAAAGCCTTTATTTGTGGCGCCTTGTGCGCAAATGACAGGCGATTTACGGTCTCATGCTTGGTTCCTTTTGTCCTCTTCCTGATTATATAGTCGCTCTCAGACAATGCTCGGACACTAGCTATGATCTGTTGTTGTTTGGTTATTACCATTGTTGCATGGGCGCTAAGACGGCGAAGTCAGCAACGCTTTGTAGTCGTGTTTGAACGCTGGCGCCTTTGTTTTCGTTCTGAAACCAAGCTGCATGCACTCCTACGCCGTTGCCTAGCCCAGTTTAGCCATGCAACGTCTCAGACAATTCCAATGGCAGTGGAGCAAGGCCGCTCCGGGCGGCGGTTGTTCAGTCCTCTTCCGATCCTTTTCCTGCTCCGATAAAGTGCATTCCGTGAATGAAATACGAATGCCGCATCCATTGCTCACTTCCGCTTTTCCTACTCGCCGCTCAAATTCCGGATTGTTCGTCTATCAACCATTTGTGACCTATAATGGGAAAGGATTAAGCTTCCCTCGGTGATCGACGGCCTCGGACTTTACGACTGTGGAGCTGGCATTGCATCGCTATAACCTTACATAAAGGGGACGGCCGAGCGCGTCCAGATCAATATATCCAAGACCTCGTGGCTGAGTCATGTCACACAATAGTTCGAATCACGATCAACAGCGCTTGGTGCCAAAAGTGGCATCTAACCATTCCTATAGCTACTACATTACCACCTATACACCACATGGCTTTCTAAATGCTGCTTAGTGTAAAGCTTAAGTGCTTTCTGTGATTCCAGACAACGGCGAGGTGGAGGCATCCCATAACCCACGTTGCTCATTCGGCGTGTGACTCCCTGCTTGACGACGCCGTCAGTTCATTACCGCGGTCCACTCCCTACCTCGCAAACACCATTTCTCCCATACACGAATCGAGATTGTGGTGACCATCTGAAACCGATTTAAGATATAGTTGGTTAATTAGAATTTTCATAAACCTGACACATGCATCCCTGCCTGTGCGTTTGGCATTGCTATCACCGCCCTATCCTGATTGTTTCAGGCAATACCATGACATCCTCCCAAACTCGTCTAGATGGTAAAGCAACGAGCCTCTTGTTTCCCTGATGGAGTAGCCAGGCGAATTAGTACTATGGTGCTCATGAGACGAGCTACTCTCCATATCGTTCCAGTGAAGAGTCCTCGTACGCCCGTTTCCAGCGAAGCTTCACCACTGTCAAAGCAGTAACCCGTTCCCATAGCTTCCTATTGTCTATACTTTGTGTGAATGTGAATCTTGCGTCATGAGTGGCGCTGGAGTGGAACACCAAACAGCCAGCTAATGAGTCTCAGAAGCCGCTGGGGCTACTAACCAATGGACATCTGGCTCCACGTTTGATCAGCCATGTCGACCGCTTGTACAACCCCAATCTGGGAGTGGCACTATGGGGTGTGGGCGGCGCTGGCGAAAGTGACACGCCTCCCGTTTTCCATGCGCATGGAGAATAGAACCAAAGGTCACCGCAGGATTCTAGCGCCAAACATTGCTGAAAGCGGTTGCGGGGAAATGGTTTGGAGGTTTGTTGCGAGCTAATCAAAGATTTGGGGGAGTGGGTATGCTCTAGTTGCCCCGCCGCGCGGCGGATCCACGTTCTCCCGCTAGACACGCCCACCCCAGAAACTGTGGATCGGGTATGAATCGATGGCCAGAGGGGGGATGGGAGAAGAGCCAGGGAAGAGTATCATACCGGCCTACTAACAAACATCCACACTTTCACACAACTTGAACTCCACTCATTTCTCATGACTGTTTCGTTCACCGCAACCACTCGGATGTGTGGAGAACTCGTTCCATCTCGCCTTTGTTTTATCACTTCCAATTGGCTCCCTTGAGTGCTGTAATGGTAATTACACGTCGCCTGGAAACGGCTTTCCGACATGCATACAGATACAACCTGAACACTGCATTGGACAAAAGACTGGTTTTCATATCAGCGTCTCTCCCATGTGCTCGCGCGTGCTGCCTAAGGCTCGTGGACACCCCGTTTCAGGGGAAATTAATGTTCTAGCGCTGGCAACAACACTACTGGCCAATCCCTCGGTATATGTCATGAAAACTTACGTTCACCTAGCCGTCAGACGCAACGTTGCAAAATGTCCGTTCGTATTGTTAGAATCAAGGTTACTAGCGTTAGACGGCGGCGAAACTGTGTTTTGATTACTTGGTCGCGGCTGGCAGCGAAAAATCGTGTTCGCAATTACACTTTCTCTAATTAATGCACATCCCATCAGGAAACGGTTGGGAGAGTATGCCTGCATTGTGGCTAGCTACAGAAGGATTCGCTTTTGACATAGTATACAAATGTATCAATTCACTTCAAAGCAAAGCACCAAGGAAACTAACTAGTGCGTTTACTTTCCAACCCTGCCCCCTGTGGCTTCATTCCAAGCCCTCAGAATAAGCTGAACCACGCCATCAACGCCATCGTTGTTTTTCACGCTAGTGAAAAGTGTAGGACCGCCATCACGCATTTTGGCTGCGTCTCGGGCCATGACTTCAAGAGACGCCCCAACATGAGGAGCGAGATCCGTCTGCGCAGTGGGGTGCATTAGTAAACGAGTAACGGCGGTTGATTCAAAGCAAGAGACGAACTTTATTGATGACAAGAAGATCCGATTGCGAAATGCCAGGGCCTCCTTTTCGAGGAATTTTGTCGCCCCCGGAGACGTCGATCTTAGTCACACAATCAGTGTAAGATCCGACAGCTTCGACAATATCTTCAGCACATACCACATAGATAATGTAATCCGCTAGTTCTCTGCTGTAGTTTGCTGCGAGGTTATCACCTCCACTCTCGACAAATAACAACTCGCATCCAAACTTGGCCTGCAGTTCTTCGAGTGCACCCAAATTGGCCGAGATGTCTTCTCGAATTGCTGCGTGAGGACAGCCACCAGTTTCGATAGAGGTAATTCGTGAGGCTGGAAGTGCCTCATTCCGGATCAAGAACTCTTGGTCTTCGCGCGTGAAAATATCGTTTGTAACGACCGCTAACAGAGAGCAGGGTCCAAGCCTATGTTCATTCTAAATTGATCCCACGAATGCGATTATGGTACTTACCAATGTTATAATTCTCCCTTAGCGCGCGACAAAGAGCGAGCGTGAGCGCCGTCTTCCCCGATCCAACCGGCCTATTTCACGATCGAACAGTATGACATAAGTCACCGCATAGATGTTGGCAAAACCTCCCGAACTAAATGGCAGAAACGCCCAGAGTAAAGGATAAGGGGCCTTCCTTCTGACGCCTTCAGGTGACATCCATCTTGGCGATGAACTTGTGAAGGGAAGAACTGGAAGGACGAGTGGGAGATTTCGGGTTGCGCATACAATCAACTCACCCTCCGATCCCAACCGTAAAGCCACGATCCTTGAAATCCCTACCAGACCAATCTGGCAGGTCTCTTTCTGCAAACTTTCCTGCCATGATTAGGGACAAGGCGATCAGGAGTGTCAATAGTGTGTGCACACAAGAGGTATAAGGAAGCCGAGTAGTGATATGTCAAAAAACATGAATGCGTCCATATGCTGCACTAATATAATACGACGCCACTGGCGGCAAGAAGCACGCATTCAACTGCCGCGCAACTTTACTGATGGTGCAAAAGAAAGCACAAAAAACAGAAGTAGTGACCTCACCTGCATGTTCCAAATGCTCATGCGTATGGCCATGCTCAATGGGGTCAAATGGGTCCCCATGAGAATAAGAATGCCCATGCTCATGTGAATGCAAAGGTCCTCCATTATGTGAATGTAACGCGGCAATCCCGCTTCCACTGCACGCCCCTGGGTCCTTCACGCTAGAGTCTGGAATGAATGTGCAGATCCCGGTAGCTGTTGAAGTCGTTGCTGACATAGTGACTCAAGACAACAACCTAGAGGGGAAGAACGAATAGGCGCGATGAGCTGTTATTGTTGTCGGTAGCGCGTCACGAGCGTGACTCAATCTTCAGAAAGTGATTCATACCCCGCACTCAGCTCGGAAGAAAGATGCGGGAAACCCTGAACCAGAGGAGCAAGTATTGTGCCGAAAACCTGTGAGCCACGAGCTCAAGCTCGCGGGGATCCAGAGTCAATCACAAAGTCCAAATCCCTCGAAGGGCTTGGTTGGCATTCTGCGGGGGACCAGAAACAGTATATGTACAGGACCCCAGCCCCTACTGAAAGACTAGGCAGGCTCCAGCCTCTATGACTTCGTAATACTGAAAGACATAGACGGTCCACGCAGTTCAACAACGACTGTCGAACCGATTGAATGGGATGAGAGATTGACACCAAATCACGGGGCCAGCCCGTGCATTTTTCGGGTTAGACGGTCAACCCCTCTTTGTAAGACTGGCCCGAACCCCCGCTTGGCATGCAGAATGCCACGGTTGATCTTCCAAGAATGACTGTGGCCACTCGTTCTGCTGTGTTTAGTCTTTCTTGACCAGTTCAAATTTTCTATTTCTGCTGGTATCGTGTTATATGAGTACCCCTACCTGTTCATTTGTTTCGCTACATTTGGATATCACCACCGCTTTGCGTAGAATCGTCAGTGGCTCTCGGTTCATCCATAGTTGCTTCTCCGCGGTGCCATTTTCGGTGATGACTCGATTGTGTTGTGCTGCGCTCCGACGTTCGGCGACGCGTAATCTGTCTTTTTGTTGGGCACGGCTCAACTCCTATGCACCTTGAATGGAAGACTGGAATATCGGGTCTCTCCACTGCTTCTAATCGCTCCAGTTAGCCGCCTGTGGACATGCTAGCATAACATAAGGTGCTCTGGGCCTGGACTTGTGGTGAGCGCTCGTTCGCATACAGAACGCCTCCTAAGTTATTTGTTTAAGCAGCCTGATCACATGAACGGATCCAGTGCACCGTATAGGAACATTTGAAAATCTCTTCCTAGTCAGTCAAGAAACGTACGGATCGTGTTGAGTGAATACCGTATCTCATGGTTAGGGGCTTCTGTTATAGGGGCTCCTGAAACACCAGGGGCACGAGAGGTAACTGCATTTGAACCACTACCAAAATTGTCTCTCTTCAACTGCCCTTGCAATGCGATAGGTCTGAGTTTGGCACAGCTGGCTCCTCATACCCACTTCCACACTTCAATACTCACCATCACTCGCTGTGATGCGAATTATTGCGTTGCGTCGAGGCGCAGTGTGCAAATCTTTGATTTTTTCCCTCGTCCCAGCAATTTTGAAGGAAAGCACAGGCCTCGGAGATCTTGTTTGCACGGCCGCGTGCATCAAGCAGATTCCTTCCAAGCACAGCGCCCTGTTCTATTTTACGGCGGCCGAAGTTGTATTGTGACCATGAAGCTGCGTCACGCTGCCACTTACGACTCAACAATGTGTTAGCCAATTGTTTCGCCCTTTTCCTAATGGGTAGCATTCTCCGCCAGCCATGGGGTGTGGATCCCGTATCCTTCTTGCTGTACTTGTATACCCCGGATTGTCCTCGGGGGTTGTTATTCCAGGGCGCTGCCGCATGCGTAATTCCCCACTTGTTACGTGATGGCGCCTGATATCCAGAAAAAAATCGTCTCGGGTTTGCAATTCTAATTTCTCAGCCAACAAATATTGTCGTACCAATTACTAAGCACTGGTTCACGTTAAAACTGTCATGCATATTTCCCATGGCCACGGCTATGTGCTACAGCAATGCTTCCTTTGCATTCTGCGTAATCACCGGCGCCAGACGGATCGCCGCTGATTGCTAATGCCTTCACCCACAGGGGGATGAATGACTGCATCTCACATTTAATTGCTAATATGAGCCACTTACAGTGGCTGTATATTCTCGTGGTGGAACATGTTTGGCTTGATATCGAATTACTGGCACCAATGAGGAAATTCTCCTTGCGTCTACTATGTTCTACACCCCCTATACCAGAGTGGCTTAGGATTTTTCGGGCTGCTCTGCATGTCTCTCCCCTACCTCAGGTTATGTGGGTATTTGAGCCAATAAAAGTCATTGACTTAACCGTGCCCTGCCCGTCCCACCTATCAAGACGGACTCGGTGTGAGACAGGCCGAGGCAACAATTATGCTTTGGTCTCGCCTGTGCCCACTTTTGGGAGCACAGCTTGTCTTTTATGGGTTCCTCTCTAGGTTCCCCTTGGTTGTCACTTGATTTGCAGAGATAGTCATAATTCCACCAACAAGCTCGTGAACTGTGGATTGGGTGCCACTGCGCTTGGGTACTGTCTGCATGTGACATCATCTACCTGGTCGTTATCAGTCCAAATTCTCGTGCACTGAACAGGCAATTAAGACGGAATTTCCGCTGATCCGAGATTGAAATGACAAGTCCTTCAATGCCCATTCTTTTCCTCGACGTGCCCATGGCATCCGTATCAAGTGCAACGGACCTATGCTGTTCATCAGTGGAACACGTATGTGTTTTTGTTACAAAACTCTATCATTCACCCCGAGTGGCCATCCAGACAGGCTGTTGACACCTAACATGCCCGAGCAAATACTCAGCATTGTATTAGTTGTTGGTGATTCTGTAAGGGCTAGCACCGATGACTTTCCTCACTCTGCCACAACTTTAGTTTCTCATTCAACGGTCGCTACTATTCTGCTGTTTCGCATCTCCACGCTCGTAACTTCCCTACGCCAATTCCTCAGTACAGGTGCTGGCGTATTGCATATCACAGTACTAGTGGATTATCGACTGAGTGTGCTGTGGGCGTCAAATCTTGGCTGTAGCCTTCCAGTGTTTTAATCACGGATACGTCGCAAGCAACTACTTGTCTTTCTTGTAATTTCGAAATTCCCTGTGGTGGTGCTCAGGGGTTTCACGATAGGATGGCTGTCGCATAGGAACCAAGACTTGGAGATTTGTTTGCTGCCCATATTGCCGACGCACTGTGTATTATGCTTCGTTTGCATGCAAATGCACCGCATTGTCATTTGTGAAGCCCAGGGGGCAGCCAATGCCCTCAAGAGACCCAATGGATAAATGATGGATCTACAGACGTGCTATTGGCAATGAGCTATCGATCTTTGTCTTGAATCGTATCATCGTTTCCACATAGCCCCTGCCTAATATCAACTGGAGATTCTCTACAGTGGGATTGTCAACTGATTGATTGCTCGGCCTCATGGCCAGGAGCGCTGGCCATTATACAGCAAGGGTTAACGACCACTAGTCCGGGCTATGCACCTATTCTATTTCTAAAGGGGTGATGAAAGAGAAATCTTTGGCCCATTGGGTAATGATTTCATATCACTATGGTCTAATTGCAACGGTCGTGCCCTGGCTGCGGAATGTGGAATTCAACTCTGTGCGGAAGGTCCCGGCTAGTTGGATAGTGGCTTTTTGTGAGAGCTGTGTGGAGTCGCAAGGACTGTACACTCAATACCCGATCACTCCAGCGGCTTTGAACCTCGAGCCACCAAGGTCGCTTGCCAACCCACTGTTCACTTGCCAAGCGCGCTAGTTTTTCCAACAGGGGCTTGAAATTCATCGTTGCTCACTATGAGAATGGACATGACTCCGCTGCAGATCCTCGATACAAAAGTGAGTACAAGCAACTGCCAATCAGTGATCACCTTCGAATTCACACTTGTCCCAATCCACTGGATAAGGCACTTCATTGGAACAGCAAGGAGAAAGCTTCCTTCCCAGACCCCAGATAGTGTCGGGTTGTTCAGCGAAACTCTCAAGCTTCGTTATTTTTCATTGTCCTGATATCTCACGCAGATGACTGCGGGACATGCGCGAAATGCTGTGTTGACTGCTTTGTTGGTATCTAGTTTTCCCGATAGGGGATCCTCTTGGGTTCTCCAAATGTCCCTAAATGGCGTCCGATTGGTATTGATCCATCGCGCCCCTCGCTGGCGCGTAGTGGGGTTGCCATTGGGCATACCATCGCGATACCAGCGCTAGGGGTGTTATAGTCTTACCCTTCCCAGTACCTCGGAGAATACGCTATTTTAGGCGTGCACGGGCCTATGCGGCAAGTACTGCAGTAGTCCATAGAATCAACTCGGATTGGACCCAACTTCACGCTGAATCTGCACTTGCACAATGGTATCTACTGATGGTACCCATATCGTATGCACTTCTACACGTGTCTCATGTTGCAATCGATCTTCCCCTTCCCCCTTCCTGGCCAGAATCTGTGTGCACACATAGGAGGCCAACACTTCCCAGCTTTATGCGTGACAATCAGCAATGATATTTCTTGACTCATTAATCCCTCATCCATGTACATGCTCACAGCGGGTACTGTGAGCTGGTGATCTTAATTAATAAGTGCATGATCGATATCATTCTTCCGCGATCAGTTCCAAATGCGGGCCAGCCCTATCCATCAATCGATCACGGTCGCGATAAGCTAGGTTCTGCCCAGCAATGATGAACTGACTCGTGTCGCAGAAGCACTTGACAGCTAGCACCCCAAAGAAAAGCAACCTAGTGATTCTGGGAAATATATGATATCATAACAACCCTGTTAGTGGTTATGGCCGCCCGTTAATGATCCCCTTTGTGCTAGTGTCTATTACTGTGCTGCAATTGAATTGAAGTATTTGTACTGATGATGGTCTCCTCGTGTTGGCGTTCTGTGCTACTATATAAAGGCCGGTCGGTCTATATACAGAACATGGTCTCGCCGCGCGCCCGATTGGCTGATCTCACCGCTCATCGCGCGTTCGTTCTCGGCTGCGTTTCCTCGTCCTTTCACACCAGTATCATGCAAACTTCCATGATTCCGGAATCCGAAGCCAAAGTTTTAATTAGCACATGTCGGATGTATGTATAGACATGTACGTACACATCCCCGTCAGGGGTGGCACAAGCGGGCTACTCAAGCAATGAACAAGGGCCTAAATTTGATCTGTGCCCCCCCGTTCGGCGCTGGAGAAGTGATATGACAAATCCGCCACGGATTCATATGATGATTAAAGTTTTTACGAGGTGCGACTGTTGTGGAAACCGATAATTGGATCCTTATGGGTATATGCTGCGGCGGGTCCACAGGCCGTATAACTATACTGTACAGATGGACGGATATCGGATAATCCGTGCTCTAAGGATATCATTCTCTGTGCCAGTCGAGTGTATTAGCGCAAGGGTATGTGTGTCTAGATCATCATTTGGTCAATACGCGGCCATATACATGCACATATGCCGCTTAATTGGTCGCTTTACTGCATGAGCACCGCTCGGCCGTCAAGTATTTACTCTACGTCTTGAACTACATATATAACGTGCATGCAAAACTAATTAATTACCATCATAACACTCGTAACACTCGTAACACTCGTAACACCCGTAGTCAAGCCTTGTGGCTGCTAGCGTATATAACACTAGCACCCACATCATCCAGCAGCCGCGAAAGTTGCGCCGATGCACCCCCCATGACCGGCTAGTGCCATGATAGCTAACCGACCGGTCCCGATCGGCTAGGGTGCTCACAAAGCGAAAAACTGAAAAATATTGCGGCTGCCGCCATCTCTTCTTATCCCATTCTGATGCACAATACCTACACAACGTTAGTAACTCATATAGGCACGTGTACGGTACCGGTTTGGGTTCCGAAAAGTAGAATGATGACGAGCAGTAGTGTGACTGGACCCGTTGTTGATTTGGGACAATTCGCGCGTCGAGAATTATATATAGCGCACGAATTCACATCAATGGAAATTAACTTCGGACACACCAACTGATCCACGACAGGGTCAAGTTTTTGCGGTCTTCTGGCCGACCGCGCGCGTAGATGGCATGGGTAGGCGGCGCGGATGTACCATTGGAAAAATATGAAACAGACTGTCAGTTCAACCAGTTCAACATTGCGGGGCTAAATTTCACCCGGAGTTACGCGAAGCAGCATGCAAGAGTTTCATCATCATCCATTCTCCTTGGAGCGATATTTTTTTTTTTCTGTTCGTTCCGAACACCGCTGTTTTACGCAATCCTTTACGCCGCATAACCGTACCGGAACCGAACCGAACCGAATTACGGAATTCTCATCACGGAGATCAGGAATTTTATTTTTACATAGTGGGGATCCACTATTTCATACGAGCGGATCATTTTGCCTGACGTGATATACATAACCGGTGATGTGGGGTTGCCTGTCATCGTCGACTCGGTGCCGCCCTGTCATGACGAACAATTTATTATGTACGTGCAACGTTCAACGGCAAATAAGCGCGCGCGCGACCCTGGTAGACAAGGGAGAAGGGGATAGGCGCAAATTCCCCGCTACGGGAACAGTGTACCCGGACTGGGGCGAGTGGTCAAGATTGAACGTGTACGGTGGATTTTGACCGAATCCAAGAAGTCAAACGTCCTAGTGCCCTGAATTCTGCCCTGATCCGTGCTTGGTTTGTCACAGGAACTGTACAATTGTCATGGGTTCCATATTCTGAATCCACTAGTTCTCGGGACCGAGGGGCACCCCTTGGCACATCAGCGGCGCCTTGCGGATGTCGTTCTCGAATAAGATTTAACAGCAGGATGTCAGCATCAACAGTAATTACTCCTGCTGACAGTCATTAATCATCTAGTGACATGAGTTCGTTGGTTTGATGATTTTAACAGCACCTTTTCTGAGATTTGTAAGGGAAAAAAAAAAAACTATGAAGTTGTGCAGGATTGCCATTGGTTCGGCCACCGCCGGCCGCAAGATCAGGCAACTGATGGTGATATTGTACCATGCGAAAAACTGTCGTGTTGCCGGTAACCTGATGTTGTGAGATAGCATCGAGTTTAATGATGAGTAATGGGAATGCTCCCATTTGATGTCAGAGGCGACGTTTTCGCCTTGGTCAGCCATACACACACACACACCGAAGTTGATGATGTGGAAAGTATAGCTGTGGTTCTCTCATCACATACATCATGAAGCGGGGGCGAGAGGCGAACCTTGTCAACTTTATGATAGATGATGAGGCATTCATAGCCCTCCGTAAACAAGTCTGACCTCCGAAGTAGCGCCGTGGGTTCAGTCAGTTCCTCAAAACCAATTCCACCCGCCGACTCGGAAGATGAAGGGGAAATCACTTTAGGCAGATGTGGGGGCGTCAGGATATGTTCGCCTTGCCCATCTGAGCCACGGAAGTGATCCTCCTCTTCCTCACTGGTACTTTCAGGCGTGTTTGGACAGAAGAGGGGTCCAAATCCACTTGAAGAGATCTTCTCTTTTCCACGCTGAAACAGGGCTCTGCGATAAAGCTCCAGATCAATACCGTCGGGAGTTTTTGTGCTGCTCTCTTATGTATTATCCCAAACATGCAGCTGTCCCGGTCCGTTACATACACCGGCCGAAGCGACCATCAGTACATGGTTGGGGAATGACAGGTGGGTGTCGCGAGGCATTGAGGAGTCCTCGGAGTATATGTCAGGGGTATGTGGCTTGCGGGGGTCCTTTTTCCCTGGTTGGCGAAAGTCTTATGTCTTTGTCGCAATGTATGCGGCAATTGCAGCTGGTTGATGAGCGTTCACTGTTGCAGTTTGAGCCCTTTGGTCGGCGGTCGTTTGGGTGGTCGATTGTCACCTGTGGTCGAGGGATACACGTACTATGTAGTTCTCACAGTCAAGCAGTGGAATAGGGTGGCTGTGTGTTCCTTCCCTGAATTAATTTTCTCTTGCCTCGAGGGCAGGCTGGACAATGTTGCGGGCAGACCTCCCAGGCTTCAGAACGCATGCCGTTGAACGTCAAATACATCCGACCAAGAAAACCCGTTATGCCTCAACTAGCGGGGTTCAAAGGATTTTGGTCGACATCACTTAGTAGTAGGCACTCATCCGCGGTTAACCATCTTGATTTTTCCGCCTCGCCGTGAATTCCCTTAACGTACTATGCTACCCTAGCCCCACACCGAACGGTCTAAATGTATCAATACTTCAGTGTTCGATTTGGCGCTTGAGAAGACAAGACAAGAACGGCAGGCGGGCCGGCGCGTACGTGGCAGGCGTTGTAGTTTTCTTGTGGTCTGATCCTTCGTGTTTGTTGCTGAATGCCACGATCTACAATGTAGTCGTTTCGATCTGAGAGTACGTCACACACGCTTGATCTGAGTTCTGGAGCTTTTGATCCCCTGCTTTGAGTCGCGCCACTGGTGGTACTGTACACTCTGAACCGAATAGGAACATGCATGTTACTTGCACTTGCACTGATTCAGCGGGACTTCTGTGGTGGAAATAGATATGCCCATCGCCGCATCTGCATCCTACGCATCGTCCAGTTTATACCAACCCTAGAAGTATCGAAACTTGGCGTCCGCGGTGGTGCATACGGCATACAACTTGTGTGGCGTTCAATGTCGACTTGAACCTGCCGACTAGTTTGATGAACAGGCAGTTGTCGCAGTACTCTCTAGGTTTTGCACGTCATTTGAATCGAGTTTCAAGAGTGCGTAATTGCGTTGTTTCATGATAGCGTCTCCGCTGATCAACACCATCTAATGGCAAGGCCGATTAGTCTTAGCTCTCAGTACGTCCGCTACATGCAGTTGCCAATCTCTTACATATTGTACAAGTACCAGCACCATGTTCATTAGCGGCTGACTTTTGCGCATAAGGCCTAAGAATTGATCAGAAGGGAAAGTACTATGGAAAGACGGTGTTCCTGCCCGAGGACTAGTGAGAGGTGGTGGATTGTGGAGAGGGTGTGGAGGGGCGGAATTCGGTTTGAGAAGTACGTATGAACCCTCTGAATTCAAATGGCTTTCCATCAAGCGAGAATGTGAAAAATAGGGTGCACAACTTGCCCAAAAAGATACTTAGATGTGCGCCACTTTTGTGTTCGAATATTCGTGCCGCTGTGTTGGATGTACCATGCTGACGTGCTAACGTACGCCGACATGCCGATACCCGATGCCGATACCCGATGCCGATGCCTGATGGCGCTTGCGCGGAGTTCGATCTATGGAATGGAGGGGATGGCACTGCGCACTCCGAGTACTTGCAAATATCCGATTATATGTATTGCGTCATTATAGCTGGTGCTTTTGGGCGGTAAAGTGTTTGGCCGAGGGGGCCCGTGCCCTGGACTTTAGCTTGGGTTCCTCAAATGACTTTCAGGGGGGATGCATTAATAGAGTTTATTTGACGATGTACATGCATCCAAGTGGCTGCTTTAGAATTAGCGAGTGGCTTGACCCCGTCAGTCGTCGAGATGCGCGCAGTGCAAAGAGCGGCTTTCGGTTGGCTACTATAGCTTACGTATATGGAGTTCGGGGTAACCGAGGGGGTACAATGCATGTGCATCAGACCGACGGACACCGGCCGATCGATCCAATATCCAACGTATAGATTTTCAACTGGTTTTACATGCGTAAGATGATCATCGTACGACTTGACGGACATGCATAGCCCACTTTTTTCCAGCGCACCCCCCCCCTAAATGCTTGGACAGGGGATCATTGTGTGTAATGACTGCTATATAGTGATTAGCGCTCATGATCGAGGACCAATGGCCCGTCGAGCGAGGACGATTTATGGGAGATTTGTAATTTAATTAGACATGTCGACGCATTTGTATTGCACTGCTGTGCAACTTGAGACAGTTTACAGGAGAGCCAGGTGAGCTCCATGACCTGCGCTATATACAAATGTAACACCACACTCGCGTCCGCGAATAATATTTTTGGAGTACTCCTGAAAATTTTTACGTGTGTAGATACGTGAATCAAAACGAACTCATCATTGGGCTGATCTGAGTGCACCCTTGAAGTGAGCGGGCCCAACATTCAAATGGTTCCGCCCGCCAGACGAGATGCAATGCATAATTGAGTTGACGTTGACGAAAGCAGTCAAAGGTTATTCTTAAATTGGTATAGTACCCGGCGTCCTCACCCATCATGATCCGGGGCTGACTTGCATTAATCATTAATTGCCTATAGCTAGATGGTCCCCAGGGAGGCTACTTCAATGTACGAGCATAATCATACGGATTTTTCTTCCAGGGCACACATTGACGGTGTGCTCTCAGAGCTAGTAATTATAAGATTGGCCCCAAAGATAAAACATTCATGCAGAAGGATCGTTATATGAGTTGTTACGCATTCCATAGTAGAATGAGTCCGGCTTGGCACGAGCATTTCTCACCATTGTGGGTTTATGTACGTGTACTATTCGATCTTATGGGCGCATATGAGCCAGAATTTTATCTTATTATTATAGACTGTGGGGTTGGGAGCGTACATGTCGATCATCCGTTCACGAGTTGTGTAATGAGGGCTATGTTACTAGCATATGCAACGCCGGCACCGCGTGGGCATTGGGGACATATAGTTGCTGGCCGGGATGAGTACTGGATATGTATGCATGTGAATCCTAATTCATTAATGTCAGTTCACATTGGGCGTTATGTCTGTGTATGATAGATGCAAGACACGAGGTGCCTAGTGTGTACTGAGACGCGAGTGCCGGTACGTGCTATCATCAGACCAGCGCGTTGGGAGGAACATTGATATGTGTCGTGCGCATGGTAGCGGTATGAGATGATCCTTAAAGGAAGTGATTGGAATTGGGTGGAAAAGAACGGCATAGAATGTAATCATCCACTCACTTTATTGAGGGATGCGTTGATTGATCAATATTTATCAGACGGTAGTATTGAATGATGCTTGGGAAGGGACGTGAGGACAGTGATGGATTACTCGGCTGAAGCTTGGCGTGAAAGATTTGATGGTATTGCATCACATCAGTTTTTGCAGTTGACTAACTTGACCAGATGTGGAGGCCGGGACATGCATGGCAACGATACGAATGAGTAAAATAGGAACTTGATAGTGTGGCCAGTACGGTGCGGCGCGCGAGAAAGTGAAAGGCCGGAGGGAACCAAGGGGGGAATACTGAACCATTCTTGGCGGATGGTGTTGGGAGAGAAGGGTTGATGGGTCAGCGCGGCCATTGGTTAGACGGGCCCGGGTGGTGAGTAGCGTGAGACAGGCAGATGACGATGACCATCTGGAGGGAGATGAGTGCGAGCGGGAGCGGGAGCGGGAGCGGCGGCTAGCTACATCACAAACACGGAGATGAAGGAAGTCTAGATCTCGCTGCTGGCGGTTAATTGGAATGATCAAAAAAAGTGGGTTCGATTCGAGGAGGGCGATTCAATAAAATCGGATCCTTGGTTGAAATGGAAACGAGTCAAGTGATTAGGTGATTGCTGCCTAAGCTCCTCCGTGGGCATCGCTCATGGCCATATGAACTGTTCCCTGGATGGCCTTGGATGATTGCGGGTAAAAGCCGAGGTGATGATGAACGATGAGCGAGCAAAAGGAAAAAGCAGTGCCATGGAAGTGGAAGAATATTGTTCGAGTTGTGTTGTCGTCAGTATGACTACAATCCCACTCAATTCAGTTGTCACCAACACGACCTTCTCCGGATCGAGGCAACGACGAGAATGATCCAGGTGCTATGGACAGTTGCACTTCCACCCCCAGCCTTTCTGATTGGTCGGATGGGTGGTTGCTTTCAAGAGCCAATATTCATCATAAGAAGATCGAAGAAGGAAGCCAACGAAGTTCTCCGGTGAACGGATATGTAGTTGCAGTGCAGGTTAGTCATCGTAGACGGAATCGTTGTAACCAATGATGGGAGGATATGTTACTCGGTTGGGAGACTTGCCCTCTCCCGCCCGTACTACGTACTTGATGGAGGGGAGCACCAACTAGCTGTGGGGCGATGGTCAGCCCCTCCTCCTTCGCGGATGCGATGCCAGAAAGTAAAATCAAATTCTTATTCCGTAATCATTGTTCAACGGGGCAAACCCCTGCAACTCAATAACAAAATAATTAAATCATTCATTTAATATTTCCAATTGATTCTTCAATTATTCTTCCGTACCCCAACTGAATTATTTAGCAAGGACCCATTCAAGTTTTTTTGAGTAACAATGAGTCACTCATTGTCACGGGGGAAATTATAAAGAGTGACGAATGGAGTTCACTTTTCACCCTCTCTCTCCCTTGCCTCCCCCGACGCTGCCTCAATCTATCAACTTTAACTCATAATTAGCTCTCTCGATCTACCTCGCGTTCTCCTTCCCCCTTTTCTCATCCATCTCTCATGTCCTCAGGTGTGTTCCGCTCTTATCGTTCTCTCATCTTTCATCCACACTCCAACCCACTCAATACTAAGACTAACTTTTCCCCAATCTCTATCCTTCTTCCTTCCTCACATCAGCATATGCGCATACAATGCCCCCAACACAAGCTCCTCCTTCAGCTCCTTCCTCTGTCACAAGTTCGCCCGACCTGCCAAGGGCCACTCTTTCTCGCTCTCATCCTTCCCATTCTGCTTCTTCTACCTCATCCGCATCATCAACAGCAAGACGATCAAGAAACGTGACACCTCCCACACCTTCTTCTCCTTCCTCATTCAACAGATCGAGCATGGCTATCTCCTCCATCCTCTCAAGCTCTCAACCCCACCGCGATGGCCGCGTCAAGGATCGAGAACGTGAAAGGGACCGTGAACGAGACTGGGAACAAGTTCGTAATGAGCGCGAACGAACAAGTGAAAGATTCATTGGGACACCAACGACTGCGGAACATGATCGTATTGGTAAGTCAACTTTTGATATTCGAAAGTCAACTACCCCCCTTGCAAATCCGGCCTATGTTGCTCCCGCTTTTTCTATTTGACACCTCTGCATTCATTGGTTCGGCTACGGCCTGTGAGATGCGCGCGTATCATTCAGATCGAGAGCCCATTCTTTTCCCCCACTATTTGCCATTTCAACTTCAACTCGCGCTTTCAATCTCTGGGAACCCCGGAGGTCCACGCGCACGGGCGCTAGTTTGTCAGAGTATAGTTATTTAATTTATCTCCCTTTCGAGAACATTCTTGCGATGCTTACGCTCGACGTTCGGATCGGCAAAGCCCCCCCACCCCAAATGGCTTCTCGTCCTTTCCCACCTCCTTTTTTCTGTGTCCTCAAATTCATCACTTCTTGCAATGCTTTCTCTCTCGATTCATATCACGCATTCACCCTCATTTTTCCAAACCCCCCCCTCTTCTTTGACCACGCCCCTCCCTTCTTACTCACGCTTGTTGACTAATCTCATTGCTTTATCTATCCCGGCCTTCATTGGGCTAACTCAATTCTTCATTTTCATCTCGCTTAGATGCACCAAAAAAGCGAAGGCTTGCAACGGCAGCTGATTCGCCTCCATCCCATACCACTCACAGTTCATCTCATTTTCATCACCTTTCTCCGAGTCCCCCTCTCTCACACCCGCCCCTCAATGTCAATGTCAACGTCAGCTCACCTTCCTCCTTTCCACCTCCTCTTCCATCCGGGAATTCCAGTGCGACTCCCACGAGCGCAACTTCAACCCCGTTGACTGGCACGACGCTGGCCGGAAGTCCGACAGGAACCATACCGCCGAAGCGCAAACAATGGAAAGCGCCCACTGGTCACCGGAGGGGAATTACCGTTAGTGAGATGCTTCCACTTGAAGCTCCGACGCAGGCGCGCCGATCCTCCATTTCGAGGGCTCCATGGCAACAGCCGGCACAAACACAACAACAACAACCACCCTATGTTGTGACATCGTCTGCTTCGAGCATGTCGCCAGAAGCTGAAAGCCGTTCACCTGTGTCTGCGTCGTCCCCTCCAATGGCGCTGTCTTTGACCTCTATCAGTGCATCACCTTCCACTGCCGTTGCTCCTGAAGCGAATCCTACGGCAAGTACAACAACAAACACGCCCCCAGCGGAAATCCCATTGGATCAACTGGATCCCATTGCTCTTAAGAGAAGACAGAATACTGTGGCGGCCCGACGATCAAGGCAGAGGAAGTTGGAACATGTGAGAGCGTTGGAAGCGGAGGTAGTAGCGCTGAGAGGGGAGAGGGATGCATTGAGAGAGAGGTGTGGTGTGCTTGAAGAACGCGTTGGGTTTTTGAGAGGGATGGTGGTGGGAGGGCAAGGCGGAATGGGCGGTGGTGGGATAGGTGGGATGGGTGTCGGGATGGGTGGACAGGGGATGGGAATGCCGGGGGGAGGTGTGGGTCAGGGCCCGAGTCAAGGGCCCGAGTCAGAGAAATTTGGGTGGCTTGGGGGAGATGTGACTCACGAACGTCGTTGAGACATGAATCATCGTTTCGCCGCTCACTTTTACGTGAGTTGTTTGTGCTCGGGGTTTCTCTTTGTCCGCTTCTTACTCCTTCTCTCTTTCTCGCTTTCTTTTCCATGGTCTTTGTGGCACTTGCGTTTTCAACAGGACCTTTTCTTTTGAATTTTTTTTTCCATTACTCTTTTGGTTACGATACGGCTCATTCGGCGTCCTTCGCGAGTCTTTTTGTGATACCAAGCTCTTTGTTTTCATTTTCATTATTCCATTCACTTTCTTTTCTTTCCTTTTCTTTTCTCCCCTTTCCCCCGCTTTTTTTGCCGTCGTGGTCATCATACCGCACAATCCTAGCTTCAATCCTGACTGCTTTCGCCGCTGTTCCTTGATAGTCTCTTTGTCCTCCCAGGTTGCCAGTGCCCCTTGTTCTCTACCGATCGAAGTATATCTTTCACACATACCCTCTTCGTTTTTTTTTGGCCCCTTTGGCGTTCTTGATCAACAAAACGCAAAATTAGAAAGCGAACAAAAAATGGTATAATAAATAATATACATATTTCGGATTGGAGAATAGTTGGGGCGTGGATGACGGGTCGGGTCTTGGATGGAATATGATCCCCCCAAGTCGAAAACCGGTTTGCCTTATTTCGTTCGTTGGCTCTCGGAACCACACACATGGTTCTGAACTATGAGACTCCTTGGCGCTTTGACGAGCGCCAGCCTATAGTTTTTATCCGGAACAACGAGTTATGAGACTCCACAAGCGCTGCGCAGCACATTCGCGGATGAACCGATTGCGAAGCCGTTGGTGCCGCCCGGGGTAATTGATGCAAAGATTCATTAAGGCTATATATACAGCCATAGTACATATGTGCATGTTCCAGACAGCTTCCACGAGTCGGCCCAGAATATAACTATCAGTGTTGACCGATTATATTGGATGGATGGAGCTAGTGTGTACTGTAAGTACGCGTTTTGCGCAGCAGTTCTAGTTTGCATGCATCACGCCGAACAAGTTGATTGCGTGTGCATTGTAAGCAAGTGCTCGTCAAGCTGAATCATGCATGATCGAGGATCCGATGAGAATGTTCATGAGCATGAGTCAGCTGCGCTTAGGCATAATATCATTTTAGCGCGTCTAGTTGAAGTTCTGTTACAAATGTAGCTAATATTATGTATATTACCAGATGGATGGAGGTATGGGTGATGGATGGTTGGGTGGAAAAATTGATGATAGGTAGATGATGATGGTGGCTTGGTAAGCCTATGTGATTTGAGTCAGCTATGTAGTCGGATCATTAATTGCGCTAGAGACGGAAAGGGGAATAAAGTAGGAGAGAAGGAACGGAGATATAGCTAACAATGGTAGGTGTGCAGTTGGAGGTGGCGGGTACTAGAGTTCCTAGATGGGTCTGCAAGTAACTATACTATACTATGTATACTAATATCGGAACAATGTCGATATTAATTCTTCATGCGCAGCGTACTTACGTACGCGTTGAGCATGAGGTTGGGATTTCATTTGTGAATGCGTACTATGTGTGTGCGGTTGGAGGCCCGCGCGAGCGAGCGTATCTGGGGGGGGGGCGTTAGAATCCGCGAGTTAGGATGTGCGTGCGGTGGCCTCGGGCGCGCCGGTCTATAATCGTGCGTGGGTCCGTCCGGTGTGTGTGTACTACTGCTATACTGTATGTATGGCCGGCGCCGGGGGTTTATCATATTTTAATAAATGACTTCGGTTCTGAGCCTTTTTAGGTCATTTCGGTATTTGGGTTGGGCAAAGCCAGTATAGATAGTAGTTTGATTGGGTGATATAATTGAGGGCGGCCGATCGTCCTAGCTATGGGAGATTGTATGTAAAATATAGAGGATCATCGTATGGTAGTTCTGGATCGATGACTAAGGGATGAAATGTTAACATATACCTGACCGAGCGCCCGCTCGTGTGTAGGAGCCTATAGGGTAGCCTGTCGCGCGAAAATTAAGAGCAGGCCACCGCATGGGCAGACATGCGGCGTATTTAGAGCAATAATGATTTGAGTCGAATATTTTGAGTTGGTATGATTACTTTGTGAGGTGATTGGTTATTGTGTTTGTTGACGTATTTTCGAACGAGCGCGATGAGTTCAAGCGGGCAGGATACGTTACGATGGCGGTGACCGGTGCGTATCGTACGTGTGGCGAGTCCGGCCGCCGAGCATCGGTCTCATATATGCAAGGCAAGTCGCCATGAACGAGATAGCACATGTACGTTTGGGACTTGTTAAGTACTTTCACCTTCCGTGCGCGCTGTGCATTCGCCTTTTTGTGGGAGAAGGGGGAGGGGGGGGAGGGGTCTGTGGATTCAGGTAACTTTGTTTGTTTGTTTGGGAAGGAATGGGTTTGCATTACCATTGCTTCTTCCCTCTCCTCATGGGGACACTTGAAAAGAAAAGACAGCATATTACCTTTTGAGTGCAGACCAACGAATCGAATCATCCGCTGATGGTTAATGTGATCCTAGCCAGCTAGTTAGATTCTCGAGCTGTAAGCGTAGTGCGCTCATTATCGGGTGCCTGTTGATACGATAGCAGCCATGGCTAATCGTAACTCAAGCAGTGACATCGCATGTGCAAGCAGATGATGATGATCAAGTCAAGCGTGTGGATTCTGACGATCCGAAAGGGGTGATATGTGTCATCCCACATCATCGTATTCGATCGGGGCTCCGTCCTCCTAACGCCATATACACAGCAGTGCAGTGCAGTACTCAATATCCGTCTCTTGGCCCGTTAGGGATAGGAGGGGCGGAAATTCAAATTGATTTTCATGCATACTCTGGAAAGGACAAAGCAGCATCGTTGGCATTGCCGTGCCTATATGATTGGGCCGGGTCTCTTCCAACGCAGATTCGGTTTTTGATCAACGCGGTCGGACTTCGAAAAATGGATATGTTGGCTAGCGTAGTGTAGATGCAGATGTCATGTGCGTGGGCCTATGTAGATTGGATTTGGGATGCTCCTTTCCCCTCTCAAAAGGGGAATCGAAATGCGAACCGGTGCTATCCGAGCGATGAGGCGCGAAACAGCCAAGATTTCAAATAGGCCTATTTGAGGATTGCTGGGAAGCATGCCGAGAAGCAAGACATGAGATGCATTTGCATCCGTGACGATCACGGCGAGCGAATCAAGGGCGCCTAATTACAGACCTCTTCGCCTGGGCATACAACTGTGCAGCATCATTAGGAGTCATACAGGTTGCTAGCGCCACCGTTATCTATCCCGATCGGCGGAACCTCTGAGTCAGAAAAAAGCGTCGGTATGGCAGATCAAAGTTGATAGCGCCGAGCCTGCTTCTGGGGGCCAATATGGAATTATTGTAGTGAGCCGAGTAAAGATAAAGGAATTTGAAAACTCCTCTTTGGGGCGTCTGCAAGTCATTTCTTGACAGCCAGTGTTCTATGTATCGGATTAGCCGCACGCTCTGTTATTCACATGCAGCGCCATGGTGATTCGCGAGGCGGGCGCTTGGAACGTTTGGACCGATGTGACGATGTCAGTCGCCATCAAAATTGCGGTGGAATCTTGTGGGCAGGGTTACATCTCAGCTACAGCAAATTAGATCATAACGATGTTTGTGTTGGGAGGTCAGTGTTCCCGTTGAGTTGTTGGGAATGTTAAGGCTTGGTCCGACACTGCCACCGTGGTATAGTAAACCAACAAACCCCTCTGAGACTAGAAGGGCCGCTTACGCAGCCACGACCTTGCTCGTGAAAGCGGGAATCAGATCCCGTGGAAGTTTTGTGCAGAGCACACAGTGAAGAGACCCACACTAGGTGTATGTATATGCGTTTCATCAAGTGGTACATTAAAACATAACCAGTGTGGAGAGAAACTTTAACATGAGAGGATAACATTCAACACATGTAATCTGTCAGGGCACACCCGCCCGACCCGGCTCCACCCGGTATCCCGCTCACCTCTACCGCTCACCCTTCACCACTGTTCCTCATTTCTTATTCTTCCTTTTGTCCTTTTGTCCTTTGCTCTTTTGTTCTTTCTTCTATCTTTATCTACATGGACGACCTTTCTGTCAGGGATGCATCCGGGGTAGAGGAGGCCTGGGTGAGATGCCTGACACTAGAAGTCTCATGGGGTGTGGAGCGGGCGTGCATACTGGCAGGCCCAGCTCAGGAGACAGTCCCTGGCCACTTAGACTGAAGTGGAAAAGGGTGTTATTATTATTTAAAGGGAATGCTATGCTACTTACCTGAAGTGGAAAAGGGTGAGAAGAAGGCTACTTCTTCGGTTCCCACTTCAGGTATGTTTATATACATGTGGCTTGGGTCACATGACAGGTGCCACATCATCCTTGCATACAGCTGTAGTCACCTGGGTGTGTGAGAGAACTAGCGTAGGATTAGCGCTCAGTTCACGAAAGTAGAACTAGAATGATATTAGTGTACCTAGTGTAGGATTAGCGCTAAGTAGAATACACAACAGTCTTTAGTAAGAGTAGTCACGCAAGAAAGGTAGACCTCACCTCAGTTCACGAAAGTAGAACTGAGGGAAACAAAAGAGGTCGCGTCCAGTGGCTTTTAAGCCTAAAGCGACGTCGATCTACAAGAAAGACAAGAAAGGAATAAAGGAAAATCTCTGGCGGCTGCAGGTCCGTGCGCCCAAAATATGGGACGTTGATATTCCTTCCTAACTTCTAACACCCCCACTCGACGTACCATCCGATCTCCGGAAAAACGTATCCTTCCCTTGTAATCCCAAAGCCTCAGCGAACTTGTCGAATTTATCACTTCCCAATGCTTCCGTAAAGATGTCGGCGAGTTGATTGTTTGTAGACACATATTCAAGTTGATTAACTTGTTGTCGACACATTCTTGGATGAAATGATGTCGAATCCCGATGTGTTTTGTTCGCGCGTGAAAAGCAGGGTTGTTCGCGAGTGCAATAGCACCTTGATTGTCGATGAGCAAAGTAATCGGGGTAGGAATGGACACACCAAGGTCACTGAGGAAGCGTCGAATCCAGATGGCTTCCTTCGCAGCGTGTGTTGAAGCCATGTATTCGCCCTCTGTACTAGATAGGGCTACTGATGCTTGTTTCTTCGAACTCCAACTAACGGCAGCTCCAGCCATCTTAAAAACGAATCCAGATATCGAGCGACAATCACGAGGATCTCCTGCCCAATCTGAATTTGAGTATGCCATCGTGTCGTTGTCCTTTGAGTATCCGTTGTAAGTTAAACCGCAATCGCGAGTAAGCGATAAGTAACGTAAAAGTCGATTGATTGACGTTAGGTGTTCTTGTCCTGGGTTAGCCGAGTATTGGCTGAGAAGAGTGATCGCATAGCTGATGTCGGGTCTACTTCCCAACATGGCGTACATAACGGATCCAAGGCGAGATTGATATTGTCGTGTATCGGTTTGGGGAATTTCATAGCGAGGTAATTTGAGACCGAGTGCGACAGGTGTGTAAGTATGACGTGAGTTAAGAAAGCCGAAACGTTGCAGTACATCTTCAACATAGCGTTTCTGGGAGATATGGA